ATGTAGGATCAGGGTCCGACATTATTTGAAAATAAAACAAAGAGCTTCACACAATCACTTAGTTTATTTCGATTAAATGAACTTACTTTCACATTAATTTTTAATTATAATAATTGAATAATTCAGCACTGATTATATAAAGGAAACACTCAAATAAAACCAACAATAAAATTACTCAGCGATTGCGTAACGTGTGAACTGGGCAACGATCGACGAACGACTGACTCGAGCTTGCGCTTGCGCTGCTTTATATATCACTCGGTGGTGGGGTTGAAGTGACGTCGGTCAGTTGTTTGTTCACTGCTCGCCCATTACATTCGCAGTTTACAAAATAATGACGGCGGCGCCGACATATTTTAATTAACTACCCAGAGAACTTATTGTTGACTCCATCTATAAGAGCTTATACGTAATAATTTTTTGTATTTTTATTTTCCATCTTCAAAAAGATTTTGTTTATTTCGCATAAGAAAATCTTCTCTGGATTTATACATACCTCTAGTATAAAATAGAGCTGTTAATGCGTGAAATCTTTGTTATTTCGATGATCAAACGTCAATTCTTTCTCAACTATTTTTTATTTTTTAGACGTCGCTCCTACATTGGGATTTTCTCCTGTGTCGTCGGTGCATTTACAAACATACAAGTTCACATACACGTGATACACAGACCCGAAACACCAATCTGTGGATCACACAAAGAGTTGTTCCGTGCGGGAATTGAACCCGCGACACGTGGCGCGGCAGCCAGTTGCCCAGCCACCGCGCCAACCGCGCCGTCTCTACATTTCTTATGTAACATATTGTTGAGTGTGGGGATTATAGCGTTACTATGACAACCATGTCTTACTGCAAACAATGCTGACCATTAGGTTGCATTAGCAACCAATGAATATTAGAGATACAGACACGAATATACCTAGGCAAGCTCTCAAGGCCAGCATTAAACAAACATAGTAACTACTTACTTAATAAAATAATAATATGGAGATGGAAAATTTGTGTAACCTATTTCTAAAACAAAAAATAAATTGAAATTTTCCGCGAAAACACTTTACACAAACTCGAGATCAATATAACGTTAGTACTTATTATAATTTAAGTACCTTTTATACTTGAATGCCACTAGTTTCAAAATCTTATTATTACCCAAAATGGAAGATAAAATAATATGCTTTTATGACTCTTTTGTCATACTACAAGTCCCTACATACACGACCCTTATGATATTCGCGGGTTAGACAAGTACTTTTCTATATTTGCATGGCTAAACAAAATGTATGACATTATATTCGTATTCTTGAGGTTGACATAATGAGATCCACCCATATGACATGAATGTTTTTGAAAATGTAAACAAATGCTCTCGACCGATTGCCACTTCTCTTGTTAAGAGAGAGCATGTTCGCCATACGATCCTTCCCTTACAATAGTATGAACATTGAAGTACATTTGGTACTGTTCTTATTGAATCCTAAATAGATACACGTGAATCCAAACATTAGTTAGTAGGTAATCTGATGAAATTATGGTAACAGTATCTTGTCACTATTAATGATATTAGCTTTGATGTAGGTGTACGTCCTACATTATTACTTTTATTTCTCAACATCAGGTAGAACAGGCAATAAGTTGGTGACCCATTTAACATTTACTAGCGACGAGTCTATAAGGCGACAAAAAAACACGGACAAGGGAAAAATCTAGGACGAAGGTTCAGCGCAGGTAAGTTGATAACTTTATCTCTGTCGAGGATGAAAAATATTGATTAATAAAGTGACTTCAAACACACCCGACCAGCGGATGTTAGCCCTTATACAATTTATTATAAATATACCACCTACTTGAGACGCTCCTAATTGGATCGTTTAGCAATAATAAGAATATTTTTACAGTCTAAGAGGATTACGTAGGTACACATGCTTGTACCGAAATATGAAAATCAATTCGGCTTATTTTTCTTTGTTTGGGCGTTTCCATTGTATCTATCCAGTATGGCTGGCACCTGGCTAATATTTATATACACGTATCTTCGCGCCAGTTTCCCATATAGGGGTAGAAGACAATGAAACGTCAAGTGCTCTGATCTTAGTACGCCCCCTTTGCTACACTGCATTCAAGAATCTCTCACGAGCTCGCCCTGCACTCTTTGTGACCTAAATTTGTCTAAATTGATAAATTATGTCTTGTGACGGCCTAGTGAAGGAGTGATCGTCACTGGAAATTATTTAATGCACCGAACGATGCGCTGGTCAGTAGCTACTACTACAGTACAGGACCGACACCGGTGTAATGTAAAGAGAGTGTTTGTTTCAATGTTCATCAACTAGATTACGTGTTATTTCGCCAGTATTATCACTCAGAATAAATATCCTCCTTCCTCCTAATAAAGCAGATTGTTATAATCCTCAAGCTTGGTAAGCAGCTGGAGACCAGAGTTACGTAGGTCTCCAATTTGGAAAATGCTAGTCTATCCTTAGGTGCCCGAGTATTCTTACGAGCTCCGCTGCAGCAAAACTATTTCGGGCCAGACAGATCGAAGCCACACATGGGCCGCTATTTAAAATTTCTTATTGCACTGTAACTTTTTCATTGTAAACAAAGAAAATACTGTATCGATGAAATAATGAAATAAAATTTATACTTGAAGATACTATAATAATTGTTTGTCTGTGAATTATCAGTTGTTCAACAATACGTAGTCTACAATCATTCTGCTTAATGATACAAATGTAATTGAAGTCGTACAATAACTGCATCGTTTCAATATTGTTTTTCAAACAGTGGTTAGTAACTAGCGACAGCATGTAATCGATATCTTAGTTCCCATCTTTGTTATTCGAGTCCCTATTATTAAATGTCTTGGTACCTATTTCATATTTATATAGAATTTCTTCATTATTTGTTTACTTTAGCCGTTTACGTTATATAAAACAAATACTATATAGCTACTTCCGCGCGGTTTCGCTCGCTCTGCTCAGTTACTATTGGCTGTAGCGTGATGTTGTATAGCATATAGCCATCCTCGATCAATGAACTATCCAAAACAAACAAAAAACAAACTCTTCCGATTTATATAATAGTGTAAGATGTAAGATAAAGTATAAATATCGCGTGTGTCTGAAATTGTCACTTTGTTATGCGACCGTGAGACACAGAAGGAAACAAAAGTCCTTGGTCTCAATCTGATTGGCCAGGACCCCTCGTGGAATCTTCCAGGCCGGCTGCATAGATAATTTCTTCATTGCGTTTGTGAAAACGTGTTCAACCAACGTGACTTGAGCTCATTCATATGCAATATTGTGAGAGGATGTACGTACTTGCATTCGTTGATGTGTCCTGCTAGGGTGGACACGCTCCTCCGGCCTGACCCGCCTGGCCCGACCATAAGGCAGTGTCCACGCTCAGCTCTCAGCACCCGAGCTGTTCGCACTACATGCTCTATAGCGTCTTTGAATAAAACCAGATGCATCTCTGCTCGAGCCGTTGAGTTATATTCGTCTAGATATTCCTGCAAATAAAAAATCTCCGTAAAGTTAGGCAAAGCTATAAACAATTTTTTGCCATATACGATGGTATAATGCTCGCAATAGCGGTTGTTATAAGTTTGAAAAATCAAAATAACTTAGCATTTTGTAGCAATAACGTAGTATAGTATTTTCCAAAAATTACCCGGTATATAAATGGTTCTAGATCCGGTATATAAACACCCTATTACAAGGGACTCAAAACATAGCTGATGAAGTGGGTGTTGTTACACTTACAATATGTGTGTCTCTGACTACCTTCTTTCTATTGACAACCTACCTTCACCACCACCATAAGCTTTTTAAAATCTGATATCTCAGCATAGTTTCTGTTTTCTTTAGGTACAGCAGAGTTGATGAAATCGCCAAACAATAGAAGGGGCGGTGAATGAATGATAGGATCCTCGGGAATGTCCAATATTCTACTTTGAAAGTATCTATCGCAAATATTGCACATGAGGTGAAAGAAATAGCTTTTGTCTTCGATATTTATTAGCCGATCGTGGAAAACTCGAAGGCACTCATGATAGAATAACCTGAAATAATGCAAGGTCATTATTAACAAAATATGTATACTGTAAATACGTTAAAGATAATATCAGCTTTTATTTTTAAGAGGGGTAAATCATCGAATTACTGCTCCCGCCTCAGTGTCAGACTCTTACTGAATAAAAACAACCCCGTTCCTACTCCCTTCCCTTCCCTTCCCTTCGAGACGGAGCCCCGGCAACCTGTTAAGTCCTCCGCGACGCGTCGTACACTCGGATCTGGTTCTGGTCGGGCGGCGAACCACCCATGCTCGCCGTCCGCAGGCCCGCGTTTTCGCGATGGCTGGGTTGTGAGGAGGCAGCGCTCCGCTGCCTCTCGCGGCCCGCCTCTTTCTTAGTTAGCATGACTGCTTCGCAAAAGGAGAAGACGGCACCGGCTAGGCCCGGACGCGAGAGGTCGCCATTGCCGATCACGTCCGTGAGGGCACGGCTGTGCTCAGTCCACGCAGGGCATTCCCCTACTATATGTTCCACCGTGTCCTCAGGGCGGTCCTCGCAGTGATGACACCCGGGCGTTTTCTCCCACCCCATCAGATACAGGTACCTCCCGAAACTTCCATGTCCAGTGAGGACCTGCGTCAGGCGGTAGGTGAGGACGCCGTAGCGTCTCTCAAGAAACTCCTCAAAGAGGGGACTTACCGCTGCAAAGGCAGCAATCCCAGCCCTCGATTGCGACAGTCGTTGCTGTCATTCCGCCATGAGATCGCGCTGGAGCTTCCCGCCACGCACTAATCTGGTACGGCAGCGGAGTTTCGCCCCGGCAACGTGACTCCGCGCGCAGACAAATACATGCGCGCGAGCGCAGTAGCGCCCGGGCGGGCCGCTGCATCCGGTTCGGCGCCCACACAGGGGCGCCGTAGAGGGCCATGGTCCGCACGACCCAGGCTTATAACTTCCGGCAGGGGCGTATACGCGTATTTTTTAATTCAGAATACCTACTTATAAGTAGTCTACAGATTATGAAAGCTAAGTTAATGTGAAAAAGTTGTAGTCAGGTTCAATGAATATTGTATTTATGATTAATAATAATAATATTTTTTGTAATCCTATTTATATACATTAAAATACAGGGATGTAGGTGACGGAAAGTCTAATTCATACATACCTGAGCATTCCTTGCGGTGCTCGCATGTATGCAGCGTCAGCTTGCAAGACTCCTTGCATGCATTTAGATAAGTCTCTCAAATTGAACACGTAGTGCGATTTAGCTGGTGTCGGGAGTAATTCGCTGCAAATCTTCAAGTACAAATCTACAGCTGCATCTACTATAGGTCCTCCAAGGATTGAGACTTCCGTGACAAAGTCCTCTAAGTGACCTCTGAGGATTGCCTGATTGATTGAGAAGGAATAAAATGGTTAAAGGTATAATATAGGTTTCTTAAGGGTCATTAAAAAATTCTAATATATGAATCTTAAGCATGTTTAAAACTGAGACCCGCTGTTATATATATCGATACGATGGTTGAAAATATACATTTGTTTGTGCAAATCGAAGATTTTTAGATAATAGATGAGGATGGGAAATGGGTGCCTATGTGAAGGCGTGGTCTACTGTCACTGCTGGTAAGGTGTAATTACTGGACCTTAATTGCCTAATATGTACACTGTGAGTATTTGATTAATAATTACATACCGTCAAACGTAATTATCCAGGATTACAACATAGGTACAGGATTCAGATTACAGAATTCTGAGTAGTAGACAGTCAACATGTAATCCTTGTACTAATGATAGAAATACCTCAATTGGAGCACGTGTATTATGTATTAAAAATAATTAATAAAAATAACCTTAAATATAGTTTTCATCGCCTCGGAGTTTGGTGCAGAAATGAAGAACATAGCAAAATGCCTGACGAAGCGTCCAGTAAGCGGGTTTCGACCACCACCAGGAGGTGCGCAGGCGCAAGACAGTACAACGTCGAGGATATCTTTCCAGAATAATTTATCACGGTCGTATAATCCCCCGAAATCCAAAAACTGTCTATATGGGGAAAATAACAGTGAAATCAGTTAAAATATCAATTTGAGCTTTCACACACGCTGAGAAATACTTTATTGTATCCATGTTAAAGAATATTTTATACCTTAAGAGTTCTATAGTCGGCTGTGCTCCATAGACGTCCAGTCGGGGCATATTTACGTCATCAATAAATATTATTATTTTCTTGCCTAATGGAGCTCCCAAAGCCTTTCGAGGTCTCTTGTCCAAACGAGACTCAATCACCACCTAAAGGGTACAGATCTGATTCATAAAGTCTGGATAGCCGTTATGTACCAGATTATCAATTAAGAACGTAATTTGTATGAATTATTTGCAAAATAAGTTTATCGGTTACTTATATGAAGGTGGCTAGGAAGGCACTGAATATATTTTTATTTGTTCACATTACCTGTGTCCTCCCACTGCTAGTTTGTGCGGAAAAATTCAATATGAAAGGTATATAATAGCCGCCCAACGACATTTTATTCAGTGTCTCTAATGCGATTACAGTTTTACCCACACCTGAAATTTTATTTATAACCATGAATACACCATTGGATACCATAATCAATAGCTTAAATATAATACGTTCCAGTAAGTACACCATTCATTTTTGTACTTAATTAAAACATTAATTGTGTAGGCAAGAAATAAATGAAACCTTTCTGTATTTCGGGGAATAAGATCTTTTATGTTTGTTTAAGGGACCTCAGTAACAAATTAAAATATGAAAATAACCTGTGTTTCCTGTGAACATGACAGGTTTCCCGCAGCTGACAAGTTTTTCGAATAAGTACCCGTATCGAACAGTGTCTATAGTGGGTACTAGGGTCTCGAAGAATGGCTTTCCAGAATCGTATAAAAACTCCGGAATTATTTCGGCCCATACTTTTAATCTGCGCATGCGAGTGTCCATGTACATGTCGAATAAATTAAAGCCCATCGGCGCGCTGCGAAAGACGACAAATTAGAAAATTAGTTCATACGATATGTAAGAATAGAATCCTCTATCTGTTTACTCTTTGATATTCAAACAAATGAGAAAGAAGGAACGTTTTGATGTGTACACAAACTTATCGATTGAAAATACTCGTGCATCTAAAAATCTATATTCCTGCTGGCGAGTATTCAGTGATATTAGCTCTTGAAACTATCTTTAATTGTTTAGTAAAATTGGGCTACGATACGATACGCTGGCTAATTAATATGATGAAAAAAATTTACGCCCGAATACTGAAAGGCGGTCGTGGTGGCCCGGAGGTTTCTTCTCATGCATGAGGACGCGGGTTCCAAACCTACCAACGGTAAGTCCCAATGTGACTTTTTCCGACGACTTTTTTTTATATGTACTTTCTAAGATTATTTAGACACCACTGACAAAAGGAGAAGGCAAACATCGTGAGGAAACCTGGGCTTATAATTTCTAATTATAAGTTTGTAATTGCCAACCCGCATTGAGCAAGCGTGGTGCTCAAACCTTCTCCGTGTGAGAAGAGGCTTTGCTCAGCAGTGCGCACTTATAGGCTGTTGATGATGATTATGACTGAAAGGCTACTAAAGTTAGGTTGTACATATCATGCCATCTCTGCATTTTTACAGATATTTTTTTTTCTTCTTTGGCAACCGAGTATAGAGAATTTGTTGTGATAGCGCGACTTAAAATTGAGTGGCGTTTGAATATTTAGACATCGACTTTTCATAGGGGATTCTATTTACATGTAGGTATTACGTCAATTCATCAAGAGGCAAAATAAAACCTTGTCTAATGATTTTCAGTTTGGTATCAAAAACTTAATAGAGAAATAGGATATAAAAGGAAACATCCTTTTATTCGTCAGCTAGATGGTGACAATGTATTTGACACGTATGGGGGCGGGCCAACAAAGCATGTTCTCGTGCATCATTTCTATACAAAGATTGTCTTTATTTAGTTCATCTTGTGCGCAACAAAATAAATATCGGATATCATCGACGTCATACCCTGTAGACACGTCATAACCCTATTGCCTGATCAATAACTGAACAAAATAATGGAACAGCATGAAATCTAATTCAAAGAAATATTCTCTACATAGTGTAAACAAAAGAAAGAGGTATGTGGCAATCGTAGCAATTGGCGTTCCATAGTCTCTGCAGGGGTAGGAACGGGGTGGTTTTTAGGCAATAAGAGTCTCCCTTCTGCCTCAACTAGGCGGGAGAAGGTATTCAATGATTTTCCCCCCTTAAAAAATAGTCTGCCTACTCCCATTGGAGACAGGCATGAAGTTATGTATATATGTAGGTATGGAAATAAAACTAACAATTCAGCCTCCTCGTATTGTTCAAACTGTCTCTTAACGAGTTCTTCCAAAAGCTTTCTGTTTTCTTCTAGAATATTTCCGCCTATGCACCAAACATAGCAGAATATGAAACAGTGAGCTATATACACTTTGATGGCAGCTTTATCCGGGAACCGGTCACCAGGTTCAGAAAGCAATGATCCCAGGAGATAGCAAATGGCTGACGCTTTGCTAATATCCACCTGCATTTACAAAATAAAGGGTTTAATGACACGATACATGATCTTGTATGGCAATAACGCTTTTTTGCGCATCTGTAAGTAACAATTTTAACTGTATTTGAATTTGGATTGCATAGCAAATAGTGTATATTGATAGTATGATAATACCTGTTTAATGCCAAAACGGCACTTGGTATTCACATGTTGGACACCAACATCTAGCATAGTGAACAATTCATGAACAAATTCAGAGTTTTCTTGAGAGAAGAGGTTTCTCTCTACCGCTTCATCAATCCAGGAGCGCACCATCGGCATGTAGCCCATCTCATTCGGATCAATGTACACCATGCCACAACGAGACACCGTCGCTGGGGAAGCTTGAGCAAGATCAGCAACCTACGATTGTATTCAAAACCCAGACTTGGGGTTAATAACCGTTCTAAAAACATTGTCGCGTTGAAGTAATTATTTTTGCGTTTTTCAGGCTTGCTATTGTCGATTGTTTAACCAAGTTGGCAAAAGCTGGAGGAATGAATACGGCTTCTGGTATTTGTTTAGCATTACAATGCAAGCCGAGGCCGAGACTTACAGAAAAAATAACGTAGCTTATACAACAGTAAACTTGTGGAATTGCAACAAAAGGAAAACATTACAATGGTTTCTTGGAAAATAATTGTTTAGTTATTGCGAATAATTTGATACATTATGAATATCTAAAAGAACTGTAGATACCTCAAATAACATGTGCACATAAGGTGACAGCTTGATTCTCTCAGAGTTGGAGAGACACAACATCTTATTGTCGTCCAGTACGGTGTTCATATTCTCAATCCACACTGCGTCGACCGGACCGTCGCAGATCAACCATTGATGATGCGGTTTATCACACTAAAGTATCAATCAAGTAATAAGAAGAAAAGTGTTTATTTTTTTACATACCACAGTCTATATTCGTTAGCTAACTAGGAACGAATTTATTAGAACGATGACCAAAATATCTAAAGCTTCAGGCTCCGATTCTAAAACACCGGGTATGTGTTTTATTCTAATAACAGATCATATCGATCTACAATTACGTGGGAAAGATAAAGCAAGGAGGCAACTGTTGAGATATTATGTCAATCGATTGAAAATATAACGTAATTATTTATCTTTCAATCACTATCGGCACTTACTTGAACAGCCGTACGCAAACTTAAAGGAAGGATCCCGTCGTGCCACTCAAGCGTTTGTAGATTAACTTCACCATACAACTCTCCAATGGTAAGACTCTTCGGATTTATAATGTACTTCTGCACTAATTGATTTTGTGGACCCTCAACGCCCATTATACAAAGTTTAGCGTAAGTTTCTCCTAAAACCTATTAAAGAATAGTTTTGATTGGTAAAAATTTTATAGTTTTGACTTTCAGTTTTCATATTAACGAATTTACGTTGAAAATTGTTGTATTAGCTGAGTTACGATTAGTGTGAGTTAATTCTTGTACATAACCATTAGTCAAGTTCGATTCAGATTAAATTATTTATATATATTTTATTGCACTCACAGAAAAAAATTGTAAACATTGCGATAGTAATTTGAGTACAATCGGCGGTCTTATCACACGCCGTGATTTCTTCCAGTCAAACTTTGGATGGAATTTATGAAAATAATCTGAGAATGTAGATGTCTGTGGACCACCACAGACATCTACATTCTCAGTTTTGTTGCGCATCTACCAAGATGCGCAACAAAACAAAACCAATTAGTTAGTAATAATTAATGATTGATCCTTACAGTCAAGACAACGGTTTTTCCTCCACCAGTTGGACCGACTAACATGACGCCCCATCGTACAATCATGGTCTCATGCAACTGAATCACTTTACGTATCTGACATTCTTCGATTTGATATTTATTCTCCAGTAACACTTCTCCTGTGGGCATTGCATGGAGATTAGAAGACTTTGTTACATATTATTATAATATCCCAATTTTATGATGGATTCGTTATTTACAAAGTGAACGGTCTCCATTATATCTATTAGATCAGGCATTTTATTTAGTGCTACAATTCTTCGATCAGATATATCCATATGTAAGTACCTACATTAATTGTACAAACAATAATTCATTGGTATACCACTAGAGCTTTTTATTCACAATAGGATGTCTAAACTTACTGATAGCTTGATCCATGACGCCGTAGTCTCTGACAGGCAAACTGACGCCAGGAAATAGATCTGACAATATACCAGCGAACAGGATTGCATCGGCAGCCAGGAATTTTGGCAAATTGCTGTCGTTCAGTGCGCATAGTAGGGTCATCTCCTCATGCTGGTCAGGACTGGCCCTTTTTAATGCACCAGCCATCACCTTAACAAAATGGTGGTAAAAAATAGTACCTACATGTAGTATAACATTATGTATGCATACCAATTAAGGTTCGTTATACTACTAAACTGTAGTTCCAACTATACAGGCGTTAATTTTGGAGATCGAGCGATCTTATGATTAAATTATGTATTATTAGATATTTCTATTCAAGAAATCTTAGTCGGCAGCAGGTCTGTAATTGTGTCCAAGTCTGAAGTACGATAAAAACTATCTCTATAACTATTAAAGGTGGGTGTTAAAGTCTAACATGTGTAGATATTTCTGCCTATGCTCCGGGAAATACAGGCCTTACTCTTGTACGGAAATTGTATGTTGTTTGTTGTGTTATCTAGTTAGTTTGCTGCATGTTCAGCGTAGTGGATGCGGATTGCGGATAGTTTCGATTACAGCACAGAACAAATATTTGTTCGATCAGAGTTTGTAGTGAGAAATGGGTACTACGTTTCTGTTTGTATTCGCACCCTCAATACAACATACGTATATAAAACCGATAAATAGATAATACTTGTGAAGGTGAATTGAAATACATATTATAATTAATTTTGGGGAAATTTTAAATCGGTAATTTACGCTACGATCCGGGTATTAGGTTCGATTCCCAGATCGGAAAATTAAGGGCCTTCAGTATTTTGGTCATTCCATAGACGAGCTGAACCGTGGCTGGTGTATGTCAATTGGCTTACCCGGTAATATACGGCACACTTGACATACCTAACTAGTAAAAAGTGGGTGTTGCTCTTCTTACCCCTTTCGTATTAAAAGCCAAGACGTTATGTTATCACACAAACTATTATGTAGGTAAAGACTAAACTTACCAAAACACTCTTCACAGCTCTCATACCAAAGTCGTAGTGATCCTGTTTGGACAGCTGTTCGCTAGATAACTTGTACATTTGCACCATTTTTTTCGCTAACCCTTTCGAGGATTCGAATCCCTCTGAGTACAAGATCACCTCAGCAATCAAGGCTAGAAAATCAATAACATAAGTAGGTACTCAACGGTATTATTTGCCACCCGCGCAAGTGGAATTTTCCCTAAGAATTTTTCTAATTATTTTTTCGTACAAATCTTCCTTGGTACCTTTTAAAATATAAGCGATAAAAAGAATAATTACGCGTTAATCCAGAAGTCCACGAATATGTCCTGTGTACGTTTATTGGAGTTATAAAGTACAATTATGGAAAAAATCAAAGATGCGCGTCAAGGAATTATTTGTTTCTAAAGACTATGGTCCGCCTTTTTTTAAACGTCTTTGCTTACCGTAATCCGGCACCATCATAGAAATAGGCCGGAACAGTGCTTTCAAGTTGTCCGGCAGTTCGGTTCTACCAGCGTAACCAGGGTTCATAGTGATGAAAGCTGCACAACTACGTACTAGCTTAATCTCACGCCCCTCAAACATGAACCTAGTAGAATAATAATTCAGTTTAATAATACGAGCAGTAGATAATTATGTTATTCTTAAGTAATTGAAAATAAATTAATTGATTGATTGAAAGTAATTTAAAGTGATTACTAGTAAATCTTATTTTTTTATAATTCGCCACCCACGCTCTGTTTACATTTTTCGCAAGTATAAATATTAAAACCGAATTTCTTAGTGACAGCTTTTCAGTATGATGATTTCACTGTTGTTAAGTCAATGTCTTATAGGCGTACCAACAGATCGTGAAGACGTAATAATGCATCACTCACGAACGGCACTCGGCAGATGTGAACCCACCATTAAGTTGAATTAGATCATCAGTCACCATTTAGATAGGTACTGCAGCCCCGGCACGAAGCCGTGGTGAATTTTAGCCAGTAAGAGGTTGACACTCAAAAAGAATTCTAATAAGTTGAAAACATACCTGCTCAAACGAGCCACTTTTGCATTTCTAATGGTAATCAACTGTTGAGCGATTACAGACAACACTTCGATGTCAATACGATTGAACTCATCGAAGCAACACCAGGCGCCGGATGTTGCGAGGCCCGAGAAGAAGCGCCCCATCATTTTGTAGTCCAAACCTATTAATATATTTGATTCACATCTGTGCTTGAGGTTTAAGTAAGTTGGTTTATTCGCTACTACATAACTGACAGCAACTAAGTTATGAAGTGTATACCTTCGGAACAGTTGAACACGACGCACTGTATAGCTACAGCCTTGGCCATGTCTTTGGTAGTTTCAGTCTTCCCCGTGCCCGCTGGTCCGGCCGGAGCTCCTCCCAAATCCAATTGCAACGCTCCCATGAGACATAAGTAACAGCGATCGGTTAGTGGCGTTATTACAAGTACACCTATAAGAAAAATTATGATGGCAGACAAAAATATGTTTATATGGGATTGGGCGGCAAACAAATAGACAGGCCACATAAATAATCATATGCCGAGATTGTATCGCACCTTAACTAGGAGTTATCTGGAAGTAGACGAAAGATTTGATACATATTATAACATCACCATTTTTGTCCTCGAAAGGGTAGGCAGAGGTGCACATTACGGCACTTAATGCCATTGTACAATGTACCTCTTTTTACTACTTATGAGCCCCATGCCTAGTTGTGATTGGATTTTCAAAACTAAATTCGGTCTAGCCAGTCACATCAGGGCACACGACAGGAGATAGCTATTAAGGGTCTGTTAGTGGGTGAGCCTATTCCCATATACTGGGCACATTTCCAGACTACATGCTACTACTGAGAATTATTTTAAAACTTTGCCCGACCTGGCAATTGAACCCGGGACCCCATGCCCGGCAGTCGCATTTGCGACCACTCGGCCAATGTGTTGACATTAATAATTTTATACATATATATAGATTTGATACATATCTAAGTATGTTTTTTTATAACGAATGCTTTACAAAAGCTCGACCCACCTGCAGCACCCAAATATTCGTGTCCATAAACGTACATTGCACTTGACATTCTTGCAACACAATTGTCAATCTCTTCTTCCCAATAATAACGAATCATTTTCAACCATTCGAAATCCCCCCTAGAAAAGTAACAATATTCAAAACCACCAGATAATACACTCCATGCATTTACTTGTTACGAATAGAAACTGGATATATTCCTACAATACGTTTTTGAAGAAGCCATCTTTATTTTAATAAATGTCAGGAACAAAAGAAAAGTTACTGATAGAGATTTTAGACCTTTATGTCTTTTGATTATGGAACACTTTTTATAATCTAAGACTATAAAACAAATGTGTGAGTTATTTAAAACTTTCTTATATACTTACGCTCGTTGAACATGCTTCTGCACCATGTGTGTGATAGTATCTCTTGCGTGCACATCTACAGTGATAAGAGCGCATAGAACCTTTCTGAATAAAGGATTGATATCAGCACGAGTAAGGGCTGCCAAGTCATTCAAATCCGATACACACTTCTTTTCATAGTCTATCAAACCGGTATCAACGCGAAGTGGGATTCCTAAATCGAATATTTCGTGCACTCCTTTGGCCCACATTACTTGTGATACTGCTAAAATTATCTGTTAGCCATTTAAAATATAAAATTAGTAGTATGAAATTATTTTTTTAACTAAGTACGTTTTCATTTATTTAAGAAAATCACATTTTTAACGCTACCTTATGGTAATCGCACACATAGTAAGCATGGCTCAGGCACGGCGTTTTTGCTTTGGAAACAATACAAAAAAGTTAACTTATCTTAAAAATTAACTTTTTTATATATTGAAGTTATGAAATATGTCATACAGTATACGATTTAAAGTTCATGTCTAAATGACAATTTTACATTGCTGGGTTGGAGCCGTGACGGACCCATGCGTTAGGCGTGCCATGACCTTTACACTACGAATATATCCTGTGCCGTAGATTCGTTTACAAGCATACAGAGTCACATGGATATGACGCCTAGACTGAATCAACAAATTGTGGATCATACAAAGAGTTGTTCCGTGCGAGAATCGAACCCGCAGCACGATATGCGGCAAACGGTAACAGTAGTCCAGTATATGCGCCAACCGTGTAATGAAACTTTGGCCATGTAAAAATAGCACAATCACTGATTAATACTGTTAATTCGTAAGTAAGTACCTACTTACCTACCTAGGTAGGTAGGAAATGTACTCGGTTTAAATTGTATACCTGATTAGCATGTAGTTGGACCCATTTCACTCGCGGTCGTGCCTGAAAATCTTTTAGCGCTTGTTTCATGCATCTCTTAACTGAAGCAAACATGGCTTCTTCAACTTTTCCAAGCCAATCTTCTACGTTACCTCGCGCTTTGAGGCCCTGTTGCGTAAAAAATGTTAAATAATTGAAAAGACTTAGTAGTACCTTATTTTGTATCTTAGGAGTCGACCTTGAATTTGACAATTAATCGACATTAAAACATCGGTTCAAACAATTGCAAAATAACTAATCCAGGACCATCATACATCACATAAAGGTCAAACTGAACTGAACCTCCTATCTAAGGTCGGTTAAATATCTCCGGCGTAGTAGGCTTGTATTTGTCGAGAATGGTTGCCGTTACCGAAAATATATGGAGGACCATACCAAAGAAACCAAACTAATTATAAAGCAGTGAAATTCTTTACCTTGCCCAGATTTACCCTTTCTCCTTCAGGCGATAGCATGGCAATAATATCCGTAGTGAGATCCTCTGGTCTAGCAGTCTTAGCTAGTTTAGCTTGGAGCATATCCCTTGACTGGAATGATAACTCCCTCTCCACGAGACCACCTTCCTCTGTCACGACCAGCTCGCTTTCTGGTAACTTCACGCCAAACTCCAGCTTAGCGATAGCGTCGAAGCATTTACGCAAGTGTGGTTGTACCGCGTGCGGGTTACGTGTCTATATGAAAAAATAAGCTGCTTTATAATATGCACCTATGAATGTAGGCACTTAATGTAATTAATTGTAATGTTATGTCTTATGTCCGTATAAACAATCCATTCAATTGACTTATGCAAAGAAAACGGATTAACGTACTTATGATATTAATATCAATTAAATAAGGAAGCTTCAAGGCGGACACTGTTATCTAAACATTTGTAAAGAGCTTTGTCTTATTTATCTATAATTTTATTTTTTATATTTTCTGTTACTTTTGTATTTTTATAATTTTTCACCTACTGCTCGGCTGTTAGTGATCGCAGGGTGAGGTTTATAGTTATAGCCTATAATAGTTTGAAATGTTGTTACTATAGTAAAACTAATAATTTAATTAGAACCGGTAGTTCCAGGGATTACCGCGTTTACAAACAAAATCTTTACCTTCAAATATTGGTATAGATATAAAATTACCTGGGCCAAAATCTCCAAAAGTTCATCGTTGGACAAAAAGAAGAATCTTGGAAAAGCGACTCGTTTAGTTTCTAAATAGGCTTCGAGACATTTCATGATTTGATCAAGCATTTCATTATTTCTCACAAATTCTTCGTAAAGCTTAGGCTGAGTCGCCGCTGGCATCGCCAAAGGTACCTGTACAAAAGGGCACTTATTAACTGTACGTAGTGCCCACAGAAGAACAATATTTCAAAGCGTAGTTGAGGCCCGTAAAAATATGGAATCCTCTTAAAAAGACAATTTAGCAATGGTTGACCTATCTCATTTTTAAAATGAGCACTCCACTCAATAATAATTTTGCAACGACGTGAGTATGTACAGTATTTAGCTATATTGCAAATAATGAAAACGAATTGGCATACCTTGGCTAATTTACGCATGATGTCCTTCCAGGACTTGTCAACAATAGTGAACAGTCTTGTTTCGTTAGGCAACTGCCTCTGAATGTCAGGTGCACTAAATATCACTTCCAAATACATCCAAGTTTGTTGACAGCTGAACCATTCTTCCTGCGAATAGCATTTCGTTTTATATTACAAAAAATACCTATATGACATTTGAAATTAACTGCATCCTAGTGTGACTTCTAACTTGTAGTTTTTACTAAGCCGTATTTATCATATATGTAGATACTAGCTAGTCTCTTGCGGTTTCACCTGGTCTGCTCGCCTCCTATTCGCCATAGCGTTACGTTGTATAGCGTTCGAGAAATAGCCTATCCAACACAATTAATAGAATTATTGAAATCGGACCAGCAGTTTTGGACATTAGTCCGTTCATACAAAATGAGAAACAAACTCTTTAGTTTTATATAGAGGTAATACAAAAAATCGTAGAAGATATAAGATAAGACTAGCATTTGCCCCCAATATCGTCTGCTTGGAATAATTACTTTCGGCACAATCAGTACTTAGTTTTTTTTGTAAGAACGTAACAAACTTGCAGTGCTACTTCTCGGGTCGTGGGATTTTCAGGATAAACACTATTCTAACTACTTTCGCGGGTCTCAAAGTATTTTATTTAAATAGGTGCAGTGGTAGGCGTAGAGTTTCGCATAATTTCGTTTTAGCCAACATCTACAAACGAGCATATAAAAACCAAAACCTATGCAAAATTTGAAACTTCTTAAAGTAAAGCAGTTTCGTACAAACTTTGAACCTCCCAATACAACCACTAACGGGTCGGAAATACACAAATATCCGTCTTAGAGAGCCTCGCAAAACTTCAGACTCGTAGCACTTGTCATTTTTGAGATTTCGTGATCAGTAGATAGAAGATTATGTAACTTCGTACCCACTAATATTATGTAACTTCATAATAAAGTTATGGATTTTAAACAACATGGAGGTTACCAGAGTTTTAGAAAATAGTTCCAAGTTTTTATCCCATTCTTCAACCCTGCTTTTGATTGGTCCACAGTTGCGAGAGCTGAGTATAGTGCTGATATGAATGTTACTTTCATCGACACATGTCTGGATTTCCTCCAAACCACCCAGTACATATACATCTTTCGCATCTTTGTGTAATACCACTGGGAACTCCAGAGATGCCCACATTTCTTCCACCTAATTATAAAAAAAGTATATTTTAATTTTGTATTATTTTGCAAAATAATTTAAGGACAGCATCCATTACCATTTATGAATGAAAAACATCGATTGATTTTATTATTAAAATTAAACTACTTTAGCTTAAATTATGGAACTAAAACTATAAATAAATATGGCATACTTCACGATTATGGGTTCAAGGTTATAATATAGTTTTACTTTTACCTTCTTAAGCAATGCTTCCAGTCCAGCTTCAGAACTGGCTTGCCCAGCCACTTCCATCAGCTCCTCAGCATGTTGGAAGGCATGTAACTCTTCAAATACTTGCAATGTCAGCTCCGTGTCTGGTGTGAATCGCGTGTGAAGAATCTCTTCGATTTTCACCCAGTGTCGTGGTTTCAATGCTGGGTTTCGGAGATATGACATCACAGGTAGCTAAAATTTGTAAATATAATGTTTAAAAAATGACACTCATTCCTTTTAAGGCAAGGGGTGGGAAAAGTGCGAGTCTATGTACGTCTACGATGTTACCCTCTTTCATCAGTTATTGTTATTAGTGTGTTAAGTTAGTTCACTGGTTTACGCCCGAATACTGAGACCTCAATACATGTTTGTTTTACGTTTAAAGTAATCGTAACGAGTACGTGTTCGGCGCTATGATTGGCCGGTTCCAATAAACCAACAATTCGAATACTTTAAACGTAAGTAAATCAAACTCGTACTAAGGCCCCTGAAAGGCTACTCAATGTTAAATAGTACTTTAATATCGTGACATTAAAGTGACACATTTTGCAGTAAGAGAACTATACTTAAGCGCGACTTATAATTGTGTAGCGTTTGAATATTTGGTCAAGTTAGGTAGCTTAAAACTGAGATGAAAATCTCCAATAAGTCCATGCACTTATAAGTTCACCAATAAATTATGGATATGAACTTACGTTCACAGTTCAGTTCCACATACCTTTTCTTTAATTATGTCTATAGTTGCCTTGCACTTGGGTACGATTTTGTTTGGAGGAACACCTTTATCCAGTTGGTTAAATATCTTGGCAAAGTTGATGGTAGTTGTTTGAATCTCATCAACGTCTAATGTATTGAATGGAGCCTCACACCTGGTAATAAATATATTAACGTGTACAATTTCATAGTTACTAATAACGTAATGTTTTTCTTTTTGTCTCTGAAATTATTGTAAATATGAAAGGACACCCATACCCAAGAAATATATGATTTGATTGATGATTTTAGAGAAAATTGAAAACCCTAACACGAGTAAGAAGTTTCTCGACGCAGAAATCGAACTCAAAACTTCTTGCTTGACAGACTGCGCTTGTGATCGCTCGTTGCAGCTCCTCAGTATTCGAGGCAATGTCCAATTAAAACCTTTCACGCTAACTTTAGGCACATAAATGAGCATAGGTAAATAAACAAGGTACTTAGGATTATCTTACCAACTCTTATACATATCATTCCATTCTTTAGATGACTTCCATAGTAACTGCCTGAGCTTAACATCGTTTATAGCTTCATCTAATTGTTCCAGTCGAGCTGGCGGTATCTACAAATTGAATTTATTCATACGTTACAGTTTTGCATGTAAGAGACTGGCTTAATTAATTAATCTAGATTCATTAAGTACTAGATTTCCGTCTGCGGTTTCAATCGGAGAAAGAAAAGGAATATCTTCACATACTTACAGCAAAAATACTTTTATTGTGTTGTTTTTAATATTATTTTCAGTAGAAACATAATTCAGGGTTAACCTAACAATACCATGAAATAATAATTCCACTGAAAAATGGTTTAGTAAGACTTAACAAGTCACGTTGATTTAGTCCTAGAAAGTAAATTTGTAGGTACATAGGTACAGTTTATGATTTTATACATTTTTTTTTACACTTTATATGTCGACGTTTGACACCATCTCGCCTGATGGTAACCGATAATTGGTTGTTCATAAAGTGTCCTAATAACTTGCAACCATCTGTTGCTGAAGTGCAGTGTAGTTTTGGTGTAGGTATTTTGATTTAATGTCAATGTTTCTACGTTAGCAAATAGAGGGATCAAAAGTACTGTCACTCAGCTACGAGCCACGGTATTAAGAAATAGTTTTCTAGCTCACCGGGGTCGATTCTCGTGTCAGTTGTGTAACGGGTTGGTTTTATCAAGCTACTTTTAGAAAAAAACATATGGAACTAAAGTTATGGAAGATTATACCTAGATCTCTTTGAATTGATTTATAGCTTATCTTATCCCGACAGTAATAAAATCTGTGAAGAAATATATCTAAATGCGAAAGCTTTAGAGCCAAGTCACACCCTTTCAAAACCACAGAAACGTTTGTTACTTTTTACGCTTACCTTGAATATTTTCTGCCATTCCCGTATTTGTTTTTCTCGTGCGGAGCATGCATTGAGCTTCTCTTGTAATTCTTGCAAGGCTTCCAATACTTTTTCTATATCTGATTTTTCATCGTACAACCATGTTTGCTAAACAAAAAAGGAAATTAAGCTTACCTAAATACTAATCCAGGTAGCAAGCATATATGTAAGGAAAAGCGAAAATATAGAAACGTCAGTTTCTTACCGCAACTTCCTCCCTCAGTTTGTTAACATCTAACATCAGCTCCATGATATCCTTGCCAATTCGACTTGCGAATAGTCCTGCTAACTTACTTCGAGTCTCAAGACGTGCATCAACATTAGTCCGAAGTGTCCCCAGTGCCACACTCAAACCTAAGTACTTATGTATTATCAAATATGAAGGTTTAATTTGTCTAAGCGAAACAATATTTTAAATACAATAAAATTTTAACGCAGACTCAAAAAGGAATTAAAATTCCGTAAAAATACGCACCTAAGTATTCAGTCATGTCATCTGGCGATATCGGAATGTTAAATTCTCCCATGAGATCGTAAAGTTCTCGAAGATACTCTAGTCTCTCCTCCAAGAACGCTACGCGAGCTTCCAGACCATCCATCAAAAAATTAAATGCAACCAGTTCTGCTGCAGTTTCAGGTTCTTTAATGATATCGTCATTAATATTTTCAATACCTTGTATTATTTCTTCGATGCAGGCGTGACCGATCCTACATAACACCAAAACTCGTTAGGTAAAGGTGCGACTTCGATTTGTTATGGGCATTCTTGCGAATAATGCATAATGCAGAGAAATCACGAGAATGCTTTATCGAGCGTTCTATCAAGCGATTTGGCAAACATTCTAAACAAACAGAAAACTTGCTTCTTCGAAAATTTAAAACAAAAAGAATATTTTTATTCATTTCAATTGTCGAGTTTTGTACTACCTCTATACTGTTAGACTTGAGTATTAGCAGTGTACGCTTTAGTGCATGCTCAGAACCTTAAGTGAAAAATATCAGACTTGGCCCCCATAATAATAAAGAATTACTTACTCAGGCGTGACATTAGCTACAACGTCGAAAAGTTTTCTCGGTTGCGGCCTAAATAGTTCTTGGAAGGGAGTCAGACACAAAAACAGCAGACCCAATGGCTGGTAGCACAAGACATTTTCTACAGACTCCATTTGTTGAACAAATCTATCACACATTGTTTTAAACTTTAATACATCTCTTTCCTCCTTGATAAGATCAAGGTCCATTGCGCAAGATTCACGATAATCATCTCTGTATGCCTGGTAACGTGCCAGGAAGGTCCATACGACCTCATATGCATATGTGATAGAATGGGGTATATATGCTATATCATCCAACATAGGTTTGTCTTGGTTCATCAGGAAGTATAGATTCGGCGACACTCCAGCAGACCAGTCGACAAGTTTTCCCATTATTGTTGGCTGAACAAATATTTGCAGTGTTTCATCGTTTAAAAAGTTATGGAATGTGCGAACGTACTCCTCCCAATAGCCCGTAATTTTTTCGATGTAAGTTGATATTACTTTCTCGCTGGGATTCAATTCCATTTCACCAGATGGTAAAATATAAGCATCTACTTGGAATAAAGCCCACTGTGAAACCAAACGTAAAGTGTCACTACATATTTAAGTTTTCAGTAAAAACCTCGATGTAATGGTGAATATTTATGAAATAAGTACACGTACTTTGCAAGTTTCTGTAACACGAGGTATTACTTCCAGCACCTCTTCCACATTAACTCCCTCTAAAAGTGCTTTAGGCGGAGTAAATTCAACATGTGTACGAAGCATACTGGACATCATATAGTTTGATCGCTTTGTTAGGCGGTACAGCATATAATTTGTCATATAATCCGCCAGCTTTATGAAACTGAGAGAATAATAATAATTGATAATGTTAGTAAAAGTAAATTTTAAAAAAATGTCCGGCCGGACGGAGTTCAGCGTCTGCGGACGGCAAGAAAGGATGGCTCGCCGCCCGACCAGAACCAGACGACGCGTCGCGTTCCGCGCGCGCCTCCAAGAGCCATCAGACCACAACAGATGGGGCCCAGTAGGGCTGATGCTCGATAAGGAGCCGCGGAAGACCTGACGGGTTGCCGGATCTCTGGCTGAGAGAGAAAAGATCGAATCGAACTCAAACGAAAAATATCGACTGTTACAGAATATCCTAACTGATCCTCGATACTTTTCTCTGTTGTAAGCCTCATCTCATATTAAAACACGCTGTACTTTTAAAAGTAACGAATTAAAATAAATGATTTTATTTTAGTTTTGATAATTATTAGGTCAGATACCGATGCAGTTTTTAATTACGACGAAATAATAAATCAAGTAATGATTCTAATTATAATAATAATATTTCTTTCTTACCCAGTCAACGTCTCTGTCGTTACCTTTTCCTTTGACTTGTTTCTTTGATATCTTGGAACGGAATACAGGATCCAGGACTGAATGTAAATTAACTAAATAATTCCAAACATTTTAAAAACAACCAAAGTAAAACCGGTCTTACCACGCTAATCTTTCGCAGTATTTTCTCTTATTCGCTTTCTCTGTGTATGACATGCCCCCAGTGGGCTTTCCTCTGATGACTTGAAAAGGTGGGATATTTCTGTCATCATACACAAATCCTTGCTGGTACAGGGCTGTGTGACATGATTGGGTGATCACATCCAGAACCACCGTACGGTATTCATATAACTTGTCTCTGACATATTCTATTCGTTTCATCTGTAAGTTTGTGTTGTAAAACTTTTTTACAGAATTTCTTATCGTTTTAGTCATTCAGAGTTCTACTTATTACTAATAACAAAGATATTTGTCTAAGGCTAATTAATAGGCAACGACTAACAACGTTACAATATTTTACCTGATCTTCAATAAAGTAGAAGAATGCAGTGTCCATATCTCTGGACAAATCAGCGAACGTTTTCATGTACATCTCACAGCACATCGCCTGTATGCTAAGCAGCGCCTTGCCCAATACTGGCGTCAAGATAAAAAGATTCTTCGCCAACTTATTACGAATCTTGGTATATTTTCTAAACATGATAGATTTCTTCCAAACATAAAATGCTTTCCAATATCGATATAGTTTAAAAAACTTAATCTGAAACAGGTTTATCGCAATTATCTATCTATCAATAAGAAAATTCTATTATTTTTGAAATTCTAATAAAGTTTTCTTACATCGGTGAGCTTAACAAAAATGGTATACTCTTGTTCCCAAGCAGGAAGCTTCGTGAAGACCATCTCGTTGGAATAGTGTGTAACCCCACACGGACTTATTGTGAAATAGTTTCGTTTGTCAATATTCTCATAAGTCACGACTCTGGAAGTTGGATTGCGTAAACATTGTTTTCTTAGACGAATACGAAAAAAAAGATAAGTAGTTAGTAAAAACAAATACAAATCCGGTCTGATATGCCAATACAAGTCTTCGGAGAACCGGCTAGATAACATTTTGTGAACTTGGTGTCAATTGATATTAAAATAAGATATGGGTATTCTTAATCTCAAACATTAAATAATTTAATCTATTAAGAGCATTACGAGTAATTCGACGAATTCTCTGTCGTTTCGATTGGACCAGAAATCTAACACAGTATTGGAACCACTCGACTCGACTAACCCGCTATTAACATTACAGAAAGAGTACCTACATAATGTATTTATTATTAGGGAGGTATCTATGTCTTAAATCCTAAAGTTAATGAAATAATTAGGCGCTTACTGAAGGTAATAAGGTGTAAAATAAACATTCTGTGGGTCCACAGCATATATCATATACAGGAAACCGCATGACGGGTTGTTTCTCACGTGATTTATCACATCTGTTTGAGATGCCACAGGCGGTTTTACTTTCAGGGGATCAGTGGTTTGGTACTCCTTGTCCTCCAAACTTGTGGCTGATTCCCGAATAATGAGTTTCCTCTTCCTCTTAGTACCACTACCAACAGCAACACCTATACATAAAATTGTTAATTTATGTTGATCTCACCAGAACGGTCTTTTTTTAATAATAATAATATAATCCTATAATAGTCTTATACAAAGAATACAATAAATAAACCCACCAAACTGCTATGACAGTTTGACGGCGGGAATAGCGCTCGATATTTATACCTATATTACTAATCAAACGAAACTTCGGATCAAACTTGTCCTTGACAAAAACAGAGTTTTTGTAAGCCTATATCGCTAAGTACTTACTGCTGGCTTCTGTTTCTTCTGTAGCCAATGTTAGAGGCTCTAAAGTACCTGGCTTTCGCTCTTTTTTAAAACGATTCTCTTGAGCAGCTGCAAAACCCGTCTGTAGAAATAAACGGAACACACATGAATTATTCTGAATGCATGATTAATGGGTTGTCACCATAGCCGATTTACTGTGCATTGGGTTTCCGCAAAGAATGTCATCGGATCTAATTTGTACCTATCTATTTAAAAAAGAAGTAGGTATTATGCCCTTTGTAAACGCCACGCCGGTTTCGGTTCTGTGGGGTCATGGTATTACTCCGGTCAATTCTATTCTGATTAAGGCAATTTTAGTAGCCAAACGTCGGCCCATTAAATATATAAAAAAGTCTCAGAGACCAGCGCCTCAGAACCGATCTTGGTTTAGAAAAAGGCCAGTACATTCCTTCCTAAACAAGATGACATACCAAAGGTTCAGGTTCTTTTTTGACATATTCTATTTTTTCCAGTAGCTTCTTATGGGGTACATGAAAAGGCACTTCCCGAGGTTTTCTGAAACATAAAATTCGTCGTTCAACGCCGTTGACTACAACGTCAGTAAATTACACTTTCATACCTGCTAAGCCTACTTCTCCAGCACGGAGAGATATGAGAACTTGACGGTTTTGTATTTAAAAAAAAAGTTACCCCATCCTAGGATTTTCTCCTGTGTGGGTGCGTTTATAAACAAATAAGTTCACATACACATGACACCCAGACCCTGAACTGTCTGTGGATCACACAACGAATTGTTCCGTGCGGGAATCGAACCCGCGACACGTTGCGCGTCAGCCAGTTGCAGTCGTCGCGCCAACCGTGCAGTCTGGCTTCATTTTTTGAATTTGTTTGATGACTGATTAAATTTACTAGGTAGATACAGGATACATGTCTGACTTCTAATTATTTTTGTCCTATCTGCCTTATCATAAATGTAGGTACTAGCGAACTCTTAGTAGGTAGGTATAATAACTATTCATGGGTATCAAAAACCATAAAACATTCCACCAGCCCTTATAGACTCGCACTTGGCCGATGTTTTTTTAAGTAGGTACCTACGATAGTAATAATAAAATAATTATATAAAACAAAATAGGTAGTTACTTCGTGTGGTACGTAGGTGCAGGCCTTATATTTCTTTGTAATATCTCTATCGCTGGTAGTGTTGTTGAGATAGTTCGGCGATTCAATCGCTTCTCACTTGTAACTGAGAAAGGCATTTTGTAAACACTGTTATAGTTTGTCCATCATATTACTTCACAGATGGTATTAATAAGAAAGAAAATAATAAATTATCATCCAAGATTATGAGTTTATGAGACAATCGAAGACAGTTGTCAACAACTCCAAATTTTGTTTATCACCATGGAAACCAGTGTCAAGCGTCTATCAAGCAACCACATAGCAACTATGAAGCAATAGACACGGAATTAGTACGTAGGAACCTACTTATGTCGTTGCGCCTGCCAAAACTGATATGTGCAAATATTTAGTTTTTTTTTCTTAGCTAGATGTCCTTCAAATCGGATAGCGCATCGATTACAAAAACAAATATGTGTTATTTCCCTATAGAAATCGATTAGACCAATCTTATGTGTGCACTTTCTGGCCATGAGAAATAGGTTATGTGTTCGAATGGTTACGGTTACGTGACATCAAACGCACATGTCAGAAGTTGCAACATCACTTATAGTTTGGCAGACTGAATATCAACAGTTTTTGTTTAAAATTTTTACCGTTTTCTAAGATCACTCTGATATGTGCACCAAAATCGAAAATAAAATTATTGGGGATGAACAGTACACGTTATCATTTTCACTTTTATCTCAGTTATTTTATCATAATTTTTGCCATCATACTGTATTTTTAATTTATTGCTAAGTCCATCAACCTTTCAGTGCAAGTGTAAAAAATAGTTTATTGTCTCCTCCTGAAAACTTGACCAAACGCACATAACAGTTTTGGCAGGCGCACCGACGTAATATAATATTATGGTCAGGCTTTATTTCCCATTGAGGTAACAGAGATAATGGAACCACCAATGAAAAAAGGATATAATTATACAATTCTGGTATAGGACCTACCATTTTACAAATAAAAAATTCATAGCCACTTACTGTATAAGAACAAAGATTTAACTCAAAGCATTAAATATGTACCAGTTAACTTTAATTCAATTGATATTGTTTTGTTTTTTAATATTATACCATAAACTACAAGAAAAAAAAACAAGAAATTTTTTTTTATCGTGTTCCTACCTGATAAAGTAACATTAGTTATAAGCTTCGATTAACAATAGCAACTAGTTATAGGGTTACGTACAAAACAGTTCTGTCCGCGTGAAAAATAAGACTTAAAAAATAACAAACAGAGAAAAATGCTTTATAAATAGTTTTAAGTTCAACCTAATAACAACCATGGCACCTGATAATAAAGTCACAAATCGATGTTATTGTTGATCGAAAGTTATAAGGTAAAGGAAGTGGATCTAATAAGATACCTATCAACTTAATACCAATCTATTTAATTCGATAAACGAATATGTAAGACTTTTAAGGGCTGTTTAACAATGATTGATTAAAGTAACTGTTAGCGAAACTATATGACACATAGGTATTTTGATACTTATAATCATCGATCATTTTACAGTAATGATGAACAGAAAAAATGGCTCTTAGCAAACGTCCATGAGCTACATATTATAGGGGTTTTTGATTGAGTAGAATACTTTCTCTAAGCAGGTAAAGTGCCGAGTTACTGAACTGTTTTACTTAATTAGTACACAAGTTTTTATTAATATTTATATTTTCATTTAAATAATATAAAACAGGACTACTTCTGAGTCACATAAAGCCGTTGCTCGCTTCGTTGTGTGTCGTTGCTGTATTTTGAAAGTCCCGCCACGCCATGATTTTGTACAAGGACGACAAAATGTCTGATGGTGTATCAAATAGCGCCAGTCTATTTTGTTCTAATGATTAGTTGTACAAGCAAGAATACTTTTGCAAAAAACATAGTTTATTTATTCTTTTAGGTGAATGCATTTTTCCGATTCCACTAGAAATTCTTTGCCCCAAGAAAAAGGTTGAATAAGACTGTGAAATATAATACCCTTGCGCAGACATACTTTAGCTTCGTTCCATCGTTCAAGTACGACGCGGTTTTAAAAAGAAAAAATATTTGTCTATGTTCTGATTGTGATTGTGTGATTGGCGCTATTTTGCGTTTTTATTTTAGATTTAAGTATTTTAGCAGTGTAATTTGTGTCAAGTATGAAATACTAGTTTCAAAATAGTCTTCTCGAGTGTGGTTAATCATACTAAAAGCTTCGTACAAGGTACGCTTCTAAACATTTTAATCACTTAGAAAGCAACTTTCTCCTTTCGCTACTGTCAATTTTGTCGATATGTTTTAGTTGTAACAAAAACGCTGAAAATTCAAGCATATTGTATTATTTATCGAATCTGCCTTCACATTTGTTATTATTTTATATCCAGTTATCTTTTAAAATTGAGTGGCTTTAGATAAAATATACCTAATAATACACCTACCGAAGCCTTGGTTTGCACAAGACGCAGATGCAAGTACCTAGATACGAATTCTGGCTAATATTTTTTTACCTTGTCTCCGCTTTCAGTAAATTAAATATAAAATAATTATGAAATTACTCTGGGGAAATTATTTTCAAATTTAATTAAGTACGATGTTTATTACATCCAACATAACTATAGGTACTTATTTTCGTTAGCCAGTACGTTATAAAAAATACGTTTTTCTGGAAATACATACGCAAACAAAATAATATGCATAGTAAACATAGGTATATTCTTATTTTGTATGACCTATCTAATATCTGATTAGAATATTATGACCATTACCTCCTATAATTACAAAAACTAGATAACTAAAACTAGTACCTACAAAATAATATTTGACTATAACTGGATTTTCACACTATGCATTTAAAGATATTATTCTAAAATTTCTTGTACCTAAGTCTATAATTAGCTTTGAAGTTAGTTAATTAACAAAATTATCTCTTACATTGAGTGAACAGCTATGTGCAAACATTGTTTAGCTGGAATTTTTCAATGCTCAATCAAGGATGATTAAAATAGTTTACATGTAGAAACTATTGACATTTACAAAATAGTTAAACATCTAAATTGTTTTTACTTGTAGTCTATGTTAATTACACAACATTGTGTGTTTTTGACTCCACAGATCGTTCAATGGGTTCCTTAACATAAAACCTGCCAGAAGCTTCATTTGAAGCCTTTAGTGTTAGTTGTCATTGAGGAATTGAATGGCTATGTATTATTACGCAAGTAAACTGAATGAAGCCTCATGTAGTGGGTGCAATATGAAAGTGCCCCCAGCCCCCTCCGAGCCGGCCCCTGTGCCACCACCACCCACCGATCTCGCTCCACTACCACCAGACCCATCTCTCCTGCATGGAACGGGCCTTTCTTATTATGATGTAAGTTTCCTCTATTGCTTATTATGTACAACATAATGGTTCTTTATTGTATTTATGAACCCCACGGTCCATATAGTCACTTTACCCTAACATGCTAGCAAAAAGGTAATATTACTAGTTCTGTTACAAGGGGATGAAATTCAATATTAAATATAATGTTTATACACCTTGAAATACTGATTACTAAGAAAATGTTTTTACAGAATGATGACTACTACTCAATGGTGAGAGGCAACAAGTTCATGTCTGAGAGTACATGCAAACATATTGTAATGAATGGGGGAATCAACTTTGTTTCTACTCAGAAAGTAGAAAATCCACAGGTAATACAAAAGCCTTTAGTTATTAATTTTTTATACTTAAAAATATATAATAAATATATAAGTGTAAAGTTCTATTAATTATATAACTTTTCAGTTATCAGCTGTGCTACCATCTGGTGTGAAGTCCTTAGCAACTCTGCCATACATGAACTGTGCATCTGACAAGCCAGAGGTTGAGTACAGAGATGGTCAGATTGTGAGTGCCACTCTAGAGGCTCTGGTAGATATGTTGCGACCAGGGGCCAGCAAAGCATTTACATTCACATTCCTACTATGTTCACGGCTATTTGTAAAACCGCATGAACTACTGAACAAGCTCTGCAAGCGCTACTTTAAAAGCTATGAGAAAATAGTAAGTGTATTTCATTTAAGAATCACTTAAGCCTGTGTTATTTTAACTCGTCGAGTACCGGTTTTGCAGACACAATTATAGAACAATAGGTTGCGGTCACCGGTGACCGCTTGGTATTTGACAGTTTAAATAGCCTTGTAACACCTATAATTTCATTACAGGGAAAGTCAGAAATGAAAGATTTGGTAGAGAAAGAACTTGGTGACATGATATCCCTTGTGAGGGTGCTAAGCCAGTGGACCAGCATGTTTCCTTACGATTTTCGTGACGACAGGGTTATGGCTCTTGTACGCAGTATAACTCAAAGGTAAATATCTTATTGTCCTGGTATCTATTTTCTTGAGTGGCGGGTTCAAGTGTCTGATCTGTAAATTGTTGTGCAGATGTGCAGCAGATCATATGACTTCAGTAAGAGTAGAGATGTCGACGACACTGGAAAAACTGCTTGATAAGTTGACTGCACTTGAACAATATGAAGAGACCTTAACTGAACCACCTCAGGTGTCGTCTTTGGACCAGTTGATGCAGGTGACGCAAATTTAAATTTAGACATTGCTGTCAAAAATGTTATCTTAGTAGAATGAAAAATGACTGGAATATTCTTGAAACCTGTTTCAGGGCGACATTCTGACCCTCGGCCTCACTCCAGTCGAATTAGCGAACCAGTTGACCATTGTAGAGCTGCACAGGCTATCCTTTGTTGGCCCTGAAGAGTTTGTGCAAACATTTGCACCAACACAACCGCCACAATCTTCATCATCATGTGGTAAAACCTCTATCAGCTTACATCACATAGAAACTAAAAGCACGCGGAATTTGGAAGCATACGCTGATTGGTTTAACAGACTCAGTTATTTAGTGGCAACTGATATTATAAAGGTAAATAAAAACCGTTGAACCAATTTTATACATTTTTCTTGTCATTTTTTAGTTTACCTTACATTTATTTATTTTGTGTTTTTGCAGGCTGTTAAAAGCAAATACCGGGCTCGAGTGATTGAACAGTGGGTGATGACAGCCAGAGAGTGTTTCAATCTTGGGAACTTTAACTCGCTCATGGCCATTATAAGCGCATTGAATATGTCACCAGTGACGCGACTTAAGAAGACGGTTAGTTATATTTTATATCTGCCTTTACGCCAACGTAAATGCTGCACTTTTTGTTACTTAAAGAAAGTTGTATTCGGATTTTAGTGGAGCCGAACATCAGCTGTATGTGGTCAGCAACTGAGGCAGCTAGAACTTTGTGTCGAGCCTAGTGGAAATCACGCAAGGTGAATATCCCTCATTCATCAAGTTGAATGAAATTATGTTGTCAGGCCTTTACAGATATTGTAATAAAAATTTCCTGTGTTTGATGCTGAATGACTAAAATTATAGATACCGCGCAGCATTGGCCGCGGCACCCAGTGAGACGGCCGTGCCGCTACTCTCTGTAACATGCCGAGATCTACATTTCGCTAACCAAGGCTCTCCCTCGAAGTAAGTACTTGCATTAAATAGAGATATTTTACATGTAGTATAATTCTTCGTATCTTCAAATTTACGGTGAGTGTATCAGTGTTTACAATATGCATTCTATGTTACAGGTTGCCTGGAAATCGAGTGAACTTCGAGAAATGTTTGTTGCTGGGTCGCTATGTCAATATTCAGCTGGCTAGCCGACAGCTAACTGTCGAGGGGACTCCTGTCACCTCACATCCTTCTCCCCACATCTCAGTGTGGCGCTTCCTTAACGATAGACCTACACTCACTGAGATTGGTAAGTATTTCATTATTATTTTACTGAGGTACATAATCTACCAGAATTTACATTTAAAATGTTAAATTATTAAGTCCGTCCTTATTGTAACATTTAATTATCTCGTTATTCTGCATCATTTTCACCATATTTGCTAACGTACTGTAAAATCATGGAATTACTGGAATTTAAACTCTTTTGCTAGTATTCGTGTTGAAACAAAGAAAAGTAAAGTGCTAAGCTGCTAAGCGATCGTAGTTATATTCGCTCTAGTATTTGCCTAAGCTACTTTGCAACAAAAGCCTATAGCGAAGTCTATTCGCATCTCGAAAGACTACAGACATATCGATGTTCTTAAAAAAATTAATAAATACCCGTAAGTAAGGACCTGCATTGCTACAGTGCTTCTATTGGACGATAATATTTATGTTTATTTACGTTCACGGTTAAGAGGATTATGTGTAAAAGCGCCCTTGAAATACTACGTTTTAATTAAATTTATTGTAACCACCTGTTGGATTTATACTACGGGACTTAATCCTTGTTTACAAATACACGCGTCGTTTTCCAAGAAAAGCTAGCGTTGTGGTAATTCTCAATAACCTTGGGTTCGGTACCCAGTTTTTTGTACTACAGATTTTACTGAACTAATTACATGGCATAGTTCGATCCTTTTGCTTTTGCAGGCAGAATTTTATTGAGAATTTCAAGGATCGCAACTTTTATCTCGTAATATAAAAATACCACCCTATGTTTTGTTCTTTACTTATCCTATGTTGAAGCCATTGCTCTCTTTTCGCTGTATGTTATTGATTTATATATTACATAATGATGATTATCTTCACATGTTATAAAAAAAAGTCCCTAAATTGTTGTAAAGTTTTTACAATTAGATAATGTAATTCCTGAGGCAGGTTTTATATTGTCAACAATATATTGTAATGGTTTGATGACAAGGCTGGTGCTGCAAATGCTTAATTTTGCTTATGATCTTCGTGTTCTCCTGCGTTTCTAGTAAAATATCATATCATTGATTTTGCGGCTTCTAGTTACAATTATTACAACTATATACGTTTGTACATGGAGCCGATAAAAGGTTATTAATAATCGGTACCTACTTTTGTTAATTTATAGCTATCGCCAAATGTACTCAATATTCTCTATTTCCAAAAGCGATTGTTCTTGTTTTTCATGGTGCTTTAGTCAGTAAATTAATTAATTGACTTACAAACACATAACATTAATGCATCGCTATGCATTTTAAAAAAGGGATGTTTTTGTGCCCTGCAGATTGTCCGAGGTTGACCAATTAAATGTAACAAACTCCACTTGAACCAGTTAAGGTTTATGTAATAGGGGGTTAATCCTATTAATCTTGACATCAACAACATCTTAGTCCTCTGCTAGACTTGTTTGGCAAAATAAAATTAGGGACGATTTTGCGGTGTTGGCCTAGAGGTCTCTCTGGGTCTAATCCGCATCTGGCCTACTGACAATTATAAGTTCAAGTGTTGCGAATCTACTACTCATATGAGACAACAAATTCGTTCATATTTGGGTCAGTTATCAAACTTAAAATAATATATAAGTATGCTGATGTTGCAAATATTTTTTGCGAAGGTCATATTTTCCACTATAGTAAGAACAATCTAACGGATGCATTGCGATATCCGATTAAATGTAGTGTTAATGTTGCTTTTTGTAAATTAGTGTTGATTTCTGTTTTGTATAAATATATGCAAGTTATTATTATGTTCTAGTCTAGTTGATAGTTACAATAAGGACAGCTCATAAATTTAAACCTATAATATAATTTAAAAAATACAATTTCATAATTAATTTATGAAACCGGTCTAACTGTGCAACAATAAATAAAACAAAACAAAAGTCTTTTCAATCGTACATAATATCTTTTCAGCTCTGGAAATCATATCGTTTGAGCGCGAGCCTCCGGTGGACCATCAAGAAAAAGAGCGGTTGAAGCGCCTACGAGGCGCTACTTAAATTAAATACAAACCTCGTATTTGTGATCGGGATTCCGATATTTTTTTAAGTTAAACCCGGTTATGGGTGACGCCCACCAAGCGTTATGTGTTCTACTCTTAAACTCATTACGTCATCGTATGTTATGTCTTATCTCGAGGGTAAAGGTACCTATGTACTTGGTTTCATTTAAGTCACGTTATACTTTATTTTAAAACTAATGCAAACGCATCCACTTGATTTTAAACATTATCCAAAATCAATATTTTATTACACTTTGATATAATGATCTCACGATATATATAGGAAAATCTAGAAATTATTATTAAATAGCTTCACTTAAATCCCCTTTCAGGGGAACCACCCTTAGGGAAATGATAATATGAGATTACTATACTGTCACAATTTTTACTGGATCCGCGAGGTAACCGACCAACGATAGTCATATCAACAAACTGCTCAATATGTGTATTAACATTTTAATTTTACATTTTGCAGCTACAGAATGTGTGTACCAAACAGTTTAGTATTTTTTGTGTAGTTTTAGAGTAGGTATAATGTGATTATGAGGATTCGTATTTTTTAATATCGTCATAATTCATAATATTGCATACGTATGCAACTAGCCGGAGCACCGGGCTAGTGAGAAGATTTTTAAAAAGAAGTCGGTTGATAATGAAACTATGGAATTTACTACATTGACACTAAGTATGAAATACGTGTAATTTAAATTATTTCCATGACTCCTTAATCTTCATTTATGAGGCCATTTAAATCCAAGTTCCTTACACATCAGTATTTAGCTACCTGTTAAATCTCGCCATTATGATGAATCTCGTAATGTAAGTACTTAATATTTATTTTTTACTTTTTGCATTCTGAAAATTGATCTCATGTATTTGAATTATTTTTTGTGAACTTGTGTTCAAGTGTTAAACGTGTATTCGAATGTGTATATGTGCGACGGATATTTATGTATATTTGGTGTAGTATATGCATTTATTGTGCAGTACAATACATTGCACGAGCTCCTGTTGTTTTCCTTTTGATGTCTCAAAAATGGCAGTTATTATCCTGTTTTTTTTTTCTTTTTAGTTTGTATCAATTTTATTTAAATTGATGTTCATTAATGTTTTATTAAATAGTTGATACATTTGTGGTGATTATCTACGCATGATTAAGATGTTTACTTGGTCGTTAATATATTTAAATAAATGTCTACTTAAAGTCTCGGACCCAAGTTAACTGAATTATATTGTCAGCATGGGTAATATATTTAATGATTAATATTTGAAACAAAATGATTCTTATATGCATCTATGTGTTATGAATGTAGTGACTATGTACCTATTTAAAGTCTATGTGTCATATCACATATAGAATTAGTGTTTACTGCTCGGTAATCGTTGTTTTTTAACTATATTTTTACGTAAAAATGTGTTCACGGCTATTACCTTTAAGCAACATTTGTACTTAATTCTTTACGTACTTAATACTCATTTAACATAAATTATTTTGTAAGTTTTCGAAGGTTTTCAGCAATGTTATGTGTACAAATAAGTTGCCATGTTAGGGTTAGAACTAACTTCTGAATAATTTATACTGCCTGTGGCCCCCTTTATCTCGTATTATCGTAATGGATACGATTCCACCTCTACTTAATGTAAGTTCACAAATAGGTAACATAACACCAACTACACTGTGACTCTGGAGTCAGCAGGAGTAAACAAAACACTTAATTTATTTATACCTAGTTAGTATCTAGTTCATTCTTCTGTATTAATAGATCGACCTTATTTCTCTACCCTGGTTACCTTATTACATTCCAATACAATGATTGACTAGACCAGTATTAAGGAGGCAGCTAGAAACAGTATTGGATATTATTTCAAGTATATTTATTGCGATCGAATCCTAATTTGTATATTTAAATTTGACTGTCGAAACTTTACAAGATTATTGAAATTTTCAACTCAATTTGAAGATATTCATTAGAAATATATTTTTACTTACCTACTATTATGCAATAAACATTGATGCTTACAAATGGCCCCAATTAATTTTTACCCAAATGTAAATAAAAGAAATATTAGATTTGTGTATTTCACTTTTACGTGTAGATGTAGATACTGTTGTAACCAGTTTCAAAGCCAGTCACACAAGCCCACCCCTCAGTTGTTATCCACGACATAGGTCTTCTTACAGTGATATGTGATTGATCAAAAGCAAGTTTTATTAATACAATGAAACCTGGTTAAGTGAGACATCAAGGGACCTGCAATGTCGTTTCACTTAAAGAGGTATTCCACTTACCCAGTGTCTCAGATATACAGGTATAAATAAATATCTGTCTCATTTACAGAGGGTTCGATAAATAGAGGTAGACTTGGAATTACGTGTGGAATATGTGGGTAGAATAAGAATGAGTAAACAAACAATGTTATCTCAGTTACAGAGGTTTATGCATATAAAATTTATTCGCTGTCTCAGTTATAGAGGTAACTATGATGATAAATCGAAAGAATAAATCCCAGATATAGAGGTTTACCTCGTCCCACTAACAGAGGAAATTCAGTGCCAAAGTGTTGGGACCTCAGCATGAGTTCCAGTTATGGAGGTTTCTCACTTATCCAGGTCCCACTTAACCAAGTTTCACTGTATATTATACTGTTTTTGTAAAAGTTTCGCCAGTCCATCTCTGTATGTTGAATACTTTTTTATCTTATTAGTACTCGTGTATTATTATACGCACTATTTTAAAGATTCCTTGTTGTATCAACATGGCAGTGTTATATTGCCATCAAAATTTATATTTTTTTATATTTAAATTATTAAAATGCATCTGCCCTGTGATATGTGATCTGTCATACCTGTATTTTACATTCCTTTTTATTATATCCAGCTTAATAACTCATCTATAATCTCCTCATACCCAAGTACATTATTGTACAGGTACGGGCAGGTTATACTATTGATTATTACTTAATATTCATAGAAATTGTATGTAGTTTTCAAGTTATCTGTTTAAAAATTTACTTGTTACTATCGAAAATTATCTAAATGTCACAAATTCTAAAATTATAAATTAAAACATAAGATAAAACTATTTAAGAAATAAAACGTCATCATTGTAATAAACAAATATTGTGTTTTTATGTTGCCCTGCCTCGAGGTGTTTTAGTAATAAAACACTACCTTTCATGTAAGTTCAATGTTTAAGTTCCATGTAGCTACATCACTGTGTATCACGGTACGTTGAGTCTAGATAGATTGTTAAGGTCGGAAACAAAAACTAGAACAAGTAAATATTATTTATTTTTTAGTAACAATATTAATCAAAGTATGTACAATACTATGAAATTTTATTTTAATTACTGCTATCTAAAGTATCTTAATAACTAGCACCAATGAATTTTACGTAATGAATTTGTCTGTACAATGTATAAAAGTATTTAAATAGATATTTTATTAAGATAGAAGTTATTTACTATACTATGTCTAGTTACACCTCATTGGTGTTCCATCCGGGTTTGTAGGAATTTTGGGCTTGCATACCTTTTTCCTACCCTCAGCGCTGCTGACCATGGTACAAGTAAATGTAAAATAGCCGCAGGATGAGGATTTTGTATAGTATGTGTGAGAGTATTGTTTACGAACATTATTTTCACTATCTAGGTCACGTGTTACTGATTTAGAGACCGAGACGTACCTGTTATTATTGTCGGGTTTAGGACTGTATAATGATCTCAAATTTTTCGCATTGACATTCCTTGGGTATGGAGGGTATTTGTATTTGATTCTGCCGCTCCCTGAAGTAAGGGACACTGTTTGTGCTTGTGAAGGAGATTCTTTAGAACCAACTACGTAAGTCTTGTCTTTAGACGCTACAGATTTGACACTACCAGTGAACCCAACTGGTATTGTGTAACCACCAGTACCTGGTACACGTTCTCCAGGTTGGTATATTCTACTTTCATCTGGGCGTTCCGAATTCCTCTGTGTAATTTCTGCATCTTGATCTGTTAAGGAGCCTAGCAAAATATGTTGCGTATTACCACCCGTCGTCTGTCTCACTTCTATGCCTTTTCGTTTTGGACTATGAAGAGATTGATGTGTTGTTTCAGGATCTCTGGAGAATTCATTGTAGCTAGGATTGATATAACCCTGTTCGCTATCGGCAGCATCAGTTCCTTCAGGACCGAAACCATCGTCGTAGTCTTCTGGTGGAGCGTCATCTTTATCTGGAGAGTATTCGTAGTCTCCGTCTGGATTGTAAGATGGTTGGAAAGATCGTCTACTTTCTACTGGTGGTGAACGAGTGGGCCCCAATGATGGGTCATTTAAATGATGATCTTCATGTTTATGTGTGTCAAACGATTCTTCAGGCTGGCCAAGTGGCTCTTCCTTATCTGGTTCTGGCACTTCCGGTTCATATGATAATTCCGTTGTAGATAGATCAGATGAAGGTGCAGGAGTTGTATATTCTATTGTTTCTGTGATGTTGAGATTTTCATCATTAATGTTGAGGTTTTTATTGATTTCATCATTAACGTTGGCGTTTTTATTGGGTTCATCATTAATGTCGATGTTCTTGTTGCTTTGATCATTGACGTCAATCTTTTCAAATGGCAATCTATTTGGGAATACGGCATCTTTGTCTAAACTAGATCCTGCCTGAGCAGCACCATTGTATGTAATGCCATATTTGAAAGTGCCGTGTAATTGTGATTGTGACATGCCAGTTCTGCCGCTTGATTGCGCGGAAGCTACTCCTCCTCCGACGAATGGAGTTTTCTGTGCGTCGTGCGATTTATCACCTTCTTTGTAGGGCGTAAATCCTATTTGGGCTTGAGAAGATGTGCTGCCTGGTCCTCGTGCTTGTGCGTCAGCCATACCTCCTTTAACACTACCTTGAACTTGTGAATTAGACGAGTGCAGTAGACCTTCACTTTGCGATCCCGTTACAACTGAACCGGTCTCTAAACCAAGTTCCACATTAGCTTGTGATTTATTGTTTCGACCACTGCCTTGGGCTGTACTTGAAGCACTTCTTTTGTCACCAGCTACCTGGCTGCTGGCGGCTTTGTTCTCACCAGTAATTTCTGCTTGAGCTGAGAATGATCCACTGCCTGTGTAAGTACCCTGTACATTAGTCTGAGCTCTTCCTTTGTCGTTGCCACCTTTAGACGATGCAGACGCGACTGTTCCATTAGCTGCTTGGTTTACACTTGCTAGAGCTTCTGAGTCATCCCCGTCGATGATAGAGTTGGGATCAATAACGTTTTGTGGTACACCTAAGGATTTAAATAGTAAATTATTGTAACTTGTTATTATGTATTCTATATATAATATTGTGGCTTATTTGCTTTGCCTTGCAATTAAAGTTTAATTATAATTAAGAATTCAATCCCCTTACTAATATAACCATATTAGTCAACAAAATTTCTGACTGATTTCAGTATCTGGTCAAACCCCAATCCGAAGTCTTACCGATTTGGAACCTGAACCTGGAATCCTGTTTAAGTTCGAAATTGTATTGAAAATCGATACAATTGTAATTTATTATTGTTCTGAAAATTATCGTACGATATTCTATCCATTTATTTATTTAGATTATAATAAAGTCTATTTCAACTGAAATGTAAAAAATGAAATTAATTTACGTACCATTTTGGTTACCGCCCGAACCCTGAAATAGTAGACATTATGTATTAGCGAAATCCAATAGATACTTATAAATAAAATATCCTGCTATTTAACGAGTAGCCTAACATGTAAGTGCTACAAGTCCAATGGCATTTAATACATAACACGTAATTGGGTGGAAAATTATCAAAATGGCGGCAATGTTAGTACCGTCTTCCGGGGCCACGGTGTATGGTCAATCACGCTGTGACCCCGGCAGGTACTGCACAGCACTCTAGGACATATGACGACTTCAAAAGTTTTTTATATGATCTGTATTATCTCTAGTTAATCATTTGCAATTGCAGCTAAACACATTATAGACAGTTGACACTAAACAAATTATACTTCTCCACATTATGCGTATATTTTAAAATTCATTTTACAATTGATACAATAAGGTATGTACAACTGTTTCGTGTTTCTTTGTGCTCAAAGCAAATTACGATACGAATAATACAAGGTTAAGAAATATATGCCGTGAAATGTAAATGAGTACATCATAGAAAAAAATATTGGCAGTAAACTTACCGCTTGATTATCAGGACCGCCTGGAGCGTAAGGATTGTATGTAGAACCTGGACCATACTGTCCACCAGTTCCACTTCCACTACCTGGTCCATATTGTCCACCAGTTCCGGTGCCTGGCCCATATTGCCCACCAGTACCACTTCCTGGTCCATATTGCCCGCCAGTACCACTACCTGGGCCACCTGGACCGTATTGTCCACCAGTACCAGAACCGGGACCTCCTGGCCCATATTGACCTCCAGTGCCAGTTCCAGAACCAGGGCCACCAGGTCCATATTGGCTACCAGTGCCGGAACCGGGGCCACCAGGCCCATATTGTCCTCCAGTGCCTGGCCCAGATCCAGGGCCTCCAGGTCCGTATTGTCCACCCGTGCCTGTCCCACTTGGTCCATATTGACCTCCAGTGCCTGTTCCAGAACCAGGACCGCCCTGTCCAGATCCAGGGCCCCCAGGTCTATATTGTCCTCCAGTACCTGTTCCAGAACCAGGACCGCCTGGTCCATACTGACCTCCAGTACCTGTTCCAGAACCAGGACCACCTTGTCCATATTGTCCGCCCGTACCTGTCCCACCTGGTCCATATTGACCTCCAGTGCCTGTTCCAGCACCAGTTCCACCTGGCCCATATTGTCCTCCTGTGCCTGTTCCAGAACCAGGGCCGCCTGGTCCAAACTGACCTCCAGTGCCTGTTCCAGAACCAGGGCCGCCTGGTCCAAACTGACCTCCAGTGCCTGTTCCAGAACCAGGGCCGCCTGGTCCAAACTGACCTCCAGTGCCTGTTCCAGAACCAGGGCCGCCTGGTCCAAACTGACCTCCAGTGCCTGTTCCAAAACCAGGGCCACCTGGTCCGTATTGTCCTCCAGTGCCAGAACCGGCACCACCAGGCCCGTATTGTCCTCCAGTGCCACCTGGTCCATATTGTCCACCAGTTCCCGTTCCAGAACCGGGTCCTCCTGGCCCATATTGACCTCCAGTACCGCTACCTGGTCCACCCGGCCCATATTGCCCACCAGTACCGCTTCCTGGGCCGCCTGGCCCGTATTGCCCACCAGTGCCGCTTCCTGCTCCACCTGGACCATATTGCCCTCCGGTTCCGCCGCCAACACCACCTGGGCCATATTGTCCTCCGGTACCTGTTCCAGAACCAGGACCACCTGGCCCATATTGTCCTCCAGTGCCTGTTCCAGGACCAGAGCCACCTGGTCCATATTGCCCTCCAGTACCGCCACCAGCATCACCCGGGCCATATTGTCCTCCCGTACCTGTTCCAGATCCAGGGCCCCCAGGTCCATATTGTCCTCCGGTGCCTGTGCCAGAACCCGGGCCACCTGGCCCATATTGTCCTCCAGTGCCTGTTCCAGAACCAGAGCCACCGGGTCCATATTGGCCACCAGTGCCAGAACCAGGACCACCAGGCCCGTATTGTCCTCCAGTGCCACCTGGTCCATATTGTCCGCCAGTTCCAGACCCGGGACCTCCCGGTCCATAATGACCTCCAGTGCTAGATCCAGGACCACCAGGCCCATATTGTCCTCCAGTTCCAGTTCCAGATCCAGGACCACCAGGTCCATATGTTCCTCCAGTTCCTGTTCCAGAACCAGGGCCGCCAGGCCCATATTGCCCACCAGAACCGCCTGGGCCATATTGTCCACCTGAACCGCCCGGTCTATATTGTCCACCAGTACCGCTCCCAGTGCCACCAGGCCCATATTGGCCTCCTTGACCTCCTGGCCCATATTGGCCTCCAGTGCCAGCACCGGAACCAGGGCCCCCAGGTCCATATTGCCCACCTGTACCACCAGGCCCATATTGCCCTCCAGTACCGCCTGGTCCATATTGTCCACCCGTGCCAGTTCCCGAACCAGTGCCGCCAGGTCCGTATTGTCCTCCAGTGGTTCCTGGGCCATATTGACCTCCAGTACCGGTTCCAGACCCAGGACCACCAGGCATGTACTGACCTCCAGAGCCGCCTGGGCCATATTGTCCACCAGAGCCACTGCCAGGTCCACCAGGTCCAAATTGTCCACCAGTACCAGTTCCTGAACCAGGCCCTCCTGGTCTATATTGTCCACCTGTACCACCTGGCCTGTATTGACCACCAGTACCAGGGCCATATTGCCCGCCTGTACCTGACCCAGGGCCACCTGTGCCAGGACCGTATTGTCCACCAGTTCCGCCAGGAGTGTATTGTCCCCCAGGTCCGTATTGTCCACCACTACCTTGGCCGCCAGTTGGCAAACCAATGGCTCCAGGTGGTTTGTACCCATTGCCTTGACCGTTTTGTGGAACACAGCAATAATAATTAACACCATCAGCTCCGAGAACACTATAAGGCCAGTTTGATCCTCCTGGGTAACGACCGTTTTGTCCTGGATAGCCATTTTGACCACCGCCTTGATATATGCTGTTACCTGGTCGTCCACCATAACTTCCAATTCCGTTTTGTGGTAGCATCAAAGAACCTGGGGGTATGTTACCTCCATCATTTGATCCTCCAGGTATGTATCGGTGGTTACCTGGCCCAATGTTGTTATTTCCATTTTGAGAACTATCCGAAGGGCCGTACTTTCCTGGTCCAGTTCCTCCGTGTATGCCATCTCCACGTCCATTATTGTTACCATTTGGTAATCCATTGGAACCATGCGTAATTGGTGTGCCATCAGGATTTGTTCCATAACTTGATTGGCCACGGGGCCCTATTCCTCCATTGTTCATGTCTCCTGGTCGATATACTTGTCCAGGCCCAAAAGGTGTACCACCTAGTGTTCCGTCTTTACCAGGGTCATATCCAGTACTAGGGCCAGTTGCACCAGGTCCAATTGCACCAGGTCTAGTTGCACCAGGCCCAGTTGCACCAGGTCCAATTGCACCAGGGCCAGTTGCACCAGGATGTCCATACTGTCCGTTGTAGTTATTACCAGGTGTACCGCCTTGATTATTCCCCCCATAGCCGCTAGTCCTAGGATCGACCATTTGACCAGGTCCAAGTCCGCCTGGTCTATTTGAACCATTTCCGACACCATTACCTCCTGGCCCATTTGAACTGGAACTGAAATATTTAATGTGTTATTTATTTTAAAAAAGTCTTAGCGTGCGGTGTTAGCTAGTTTTATTATAGGTGTGACTGTGTAGTGTGTACATAATATAAATCACCGTAAACACGCAATCAATAATATACGATGCCAAAATTGTAAGTTGAACTTCATTATTTTACTACCATTATCCATACCATGCTTGCGTCATAGTAAATTTTTATGTTAGAGAAGCATATTTCTGAGTCAAACTTGAAAACATTTCCAATATTCTATGAATTTGGGATCTATGTGCCTAAAATAATATTATTTGGTAAATAAACTATTGAAGTAAGATAATAAAAAAAGAAAAAAAGGTCAAGCGCGTTTGTTTTTTGTTTTTTCAGTTTTATAGTTACCGCGTGCTTCATTTTTAAATTAACACTAAAAGTTAAATATTTTAATAACCGTTCAATTCCGCCTATTCCTTTGTTTGACTAAAATGTTGAAATTGATGTCATCTATAACTCCATACGAGATTGTGGTCGAATTACAAATCACCTGTATATATACATCATACAACATCTTGTTGATCACTACCACTATAGAAACTACATCTATAAAAACTGTCATAAAATTAAAAGCTTTAAAACATACATTTCACCTGGTCGGCGTTTCAAACTTTCTGCGCCCAAATCATTACGACCCAAACAATCATCGCAGCTCGGATCATACATCGATTGACTCTGAGCTTGGCCCATGCCGCTGTTGCCAACTGAAATAAAGCATGTAATTCACTTCTCTCGTCATTAACAATAATAAACAGTAGCAAGCACTTACAAGATTCCATTTAATTTTACAAGTGAATTTCTTTGAGTAACGAGTGTGAAAGATACCTGAACTTAGAAGTTAACGTACAAAGTTGATGTTTAAAACAATACTTACCGACTGTCGCTCGTGATGAATCCGCAGCAGAATGGGCTTCAGCTTTCCCTTCATCTTTGCCACTTCCTCGGTCTATTGCGAGATATTGGGACTGTGTCTGACCCCTGTACCGACCGCGAGGAGAGTAGGCAGCTTCACGGCGATCTCTGTGATATCCTTCTAACACTTTCGCTATACTTGTCTTGTCCAATACTCCCACAACCAAGGACTTGCAGAATAGAGACTGTGTTAACCCATTATAAGGCGATGTGACCTGTTTTAAAAACAATGTACATATATATATGTCATTCGAGTTTAAGCGTGAGTTCGATTGCCTTGACATAATAATACGTTTTCTTTGTTCCATTTACGATAGTATAATTGTGAAACATAGGCCAAGGAAACACGGTCAACCTTGACAAAAAGAAGTTATCTCCTAATACATATATGATAAATAAAAATATCTTCGTTTAGAACTCAAGTTCTATCGCAACGTTATCGTGTGAACGTAATAATTAATGCTTGGAGCTTTGTAATAAGTTATACTGTAGTTTCTTGTAGTATAAGAAACATTATACATCCTCTATAAGTATTTCGATAAAAACTTCATACGATGAGATATATGTATTCATTTCAAATTCAATTCCGGTCAATATATCCAAAACTGTATGGAAATTAAAGGTTTGATTCGCATAGAGTTCATAATTGGTATGAATTTTTAGAATACTATTATTAATAATGGGGTAGACGACTAATTTTTATTTTAATGTCCGTCTGGTAGATTATTTAAAAATATTAGACACGTATTTTTTATTTTCTCACGGAAACGAATAGTTTTGAAGATATATTGATTTGAAATGTCGCTTGACGTCACTTCTCAGTACATTTTATACTAAGAAATGACGTTTTACCCCCCACTCCTAAACTTTAACTCGTTTTATCTAAGTATTGTTTTATTATACGACAAAATAAAAAAATACGTGTCTAATATTTTTTTATTACCTACCTTACGGACTAATTATATTTTTAATTTTTATACCCTGTCAACATCCCCATTATATATATGTATAGGAATTGTAAAAAGTCCCCATCGACCCGCTATACACAAAAAAGACATTATTCTATACGAGGTCAGTCCACAGATATGAATTTTATTAAATTCTTTAGTCAAATGCTAAGCTTAACATAAAAATACATTAGACTTAAAGTTATGTCATTGTGTGTCTACATTATAAATTAGCCTACATATACCTATTTTCTAAGAGTATTTCTGAGGTATATGTTGAAAGTATCATATTTTCATGTTGTCCTAGAACCTTTTTTTTGTATATAGAAAGAAAACTACCTACTTTCGCGCGGTTTCACTCCCTGCTCAGTTCCTGTTGGTCATAGCGTGATGTTTTAGCCTATAGCCTTCCTCAGTAAACGGGCTATCCAACACAAAAATAATTATTCAATTCAAATAAGTATTTCCGGAGATTAGTGCGTTGAAACAAACAAGAACTCTTTAGCATAAGATTAATGAGTACTTTTCACAAATGGTAGATGAGGTTCGCATATCAGAAGATAACAGATTTTCATCAAGCACATCAAGTTAACATATTATGAGGAGTTAATGATGACTCGTAGGTTATGGCGCCCACTTCTTAAGCGTAAGTGTACGGGGTCGAAACCTAGCAAGTACCAATGTAGTTACATTGGTACTTGCTAGGTTTGCTTGTCGAAACCTAGCAAGTACCAATGTAGTTACATTGGTACTTGCTAGGTTTCGACTTGCATCATCGTTATATGTAATTTTTAAGTTTATTTCGATACTACTGACACATGGGCAGGTTAAAAATCGTGATGAAACCTAGACTTATTATTGCAAATTATAAGTCTGAAATCGTAAATCCGTCTTGAGCACGCGTGTTGATTTTCTGCTCATTTCTTCTCTTTGACAGAAGAGGCCTAGCGGAGGGATAACTACCTAGTCTGAATGAGTATGATGGAGAATTTCTAATGTCTTGCTCAAATGCCCAGTACACCCACTACCAGAGCTGCATAGGGCACCTAGTCTTTTATTATATAATTCGTTCGGAGTGAATAATTTCTGCAAGATTTTGATTTAATGAAATGTGTCTAATATATACTAGACTCATTTGTTATCCTTGATTATCAAAAGCTGATATCCTTTCTCAATAATCTCCTATGATAATCTCGTATGCATATATTGTTATTTCTTTTTTAATTTTATTTTTCTTTTTATTTTGTTCTTTCATGAGGGAACGAATAAACCAGTCTTGGAAACGTTTAATGTTTCACGCAGATGGCTAACGTATTTTATCAACACAAGAAGTCTAAGATAATACAAACCGTTACTTTCAAATAGTACTGATAAGGTGACTAAGTTTGTACTTACAGTGAACAGTGCTTTCCTATTTATATACAAAGATCGTAACAAGGATAATTAGGTCACAAGCCGGTCGCCTGTCTCAGGGCATCTGATATTTATTAATATTTATGACTATAATTATGTTAGATTTATTACCTACTAGGTCTTTTAAGCTACATAACTTATTATAAAGTAAATAGATGAAAAAATATGTGCATGTTAATATTTTAAACGCAAATTGAAAAGTAAATAAATATCGCCAAGCTTTATGTGCTTTCTCTGCCTTATCATAATGCATAGTGAGATAACTTCGTTTTCGCCAAGCAATTACAGTAATTTACAGATGGAACAGTAAATTTAAACAATATAAATATTTTACCGTTACGACTTTTTTTATTCCTGGTTGAAGTCTGGAACTGCTGATAAAGCAATAGTCAGGTAGATTCGTGTTTGAATAGACTTCCCTCGCCTCAGCCACATCAGAGAATTCCGTTTCCAAAGTATAACACCGGTGGGAATTAAAGTCTTTACATACGATATGCAGCTGGAAATAAGTGAGTAATAAACATCACGCTACTTTTGTTACAGTGTACAAATTGAAATATCACTTTTATGTAACGTCACAGAATTTTCACATCTTTCTGTGGATGCTGAAATGTGAGTAATAAATAGAAATTCTTACTTGTGTTGATTCTGCAGTAACAATGCCGAACAGTGGTAACAGAAGAAAAGCGACGTTGATGGAGTTGGTGCGCGCGGGCCGCGCCTGGGCAAGCTGCGCGACTCGACGCATGCCGATGCGGTGGTGCGCGCCGACGCTCTGCCGTTCTGCCGGCGTCGCAAGCGCACTGTCCGCCATCTGACCCTTGGCCTAACTCACAATCCGTGCTAGATATAAGTTCACCCACCTAATTTCGGCGATAGCAAACGAATTTGCCAGACTTAAACTAAAGATTGAGGAAGTATGACTCTTAAAGAAAGATAATGTTACAACCTAATTACATATATGTATATGATTAGATGTTGTATATATCTTTCACGCATATTTTACGTCACTGTAAGATAAAATTTGAATAGGATCGGAAGATATTTCCTGTGTCTATGTATCTGTCATTTGAGATGTAGTAATCTCAACGTCTAAAAGCGACTGAATTTGTCTGCTGTATTTTTCAATGAAAAAAATTTCCATCAATATCAACTGTTATGGTAGCCACACACGTTACAATATACTTGTTCAAGTTCAGCTTTGAGGCTTGCGCAAGTATCTTCTAACACAAGCGTATACCTCTATAATGTAATTACCTATACTGTTAGTGTAACTTGCTATTTTTTATTTATTGTATGTATTTTACTATTTATTACGTTTTGAACTTTCGAGTGACTACATTAATTGTGGACAACAATAAAGACTGTACCTGTGGCGAGCGGAACAGAGGGAACGGGATGTCAGACTTGTGCCACGGCATATAGCTTCGTATTGGTCGGAGCTTCGTAAGGTCTTAGTGGTGGAACGGAAGGAGAGGCTTCAAAGCCCTACCGCTAGACTCAGTACCATGTTCGGCTTCCGCAGAGGACGCTCCACGGTGGACGCCATCATGCGCGTAAGAGACCTCCCGGCATCTCCAATGCCTTCAACTCCCTGCCCTGGAGCTGCATTTTGGAGGCACCTCGATGTCATCGGGTCACCTATCTCCGCTGGTCATATCATCGAGGCCTATCTGACTGACCAGGCCATCATCTACCCCGCTCATCGAGGTGAGTGGAACTGGCGAGAGATGTCGCCAGTATTCCACAGGGTTCCTTTTTGGGGCCGCTCCTGTGGAATATCGCCTATGATTGGCACACTGACTTCCCGAACGTCAACGTGGTCTGCTAAGCTGACGACAGACTGGTGCTAGCGCACGGGAGGTCGCATCAGGCGGCGGCTATGGTGAGAGTGGTTATGACAGTCGTTGTAAGGATCCGGCAACTGGAACTCAAGGTGGCGCATGGCGCTCCAGAAGTCCGAAGTCTCGTCGAACACCTCACCTCCGGAAAAGTTCCAAATAACGGCGGGAGGGGTTACCATCGTTGTCGAAACGATGATGAAGTACCTGGGACTCGTTCTCGACAGTCGGTGGAACTTCCTGGACCACTTTCGACGTTTCGCTCCTAACTTGCTCTGGTGCCGACCATGGTACGGAGCGAGAGGGACTATGATGCCGTTTCCACCTTCTGCGAAGCAGTCATGCTAGCTAAGGAGAACGGGGCACGTGAGAAAACGAACCTCGTCACGCCCCAGCCGTCGCAAGAGAAACTCCGGGTGTCGGGTTGGCTAGACGATCTCCGACCAGACGGCAAGCACGACCGACTTAACGGGTTGCCGGGGCTTCGGCTCGAAGTGCAGGAGTAGGAAACGGGTGGTTTTTTGTCGATAAGAGGCTGACACTCCGGGGCAGGAGAACTTATTGGATGATTTTCCTCCCGGAGTGATGGGGATGACCCTGCTACACATCCTCGTGGAGTACATGGCTTGGGATGAGCCACAATTGTGCCGTCATATTAGAGATCAGTGACGACTGTTACTGTTGTTAAAGGAAAAGAAAATTACAAGTCTACCTTCGCAACCAGGGCGTCGGGGTCCGGTACACTTGCGAAAGTCCCCGTCACCCCGATTTAAAGGACCCGAGATTTTGGTGCGGGTTGTATCTACGCGCACTTCCAAGACGTTGCACGGAGGAAATCGACACCTCAGACGTCTGTGCATCTTGAGGTGAGGCCTGGCAAGGCAGGCCGCCACGGTAGGGAAGCAGAAGAATGTGTTTTGTGCTCCTTCGTACCCACGTCTGAGACGGTACTCTTGGGTGGTTTTTCGACTGTAACAGTCTGACAGTCCCCTTCATCAATCTCAGGCGAGAGGGCTCCATTAATGTTTTCCATCTTGGGGCAAAAAAAAGATATATAGATACATCCGTATCTGCCACCGACTATACCATTATCGTACAGATCATTTGAAACTAACTACATATTATTAGTCGTATTTTATCTGGTGTGTTGACGCAATAATTCATTATTTAAATTATTTTAGACTTTTAGAGTCAAGGCACTTCACCTTTGATGAATTTGTTTCTAATTGTGTTAGTTTATGGGCATGAGCGTAAGGCATAGCATCTGGCTTACACTAATAGTTTTAAACTTGTTCTTTGACTTAAATGCGGTAGCAAGGTCCCATTGTAATATAACTTTAATTAGGGTTAGGGTAGAAAATAAGATATATAAGAAATATGTTGATAATTATCATTTATTATAAAAACACTATGTCATTAGGTAAAAAGCAGTTAATGGCGTATTTGATAAAATTACAATTTAACATCTACATTAAAATGACTTCGGCTATAAGTTAACGTTAGGTATTGTTGAGCAGTGATGGTTACGATTACAGTAGGTACCTATTGTTTCCTAAATCTCACTCTTTTAAAGTCTTGTAATTTCCGAACTTATATTGGGATCTTTCTTTTTATAGGAATGCGTCGGATAGATGAAATGCTGCGTGTAGTAAGCCGCGGAGTGCTGCTCTGCGGGACTCTTACTGGTGCTCACTCGGCGGTAGTAGTCAATAGACTCGACGCAGTCACACGCCAGTCTGCTCTCAGATCCGCTACTCTCCAGCTGATATTTAGGAACCATGATGAGGCTCTCAGTTGACTTGGTTGGAGGACAGTGGCTATGACTCCTAGAGTACACCGAGCAGTGGTGCGGTGCACTTTGACGATGTGAATGCTTCTCTTGGGAGTGTGCATGCTGATATTCATGGTGACTTTGTGTGCTACGGCTGCTGTGGTTTCGTCCGTGACTCTTAGATCGATTAGATTGTTTCGTTGTGGTATCCAAATAGCCGTATCCGAATCCATAACCGCCAAACGCCTTAGTCGTTAAATTATCCCAGGACTTTGGTTTTACGTGTTGATGGCTGCTTTGATATTGGATTTTGGGTGACGACTTGGCTTCTCCCCTGTCATTATCCCAAAAAAGAGTATCACTGCTCAGAGAAGTACTGTAACTAGAAGCTGAATTATCGCACGCCGCCGTAGCGTTACTTGTTGCGTACGACTGCAGGCTGCACTGGCTAGTTTGTGTAGATTCCGTTGTCAAGTAACGATAGCGATTAGAGCAATGTCCTGACTGACAAACTTTCTTGGGTCGCATGTGTGACCCGCTGTCCGGTTTTTGAGTTGATTTATCGACTTGTTGGCATTTTTCCTTTCTCTTGTGTTCTTTAGAACATTCTCTCTTTCTTCGCATTTTCTTTCTGGTATTGGGCACACAATGTGGATCGCAGCAGGGGCTGGCAAGGTCGTAAGCTTCGAGGCTATTTGCGTCTTGATTATTATAAGCAGGCATGCATGGGGCACAGCCATGGCTATGGCTACTTCTGTGAACTTTATTGTGTTTCCCACTGCCAATTTTATAATTCTCTGAAGCTCTATGGCATTCCTGGCCGGGAGTCTTCACAACATAGTGGTGGCATTCTCGCCTATTCCTTGGGGAGCCAACAGTAATAACAAAGCTCCCTGTGCGCAAGTTGGGTTGTATGAGACACGCGCCATAACGTGGATCTAAATATTGGTACATGAATACGCTGGGTTGAGGGGGTTTAGCGGCTGTCACATTTTCACTCGATAGTGTTGGCCTACAATATGCATTGTTCATATTTTCTCCAATGTTATTTTCCTCGTTGTCTGAAATTACATCGGATGGAGAAGTTTTCTTCTTTTGGGAGGGAAGGCTGTGCGTTTTCCAGTTACAATCAAACATTTGCCGTTCTCGAACTGTGAGTTGTTCCAGTTCTCTCATTTTGGATTGCAGTGTTCGCTGGAGATTAATGTATTTAAGATGGAGCTCCACTTTCCTCACACAGTCTTCGAAGATGACGACCATGCGCATTCTGGAGTCACAGTTGTTGATGGCGTCGACGATGGCGGCGTGGTCGGCTCGTTCCACATCCGTCCCGTTGATGGACAGGATGACGTCACCCTCTCGCATGCCAGCCGCTGCTGCTGGCCCATCGCCCTCGACGTGGTCCACGTAAGTGATTACTTCGATTTCTTGTTCCTGCCGAAATGATAGTACATAGATGTTAGTTTTTATCAAATTTTGGATAGATCCAGATCCAGATTCCACATCGCCGTGGAAAACAGAATATTCGTTTTTTAGTATAATTCGCAATGCAAACTTGCAAACGCTTGATTCTAATTCAATTTTTCAAAATATCATACACCATTGATTATTATATCTACATAAATTGATTGATTTACGTACCTTTTTATAATGAATCCCGTAACTTTGCAGCGTGAACCCGTAACTGCCATTCTTCTTTTCAATAATGATGGTGCGCCTTCGCCAATCTTCCTCATTTTTGCCCGGTCTCTCTGATTTTATTGACTCTCTTATCTGAAAAGCGAACAAGACTTATGATTAATATATTATGGAAACATTTTGATCTTTAAATATTTCTTTATTTTTTTGAATAACTGTACGACATACAATTTAAGTCTACCTACGCAAGAAGCGGAATATCTTCCGCCTTAGATAGATACTTCTCAAAATAACAAGCATGTAGATAACGTTTACATTGTGTATATTACATATGCACAATTACATATTACTAAGCAAATCAGTGGACTTATTTCGCGCTGGATTCGACAAAGTTCGTTCACCTCATTGACGTAAAGACATTTAATGTCTTAAAGTTAAAATACGTAACTTGCTAATAGCTTTTTCTAGAAATTATTATGATTGATCTCGGTTTCAATAAAACAATAGTAAGAGTTAAAAAGCAAAGGTAAGTACTTACGGAATTGTCTAAGGAGTCTTCCTTGGAGTCGTTGCTGAGGAGTTTTTTCCCATTGCTCATAGTGCTCGGACATCGTTCGTTGAGTTTGGGCGAGCTCATCTCGACCACTGCTTATGTTCCCGGCCCTCAAGCCCCCGAAGGCATTGGTTATAAAAACAATAAATGGAACGGCATGGTTGCCTTATGGTTACTTTTAACGTTACCTAGCTACTGGCGGAGGGTCCGTAGGTGCGACAAATCATTAAATTATGACCGCGCATGCGTGGCGTTGGCGCCTGCGTATCTTGGAAGGACAACACCTTCCAGACTTGTTACTTAGCACCGAAAACAAGGATGCTAACTTTCAAACAATATTTCACTTATTTTGTATGATAACATTAAATAAAATTTCTTTCTATTTTTAGCCCTATGTGATAGGACCTATGTATAAAAATAGTTTACCTTGAACAAATTGTAATCGATACACCTAAAGAATAGGGCAAAAAAGTAACAATTTGATAATTAAGTATATTTCATTTAATAAAGAAATAGGTAACGAAAGACAAGCGACGAATTAAATGAAGAATTAACTTCAATACAATAATTATTTATTTATAAGTACCTACTAAGTAATAAGTACAATAATTACAGTTATTTTATGGTTTTGTGACAAGTGTGTTGATTTTAGAATAATGTACAACAGAAGTGTTGGGTATTGGCACTGGTATGTCAGACATGTTGTTGTTCAAGGTCAATAGGGGCGGTATGGCAATGGATTGAACCCCGGCCGCCTGTGGAATGACCGCTGAGCCACTGTTCACGGCCACTGGCTTCTCACCCAGATCCCTTTTAAATAAATTCTTATAGAAATTATTTAAAGGTGTGTTTGCATCTGTGATTTCAATACTTCTTATCGATCTGCTTGATGTCTTTGAACCTGGATCTGAAAGATAATGGAATTACTAACGTGAAAGTATCTTTAATGGTCTAGAGCTACACTTCTCGTCAAAAATAATGAAACACCGTCGTCATTGATGTTCAGTTTGGAATTATTTAGTCTTATCACTACATAGTATAAAACAAAGTCGCTATCCGCCGTCTGTCTGTCCCTATGTATGCTTTGATCTTTAAAACTACGCAACGGATTTTTATGCGGTTTTTTTAATAGATAGAGTGATTCTTAAGAAAGTTTTATATGTATAATCAATGCATATTGCACCCGTGCGAAGCCGGGGCGGGTCGCTGGTTACTTTTATAATTGTATTGTTTAAAAACATTGATGCTTAAACTTAAACCAAACTTAACTTTGAGTGTTTTATTCAAAAAAACATGATTCTGCATTTTATGAGAAGAATTTGTAAAATATCAGAAACATAAAGACTTAAAACAAATACAATTACCAAAATGTAGAGGCACCTACGTAATATATTTTATTACAATATCGTTCGCGACTCGATAATAGACCTTTCAAAGTTATGGGTTCATTATTAGATTAATTATGTAAAGAGGCTGATAAAAGCGCTTTTATTACTTGTTTGGTTTGATTCAAGGCATTTCTAAGTATTTTCATTATCTTGGACCCGAGGTTCTTCCATTATATTCTAAAAATTCTATACAATGAAATATCCGCACAGTTTATTTGTAAAGACTCGCATGACGTGTTATTGTGAGTTAGTCTCTAAATGACGGCTTAAATACAATTAATCAAATACTTGGCTCTTCCATAACCTGTATAATACAAGATGCAGGTCTGTTCATATATTCAACTTTGAACATTACAAACAGACATTTTCCCTGGTAGGTACCATGGTCGAAGCCGCCGATAGAAGCTAGTAGGTACTGGTATGACAATGAATTTGTAAGCAGGTACTCTTCCAAAACCTCAAAACTGTCACCATTAGACTTACCTGCTGCCATAGAAGGTGGTACAGGTGCCATATTGGTTATATGGTCGAGTGTACTCCAAGGCAGTTGGTTTGTAGCGTTTCCTTGATTCCCAGTCACCGGAGCCACTCCTACAATACTCTGAGCGGTCACGTTCGTAAGCAGTGGGGCTGGAATCTTACTCAAATCCAGACCTTCTGAGCCATTTGTGTGGAAGAAAGTCACAGCCTCTTGGTTGCCACTTGGGATACAAAAAAGAATTGCTTTTGAACAATTCACATACGTTTTTCAAAATTCAGTGTGCGCACTATGTTTTAGGTATACATGAATTAAATGCAAAGAAAGTCAATGCGTAAAAGCTGTCACACACGACTAAAAGATTATCTACCTGGTAACATTTGCATCGAAATATGTATTGTCGTTGGCTATTACAATAAGCTAGAATAATAGAAATATGAATAACTAATCTGTATATCCACAGTATGTACATATGCGTACCCTCTTCAATAAAGAAATGAATATGTGACCATTTGATGGCTATATTTAGAATATTCATGGGCTCATGGTAGAATACTATAGTTAGTATTAGGTATACTTAAAGGTATATATTATAGATACAAGTAGTTCTTTCACTGTGTCTTCTTCTGACTTCAGAACCTTTCTTGGCATCAGTCAGCAGCATGCTGCACCTACGTGACCTAAGTCTAAGGGCCTTCACAATGTCTGGAGATATAGCTGCTATGTCGGATTTTGGATTAAGAACGCAACGTCGCATAATACTTATGGTAAGGTACTTAAATGAAGGTGATGAAACAGGCGCTAAGTCTTCCGTATTGAAAGCGATCCTTATCCATAAATAAAATACAGTTTGCCACGTGTATTGTAGTTTTATGGCTTCAATCATTATGGATGTTCGTGTGTGCTCTATTTACGTCTTAACTAATTTGCCATAGACAGCGATCAATAGATACGTATATATTTAGATGTTGCTAACTTAGGAGCCTTGTTGTCATCGATCACAAATAAAATAGATACCATTATAAGATTAATCTTATAATCGAATTTCATTTATAGTTAAGTATTGGTGTGTTGTTAGGTGGATGGTTGTACTGGACCAAAGACGTCTTAGGTATTTAACGTCTTTTCCGTTATCGATTTCAGGTAAGGGTTTTACAGAAATGTTTAAAGCATTATTGACTACTCAATTAATGGAACCTAAACTTTGAGCACTGTGTTTATTGTGTTAATTAGCTTTGTATAAAATGGTCTTTAAGAACAATCACATTCTTAATATCGACAGTCTTAACAGCCCTAATATGATACTAGACAAGTTTTTGTTGATTATTTTGATTCAGGAGGTTTTTTCACACTTTTTCCCTTCAGTATTTATTTACATGTGCGTTCAGAGAATTGTCTTAGGTGGTTTGATATTTAGGCACTTACGTAGATGTTTGACGAGGAACTCGCCTAGTTTCAAGCCATGCTAGAGGCTCTATAATCATGAGCAGCATTCCGCGAACCGCGATACGCGACGCGGCGATTTCCTCGTCAAATAATTACGTTAGTAAGTCGAAAATAATAATAATTAATTTAATATATTTTTTTTTTTGTATAAAACGTTGCCCCACATTAGGATTTTCTCCTGTGTCGTGGGTGCGTTTACAAACATACAAGTTCACATACACAATGACACCCAGACCCGAAACAACAATTTGTGGATCACACAAAGTGTTGTTCCGTGCAGGAATCGAACCCGCTACACGTTGCATGGCAGCCGGTTGCCCAGCCACCGCACCAACCGTGCAGTCAAATATGTCTCACGTAAGTTATAATATAATTAATATACTTACGTAGAATTCATGTTAGCAGTTTCATTATCAGTTTGGTTAGTAACGATGCCCACTTGATACACCATAGCATGAATAACGTACCTGCAATATTATATATTTGATTAATTACACCCTGTTTAGATTCATAGAACGCCATTCAGGACAACCATCGCTAAGAATGTCTATCGAAAAGTAAATAACTTTTAGTAATTGTTATTTATCGACTAAAAGAAATTAGATAATATTATCCGAAATAAAATGAAATTATTTTCTTAAAAGGTTACAATCAAGTGCTATGTCATAGGGTACATTTTATGCTACTATTATATTATGAGGTACTTAAATACATACATACGTATATTCGGTACCTTTACCGAGCTGTTATCCAACATCGATTATAAAGTGACTATCCTTTGCAACATAACTATAGCATTCCTCATGAGAAGGCCTACTATATACTACTATGCCTACTTACATGTCTTTATTAGGATCCGAAGAGTTTCCTAAGACTTCTGTGTTGTTGACTACATCCTCACTTCTGGCAAACGTGAGCCACGGAGAGACTAGTAATAGTATCAACACCTGCAAAACAAAATATATTGAATTAGAAGTTTATCTTACTATGATGCACAGACAAGCAAGACAACTACTTACATTATACGAAGACAAAGCAAAGACTAGACTATAGGTATGTTATATTAACGTAATCATAAAAGATGTTCTAAAAGTGTTTAAAAACAAAGCAAGAACAGAAGAATTTCTATTTCTATGTACCTACACAATATAATACACTGTTTTATATTGAACGACATATTAATGGAATACATAGCTACTACATATTCCTAAAGGAATCTGCAGACAGACAGAATTTAGCGTCGTGTAAACAAAATAGAATATCTACAAACGGACAATGACAATACTTAGAAAATAATTAAAATATTTTGAAAATGCATCAATAGGTATTACGCACAGCATAACTTCTATAAATAACATAGATACATTATAAATATTAACTTGTTAAGAAAACGATATACCAACCAGTGTTTCCATTTTCTATAAAATGTTTACACGTTGAATGGGATATTTCTTGAGCCAGTGGCATATATAGCCACTAGTTAATTAGCTTCTCTATGATATATCAGACGCCCTTTGTGCTAATTATAACCTGCCATAATTAACAACTGTGTTATACAATCGATACATATATTTACCCATGTATTATTTGCATATACAGGCGAATTAAATATCGATTGTTGTTGTGACTAACTTAAGATTACGCGTTTTAACCTGACTAAATTGCCGAAGGTCGAACAAATAGATGGACATTTCAAATTTTCTTAGAAGCTAGGCTCTGTGAAAGTTACAACTAACTTAGGTACTTCAAAGCATGTATAGTGTATAAAACGTAAAAAAATGCACTAGACTGTTTTGTATTCAATTAACATTGAGTGGTAAATTATTATGAGTTATATCACCCTAAGATAATCAACTATCTAGAAGAACGCTCTACTCTTGTTTTTTGCTACTAGTCTGTATTTCTGATGTTCGGACAAGTATAACAATGTAATGACGAGTCATATCTCTTATTTCATAGTAAACGATCGAGATATGATGACGTCCATCTGTCAACAGGTATATATCCGATATGGGAGTGTTATCTTTGGAGAAAGACACAGTTTTGGACCAGCGGTCCTATCAGTGTGATGCTGGGCCGCTCTGGAGTGTACCGACCTGCCTGAGGCGCGGTACCGACGGGGATCATATACTTACACTCGGTATACTATACCGATACCACAGTACCTTAGCGTAGTAGATACCATAGTACAGACATCATGGGTTTCAACAAAATTATGGTCACCTCCGGTGTCATCACTTTGGTAAGTCAGTCGCTCATATATTTTGTGATCATTGCAATAATATCTTTTTTATAACATAATTTATAACTTTATAACATAAATGGTTGAGAAGTTGGTTGCACTAGGTGCCGTAATGTGCACCTATGCCTATGCCTGGAACTGGCGTGACAATATCTAACTTTGAAATTGAATTTTTAATAATTACTGTAATGTGTGCAATGAGCAAGCTAGCGATAACCTGTGCCTACCTTCGTACCTATGTCTAAAATTGGTGAGTGCCTACCGGTACCCTTTGCTGTGCGATTTTATTAGTGACAGAATGTATAAGTACACCTAATTCTTTTCCTGATAATTAAGCGCTAAGTTTTTTACTAGCTACCTATAACATCACTGAATATTGTGTGGTCTTCTTCACATTAAATAAATATTTTTATTTTCTTTTTTAATTACCTGGTAAATATGTTTTAAGTATGTGTAAACATATTGAAAATATATTTATGATTATTTTAAGAATATCCCCATCATCATCAAAAGTCTATAAGTGCCCACTGCTGAGCATAGGCTCTTCTCGCACAGAGAAGTTTTGAGCATTAACCACCGCGCTTGCTTATTACGGGTTGGCGATTTCAAAGATTTCAAGTTCTAGCTATATTTTTTATTGTTACAATTACTTCTTGCAGACTTTTTTCATTTGAGTTCAATAACTTCTTTAAATGAGTTACCTATGTGTAAAAGAAGACTTGCAAGCTTCTCCTTAGTCTACCTCTTAGTAATATTAATTTTTGAAGTGGTTTTTATCTAAAATGGATTGAAAATAATTAATTTTCTCATATTCAACATACCCATAAAAAATTTCACGTGAAAAGTCTAAAACCAGGTCAAAATGTATGTAATGCATTTTCAGAGATTGATGCTAATTTGTACTCGCTTAATTTTAAAAAGCGATAGGTCAGTTTACAATCGCCTATAATTGTTTTACAGTGGCGTCAATTCTCTATAATTAAAACATAAAAATACCATTGAAATGCCTACGAATTTTAATATTTTTAATGTACCTAATAACATGAAAATGGAGACCCCAAAACAATTAACACCAAACGAAATGTGGGTCAAAATGACCGTTCTTAAACGTTATGATCCTTGCCTTTTATGAAAAGTGAAAGGAAATGGGACGCATAGCCGGCATAGCAATAACGTAATCGATAGTAAACCGTGAGATGATAGTAAGAATATCAGTAAGCTTATCAGTCGAGAGTTTTTGTAAGTGATAGCGATACAGCCAACGTTTGAAACAAGCACTGCGGGCGCCGTGAGAACGAAGCTGGACATTATCATAATATTATGATCTTAAACAAACCATATCACGTTTTACCTACATTTTCATTAACATAGTTTTATGTAACAACGTATTTTTTTTTAAGGGGGGAAAATCATCGAGTGACTGCTCCCGCCTAGTTGAGGCGGGAGGGAGTGTCAGACTCTTACTGACTAAAAACCACCCCGTTCCTTCTTCTGCACGTCGAGTCGGAGCCTCGGTTACCCCTTAGGTTCTCCGCGACTCCGAATCGGCATCGGCCGTATTGGGCCCTATCTGTGGTGGTCTGATGGCTCTTTGAGGCGCGCGCGGAACGCGACGCGCCGTACGCTCGGGTCTGTTTCTGGTCGGACGGGGAGCCACCCATGCTCGCCGTGCGCAGGCCCGCGCTTACGGTGGCCGGAGATCGTCTCGCGATCCCCGACGCCCGGTGTGTCCATAGCGATGGCTGGGTTGCGAGGAGGCAGCGCTTCGCTGCCTCACGCGTCCCGCCTCCTCCTTAGCTAGCATGACTGCTTCGCAAAAGGAGGAGACGGCATCCCAGTCCCCCTCGCTCCGCATTATGGCCTGCACTAGGCCCGGACGCGAGAGGTCGCCATCGCCGATCACTTCCCTGAGGGCACGGCGGTGCTCAGCCCAATGTAACAACGTATAGGTTTCATAAGCCTAATCATAACAAATAGTTGATCAAAATGAAAAATAAGAATTCTATGCTTTTTTAAGGGGAAAAAATCATCCAATGGCTTCTCCCGTCCGGGTGAAGCGAGATGAAGTCTGAGACTCTTACTGACTAAAAACCACCCCGTTCCTACTCCTGCACTTCGAACCGGAATCCCGGAACCCCGGCAACCCGTTAAGCCCTCCGCGGCTCCACGTCGTTATCAGCCCTATGAGCCCTATTGGACCCCATCTGTGGTGGTCTGATGGCTCCTGAACCGCGCGCGAAATGCGACGCGTCGTTCGCTCGGGCCTTGTTCTGGTCGGACGGCGATTTACCCGTGCTCGCCGTCTGCAGGCCTTGCTTACGGTGGCCGGAGATCAGAAGAATTCTATGCTGAGCTCGTGTTTACCCCCTTGGGAGACTGGCGTGAGATTATGTATACGTCACGTCACGTCTCATTTTATATCCCCGAAGGATTGTGCAGAGATGAGCAGTGCTTAACCTCGACTTGTCGATAAAAATAGTTTGTAAACAAAGATGGGGACACTTAGTTACCATTTTTTTCGATGAATTTATTTAATTCCATAGTATCGGCTTTCTTCATCTTATTCCCACCAGAACGTATATGTCATGGGCCATAAAATTCTACCCAGCATGGTTATTGACATGGCATATGATTGATATAATAGCACATATGCACAAGCGCATGTCCTGTTAACTAAGTTACATTGGGCGCATAAAAGATTTTTTCATTACGATTACTACTGTAGAGGTACTACGATTGACGCTTGGTGTTTAAGAAACAGTTACTGATTTGACTAGCTTCGATCAAATATCTATGAATAATGATGGTATAAAGTGGCATTATTCTGACCTTTATCATACTGATCAGACGATATGGTTTCACTAATTATATTAATTAAAATATTTCATCAATAGCAATAACATTCATTTAATTTGTAAATTTAACTATAGGTAGGTAAGTATTTTTTCAAGATCCGAAATAACCAAAAAGATCCTGATTTATCATATTTCTGAAAATTCTGATAAGCAAATGAAAACGCTTTTGTCCTGCAATCAAGTGAACGTTGTAAGACAATAACGATTAAAATCTTAATTATGATAATACATTAATTTTATTAAATTTAAATTAGTACAATGAACAGTCATTTGTTTCTTATTTCATTGCATTGTTCACAAGCAACCTGCCTTTGTCATTATTTGCCAACATTCCTGGTGTGTCGAAAATAATATCTAAATTACAAGCATACTTTTTTTTGAGGGCGGAAATATCATCCAATGACTTCTCCCGCAAATTATAAGCATACTTGGGAGATAAAGTATGTCATACATAAGTACCGTAGGCAGGTGGAACGAGTTCTAGACAAAATAAAACTTGCGAAATTTATTTTTAGCAGCACTTGTAATAAATACTTATCTAAATATTTTAGTAGAGTCCTGTTTGACTTGAATTAATAAGCATTGCAAATACATATGTACGTATAAGTAATTACTTGAAAGAAATACTTAACTTTGTTAGTGAGTTCTTTCCCAAATAGCTATTAATGTATCTGTAATTCTGTGGCAAATACTCGTACCTACCTACTTGTTTAATGCATATTTTAATTAATTCATCGATGACTACGCTAGACAGTACCTACGTAATCGCATATTTATAGGTAGGAAAGTATTGTATGATTTCTGTTTAATGAGGCAAATATTCTGCAGAACTATACTTCTAAAACGTCCTACGATATACGTATCAGAATATATATATTTAGTGTATAAGTACATATAGGTGCCTAAGTTTGTAATTGTAGATCTACTTGTGTAAATGGTAAATAACGCAAAAATATGTCGTTGGCTTAGGCGCGTGTAATGGTCATTATGTCAGTCGCCTGCGTGTACTCTTTTGTTTTGTAAATAATGATGTCGGTGAGTCATGTTGATCTATTTACTAAAAATAACGTACTTTCTTTATATGTTCCTAATGCTAAACCGAGCCAATGAAATCACCCAAATTAATTATGATTGTAACGATTAACCGAACATAAACATTTCGGTAAGCATTGTAATGTTATCAATGTCTATAATCACGTATACACGTATTATCAACATAATCATGAAATATTTATTTCAACATTCTATTTCATATCCTCATTCTTTAACTTCTAGTAGGTATAGACTTATTAATAATAATTTTACTAGATAAAGAATATTTTGATAGATATTATCTTATCAAGTTGCTCTCGTCATAATGTGCGACGGAAATTCTCTTCAATATCTGTATCAAATCAAACAGCCAACTGGCATAAAGATCGTCTTACGAAATTCCCTACATACCAATCAAAGATAAGTCCTGGGTTCAGCACATGCCAGAGTTAGAAGTAAGCATGTAGGTACATACATGTGTGTACTTATATCACTTTTAGGTCACACTATCGCGCGGACACAGCTCAGAGACTATATTTAATGTAGGAACCTAGTTACTCGAGCGAAAGACGTATTAAACGATAATGCACTAGAGGTATATTCTCTGTATAGTTGAAGAAACGGGGTCAAACTCTTTTCTGCCACCTTGACCACACTGGCAGAAGCAACAGCTTATTCTATGTACTTGTTCTCAGTTATATTTACACAAAGCAACCTTTTTACAACAGCTGATCGATCAGTAATATACCTCTACATGAAACAGTTTCCTTATTGTAGGTACTCCTTCCGGATAGTTCAGGGTGTCATCTAGTTCATTCTGTTATTCAAATGCACACTAAGGTATTTAAGAGAACTTACCTGTTCCTGGTACATACATAACATAACATCACGTCTTCTATCCCCGAAGGGGTAGGCAGAGGTGCACATTATACCACTGTACAATGTAACAGCCATATTTCACTATTTATGTTATGAGTCCCATGTATTAGGGAGTGGGTGACTCAATAAAAAAAAATTACGGCGTCATTATCCTCAATTATGTCAAAGTTTACAATTCTGCTGATTAAAATACAAATTCTAGTTTCAAAAAATCGAGCCGTGTCACTGCTCTTACCCAATCCAATAAAATACAGATGCTAATAAGTTACTGCGATTCTTAACAACGCGGGAGGATAATGATTTGTTAAATAAAAGTTAAAGTTTTTAGAAGAAACACCCGTGAGCCTACTGCCATATACCGGGCACAATTCCAGACTCCGTGCTACTACTGAGAATTTGGCCGACCCGGGAATCGAACCCGAGACCCCTTTGCCCGGCAATCGCACTTGCGAGCACTCGGCAAACGAGGCAGGCAACGGTACATACAATATTAAGTTATAAACTATTAGTTCTAAGTGCTAACTAGTTTCTTTGTTCACAGCTTCAAGCTGTGGGGCAGTTGGTCTTCTCATCAATGTGCATAGCGCAATATTTTTGCGTAATCGACTTTTTGAGAGGACTGCCTCTTCTAATCTACATAAGAGTCCTTTACTTTCACAGTAAGTAATATCATGAATTAAACATAGGTCTAAGGCCATACACGAAAAATGGCCCATGCTTAATTATTTCCACTACTTATCCTCAATAAAGACCACATCTGATATTGGGGTATTAGAGGTAGAACCACTGTCATATATCGTAGCTTCAACTCAAAATACTTTGAAAATGGACACTTTCGGTTTCATATGTCCTGTACCCATACTAAACTTGTCAATATTTTGCTGACTCACAGTCAAATACTATGCTATTTTGCATAATACAATTCAGTGTTTTAGATCCCATAATAACCTTCTAACCAACAATATACACCTCTACATGACACTGAGGTATCTATAATAATAATAGGTTGTTTGATTCAGACCCTGTAGCATGCGGACCAACAATCAACATCGGCCAAGCTATCGACAGTATTGCTAATGAAGCCTTCGTTTTGTTAACCTCGGAACCGTTCACGGTGTTCAGGACTTTCATCATAAACTGCGTCAGCCTCGGCCTGAGTGTGTTTTGGATGACCAGCAGTATCATCATTATAAGTAAGTGTAAAGTACTTTAAACAAAAACAAAACCGATAGATTCATTTTCATTATCAACAGCTGGAAGACGTCCACTGCTGTATAAAAGCCTCCCCTTTCAAAAGCGTGCGACGACGAACGACAGCTTGTACCCCTGCGTCTACTAGCTCTTTCCATGGAGCATAACTCTCTACATCGAATGCTGAGCCACTCTAAGTTTCTTTAGGAAGGGAGAAGTCAGAGACTACGACTTATGATACATGGCTAGCATAACTAGGCTCAGGGGGCAGAAAAGTTTTTAATGTTTCAGTAGAATGAGATTTCTTTTAAATGTTCATTTCAGTCTGATTGATTGTATGTAATATTTAGTGGCTGGAGCCAGAGATAACCAGACAAAATGTACACGGTGGCCTTGGATAATACTCACTGCTGCCGTGAGTGGTCTCGACCTGGTAGCGACTGTCACGTACGCTAACGATACATTTCACACAAGGGTAAGTAATATATAAAATTAATAATAAATAATACAACGGGAATAAATGAGGAAACATATTAAAATGGCATTGTTAAAATACTTAGAACGAGCAACGAGTATAAAATGTTAGTTAGAAATAAAAATATTACTGAGATAAAAAGTTTAAACAATTGCCATTCATCATCTGCATAACATTCATTGGCATTACAAAGAACACAAACACATCCTGCAGATTCCAGATGTTAATGCTTCCATATGAAGATATGAAATCGATCAGATGGTTTACATACCTGCTTTCAATTGACCGACACAGACAGACAGATCCTTTAAATAAACATATCCGACATATCCAGTTCATCCTTCAGTTTGGGTATACCTGCATTTATAAGTAATTGCTTACTAGATTATGATCTTGTCATTGATCTATTTGATGTTGCATCTTCCAGACTTTGCAAGATATGATGAATTTCATCGGTGGCAGAGTAAGTGGAATTGGAAATGCTCAGCTGGACACCACATGGACTGCTTGGGCCATGGTTATCCTCTACTCACGTTTCGTCATTCTTTTTGTCATTAACATAATTCTTATTGTCATCGTCATTGTGGACTGCAATGTGCAAAGAGAACCAAAAACTGATATCGCTGTAAGTATTATTCATAATACGCATACTTTTAAGACGTATCAAGTTTCAAGGATTACATGAACAATTTTATGCTCCTCGCAATATTCTTTAAAGGTTATTATGTTTTAACAGAGATTAGATAGTACAGCACCAGCACATATTGGTTTCTATTTGTAAACAAAATCTTTCCTGATTTCGGCAGAGCAGAGGGCCGTTAAGACTATATCGAATAGGACTTGCAGAACTAAGGCAAGTTACGTTACTAGGCATAATTCAATTTTCAGACTGTAGAAGCTCCAGCGCCGGTACAAATTGAAGCTGCACCACAAGTGCCAGTTGCACCTCAAGTTCCCGTCCAGGTATCTACTGCAGTTCAAGCATCTCCTCCTCCTCAAGAAACACCCCCGCCACCCGTGGTCACCGAGAGGGATGCTATCAGTGACAGAGATGAAGAATTAGCTAGCTTACCCAGCGAAAGAGTCACCACTAGAATACCACGCGCTGGTCTTAGCCGCTCCTTCCGTCGGATGAAAGCGTTCCTCTTCAGAAAGTCACCTTCACCTGAAATTCATACCAGATCGAATCCAGATTCTTTCCAAATATCGCCCGAACGGTGAGTTTAAGCTCTGAAAAAGAAGTATTGTGGTTATTCACCACCTTAAATAAATCCCTGTTTTGTTTTCAATATTTACACATACGTATGCAAGTACATTTCTATATAATTATGTATGTTTATTCGAAAAGATAACGAGTGGATTAGATAAAACTTTATTAATTTTTCCGACTGAAGATTATTTATACTACTAAGTAGGTAAGGATTATGTTAATCAGCGGCGTAATATTTTAAAATCGTTTGAAGGCGTAAGATTTTAAAATTGTTTGAATTCCAATAATGTTGACATTGCTGAAAGGAAACAATATACATAATATGTCATTAATACGTCTCGATAATTCTGGTTTTTAGATCACCCCGCACACACTACGTTCACCAGCAAGTTGACGTAGACCTAGACAAGAAAAGGACAGTGAATTTCCCGGAGAGTCTACTGTCGTTGCCACAGCGCTTAGAGAATATAATAGCAGAGCAGCAAAGACGCTTAGACCGTGCCACTATAGACACCTCTGGAAGAAACAGCCCACCACGAGCTTCGCAGTCCATGCCTCATCTTGCAACCACTTCCAGTCAACCAGAGGGGCGAGGGTAAGAAACTGCAATAAAACAATTACAGAAATTAATTAAACTACCGAATCATAAGAATAAAACCACAGCTTTGAAAAAGAAAGGCATGTAAATAAACTCTGTAATAACCCATGGTGTACATCTCTTATTTCCGCTGAAAGAGTGAAATTACGGTATTCTGAATCGATCATAAAAATCAACCGTTATCATTTCAGTCTCAATGAGTCTTCTGTCTCGGTACGAGACTTCTTTGGTAAGATTATTTTCTTGTTATTACCGGTGACCGGTGACATACATTTTCTGTATCATCTTTTTCGTTTTTATAAAGTACCACTACGCAGTGCAGTCTTCTGCTTTTTTCATCGCCAATTTCCTATGAAACTATTGCATTCAAATGCTCATTCCAATCATTAAGACTGCGTAATCACTATTGTGGTATTTCCTCAATGTTTGACATGGTTATCGTTGGGAATCTTGACTGACACTTCCAAATTTCACACTTGATCTGGTGGTGTGGTGTAGATATCATTGGTCACAATCATTGCTGTTGCATTTTCTCCGATTGTGTGAGCTAGGCAGCGTCGCCTTCGAAAATCATCATTTCATTACATCTGCATTTCGTAGGTAGAGTAAAACATGTGTTTTATGGTTGTAATTTGAGGAGTTGTAATTATTCAGACGGCGTGGAACAACGGCCGAGCTCCAGGGCCAGCTTCCCTGGGCGTATATACCAGCGTCCTCGCACCGCATGCGGGACCAACTCCCTCCGGACGAGGATCTACCACCGGTCCCACTCCCAGACTACAACGCCATGCAGCCTACTAGAAAAGCATGTGAGTCTTATTCAAATAGTTATGTAGAACACTTATGTAGAACACTTTTAGGGCCTGAATCGACGAAGGTTTTTGTCTAATTTCATCACGATGTGAAAGAGAAATACCTAAAAGATTCAAAAAGGTTCCCATGTCGCAGCTGAGTCAAGTTCTCAGTGGATCTCTTTCACAATCATGAGGTCTTTGATAGACAGAAAAATAACAAGGTTTTGCTGTCTTCATGCGATGTTTTTAATTTTGACGGATCCTATGTTTGCAATTGTCTAATAAAACTCATTTCTTTTTTACAGCCGTCCATCGAGCGGCTTCCAGCTTAAGTTCGCTAACTCAAAAGAAAAATTATGTGACGTCACGGTCTGTGCGTGAGTATTACACATACAAGAAGACTTAATCGCCAGTAATTCCCCATCGTTTTCAAAGTAAGCCCTTGAAATAATTTGCAATGTTTCATTTCATAATCTTATTTAAAACTTAATGAACTCCGTTAACTCAGTGGTGTAAAAATGTTGTGAAATACGATGTCTCACAAGTATCCGATATCGATAAGTAACAAAGTTCATGTTAAAGCCTAATAGAGAAAAGAGATCATTTTCTGTTACAAAATAATGATGTTGTGTTCCTAATTCAAGCATTTTTTTTCTTTACAGCAGCGCTAAATCAATCCGACGTTTTGTATTAATTAAAAGAATTCGCCACCAAGTAATTTTGAGTTAGTACTGTTCATATAGCTGGTATGCCAATCTCAGATCGTAGACAAAATCCCTGAGCAACAAAATTAATGTGTTTTGAACTTATGAGTGATCGTTATGAATGATGCGTGTTATTGTAATATTTATAAAGGTTTCTTATTACTTATGCAGGTTATTGATTGTTATGTGAATGTATTATCAAAGTCAGTAACTAACAAAGAAAGAAATATGGAATTTTTGAAGATAAATTTAGTAGAATTCGAAAGTAGGTAACTTTTTTGTAAATATTTAGACGTAAGTTCTTATTTTATAATTAATCAGAATAAGTAATTTATGAAAATACTTACTTTTAAGGAAAAATAATAACTGATATTGAATATAATGCAATATCAGATTATTATGCCCCTGAGCAGTGTTACCTATGTTAGCATGTGTTACGGCTAAAGTACTTATAAATCTGTATCTACGTTATTTACCATCCAGTCAATATTTATTAAAACACCAAATTTTCGGTTATGTTAGAACAGTTGCCATTAAAATGTTGATTAAAGATATGATAAATGATAGAGACGAGATCGAAATTAATTGTATTTCGTTTAAAATATTTTTGATGCTTAAATGATTTTAATTAAGTGTCTAATCAATATGATGAATGAATCACCTCGTCACCAACGTAATGACGGCAATAACCAATTCTGTCTATTGTGGTTATTGTGTATAATGACTGGGGAAAATGTTTAATAAATTTTTCATTATTAGCTGTAACATATGTACATACATTGTAGACCTAAGTACAACTTGCTTATCTCAACGTTACTTGAGATTAGCGTAAAGTTCTTATAATACTATGATTAACTTATAAGTACCTATATTTAATACTTACGCCTTAAATTATAAATTGTACTTCTTACCATGTATCTATATGACAACTTGAATTTTATAACTTATATAGCAATAAATTTTGCATAAAACTCTTACTAAACATTTGTTTCTTTTATACCCGAATATAAAGCAGGGTTGCTTTGATAAAACATTCCTTTAAGTTTGCATAAACTATACCTACTTTAATTAAACACAATATTTTTATCAAGCGTTTACTTAACATACTTTTAAATATATTCGAGTTCCATAACTCTGTTACAATCAACATATATTAGGTAGACAGTTTCTAACACAGACAGCACAGTGATTAGGTATATTAGCACTGAATATTTGGTGCTGTGTACAGCTGGTCGTAAATATTGGTGTACGATGATGATCGTGTGAACCTGTGACGGTACACTTGCGATGGTACTCGCGAGGCTTATAATTGGGAATTGCTCCAGAGGCACAGCATGCAGAATGGCAGAAGCCACCATCAGAACCACCATCACCGTCCCTTTAACTGTCAAACTCGAGTCGTTAGGAGTCACCATGTCTGCTAAAGAGTAGCTCGAGTACCAAAAACTACCGACTCGCCATGTCCAGAATAAATAAAACAAACTCGTCACATATTTCCTCGCAGTGTCTAGCATTACATTACAAAGAATTTAGCATTAATAGGCCTGAAGTGTTTTATTATCTTTTAACGTTTTACTGATTCACATTGCACTCATTTTAAAGGAATTTTTTCTGTGTAATCATTTGTATTATTGCTGTGGATACGTCATGTTTGGACAACTTTTACTCTTCATAGAGCATCAATTTTGACAATGATGTCATTCTCATTCGTATGGCGTGGGTGGTCATTAGGACCTTCTTATATAGACCCTACTTCATTTATTATTTCGTTGATGAATTAAATTAAAACAATCACTTCCTTGCGGTCTACCTAGACCAGTTTTTCAGCTATTCAATGTTAGGTATACTACAGGTATATTGTAGGTACAAACAATACAACTTAACCTTATATTACGATAGTTGAGATTCGAAATTAATGTCAATCATTTCTAAGTGACATTATGTCCGCCTTGTTTCAATGTCCTTATTCGAAATAAACATAGTTTTCCATCCTGGGCCTTTAGCCAAACGCCACTTTAGCGCTCGTCTACAGAGAGAGTAGAAATCAAAATGTATGGGGATGACACTGTCAAGTGTCAAAATTTACGTCAATTCCATATAATTTGGTTTTCTATTCTACATGTAGACAAGCGCTAAATGGCATTTGGCTACAGCTGCTGAAGACCATTTTGACGCTTTATCGTCAAATGGCTTCTGATTTTTCGATTAATTTGATTGATGTCATTGTAATGTGTCTGCCTGCGTGGCCGTTGCCTCGTTGGCCGAGTGGTCGCAAGTGCGACTGTCGGGTAAGGGATCTCGGGTTCGAATCCCGGGTCGAGCAAAGTATTACTGGGTTTTTAAAAAAATGTGCCCGGTATATGGCAATAGGCTCACCCCCTGTTACATGGGACTCATAACATAAATAGTGAAAAGTGGGTATTACATTGTACAGTGGCGTAATGTACACCTCTGCCTACCCGTTCGGGGATAACACGCGGGATATTATGTATTGTCTCGTCTTCATCATCATTGTAATGTCTCGTTTGCTCTGTTTTAGTGCACGAAGGGTCACGAGTGTTGTGTATGGCCTGCGTGATGTTGTTATTATTTACAAGTTACCTAATTAACGTTCAAATAGTCAAACGCCACTCAATTTGAGTCACGCTTAGGTATAGTTCTGTCGCTACTAATTCTTTGTAAAATGACAGAGACGGTGATGTTTAATTATTACTTAATGAGTAACCTTTCAGTATTCGGGCGTAAGTTTGAAACGTACTGCAGAGACTAGAAAGGCAACATGTTGTCGATATATGCAGCAGGCAACGACCGCTGGCGTGATCGGGAAAATATTAAAGTGTGGAGGTAGCTGCTCCATATGTACTATGTAGATAGTGAGCGTTATTATTATCGATAACAATTATCATGGCGCGATTAACTCCGATATCTCGTTGATTTCCTTCACATACGGCCACTAACTCGACATGACGCGTGTTTAACAAAGCAGTTTTTTGAAAAAGACCGCTGAAATGGATAAATCATCAAAAAACAAGTATCCATCGCACCTTGTACTGACTGCCGTGCTGTCGGGGGGCATTAGCATAGTAAGTAATATTTCCTATTTTACTCCTGCTCCATACAATACGATCGATGCAAGCGCGATGTGATAGATACGAGTATGACTCACTAAGTTCCATGAAAATTCCCCATCTGTCCTCTATGGGACAAAATTCATCCTAAATTATATACCTCTATATGCATCCTAGGTAGGTAAACTTAAATAAAGCAATAGTTATTTTATTTTATTGCGATTAATGTATGCTCTTATTTATTAATCAACGACAATAGAATTGAAAATTTTAAAAAGAATTAGGTACATGCTAGAATTATTCTATTAAGTACCTCTTAGGTAGCCCAAGGTCAATCTTATACCTTTAATTTTAAAAAAAACGATGTGTAATATCAATTAATGATGATAATTTTATTCATTGTGTTGCTTTGCGACTTTTATCATTGTTGGCTTAGCGAAACTATTTAAATGTTTAAGATTAGTACTATCGCGCGTTGGTGAGCTTCAAACAGTTTCAAAGTTTTTTTTAAATAGTATTTTCGAATATTTTTTCTTAAATTCATGACTATTAATTATTTCTGTATATTTTATGCTTATGTACATTATTGCAACCTATTTGCTGTTTACTTACCTATAAGTTATCTGCTGGCTTATCCAAAATTGTGATACAAAATTTATGCTCGTACTTCTTCGATTCCTTCAAGGACAAATGTAGATAATTTAGCTATTTCTTTGTTTTCAGACAGTGTCCCTTGTGTACATATTACTGTCCATTGCGGCATTGATATACAGATTCTCGGACTGTGGTATAGACCCAACAAATCCATCACAATTTTTCTGGAAGATCACTGTCAGTGCTTATATTCTAGAAGGTAAGTAAGTTCACATCGTCTTGGTGTTGTGCAATACCTAAACCGCAATGTTACATTTTCATTAGGGCCTTACAGTTAAAAGGATTCCTGAACTCAAACACGGTATATTTACTGATATACCAACAAAGAGAAACAATAAATTAGTTGGTTATTTATATGGAACGCCTAGCTGTTAACCAAATGTAAATGTCTTAGTGGTCGTTAATTGAAGGGTTAAAGAAGAATGACAGATTAGAACTGGCACTGATTTTCCTGATAATCTCAGTGGCCTCAAGTTGAGAAGAACGAACGAACGAACGAACGTCTTTTTTTGTTAGTAACTAGGCCTGTCTTGTCCCCCTATTGAAAGTCCACGTTTAAGTGAGTAAAAATATATAATTATAATACTTATTTTTCCCTACGCCCATGTTATAAGGTTGCTGTCCATTCCACAGAACATGACGTGTAAGTTAATCGTAGATATCATTATTATGCCAATGTACTATGAGCTATTATGCTATGACTAATAGTCTCTTTAGGTAACATAACAATGTAGCTACCTACATAATTTATTTATTTAAATATGCTTCATGCACAACGATGTACAGTAGATGGACTTAATGCCGCAGGCTTCAAAGTCGCACGAAACTATGTCATAACAATAGTTCAGGGGCGAAGCGCCATATCTGCCGTATCAATTATATGGGGCCCCGGACTACGGGCGTGTGCAAGCAAAAATATAAAAAACTTCTCAATTTATATTTTAGTGATCAATGATGATGGAATAGAGAAATCTATTCCATGGCCAGAAACTTTGGAAAATCTAAAGTAATCATTGTCCGATATATAATTTGGGCAGGGAGAGTAACTACAAGTCTGATTTGAATAATTCTTTTTGTGTTGGATAGCGCATTTATCGAGGATGGCTATAGGCTATAAAACATCACGCTACGACCAATAGGAGCTGCGCAGAGCGCGTAAAACCGCGCGGAAGTCGCTAGTATTATAACAGTCGTATACTTAGTTATCCCTTGTTAGACCACATTTAAGTATTTTGAAGGTTTAATATCTTGTGTAGGTAATATTAATATCTATCAATACCTCGTACGTGTGATACGTGAAATTAATAGTTGTTGCAGTGTGCAACAACTTATTAAGAGAAGAATAATAATTATTTATGTAATTAATTAAAATCATTATAATTCGTGTATTTGTAGATGGTCAATGCGAATTGTCGGAGGCCGTACGACATGATTTGGAGATTACCACCGCATACACTGTGTTTGTCCTGGCTGCGCTCACCTTGAGTTTCCATGCACTCTGCCTTATATCCGCCATCTGCCTGATCATAGGTAAGCTGTAACTAGGTACATAAATTAACAAACAAGAACTATATTATTGACATGAAATAAACACACATAAATCGAGCAAGTTGTTAGATGGAATTTTCAGACCTTCTGTTTAATTCCGGATTTGTGGGCTTGTGAGGTATAATTTAAAACCGGTGTGAAAAACGCTTGCAATAGGTTTCGCCGTGTGAGTGAGGTGAGGTAGGTGAGGCTCTTCCCTCCCCAATCTCCTACTCATATCCCCTATCTTCAAGTCCCTAACGCCCAAAAAGTTACGTGAGTAAGATATTACGCCAAATAGTTATACATAAAATTGTTTATAACTTTGCAGTGATACAAAATGTGGACGCAGCTCGCTACCTCGCCTACGTAGTACCAATTTACATTGGTACTTGTGTAGCCGTCTTGGTGGTGGACCTAACAACTGCCGCCCATTTCGGAATAGATCACAGTACATTGAGCTCTCGACTGGTAAGCGCTTCAAGTGTATAATTTAGTAACGATTCATAACAATTGTGCTTGGATGGATTTTTCTTATACGACATTTGTGCATTTATGGTGACTGACTAGGTGCCCAATTAAACCACTCGGAAAATAAAACATGACACGCCGGTTTCGCCTATGTCTGGAGATAGGATAAGGCAGTATCATATTTGTGGAAGTTACATGATTAAAGTGCTGCCTGTGCCTAAAAAAGGCAGTCGTGCCGACCCTAACAACTACAGGCTTATTCCGGTAACTAGAGTGATGCCCCTGAATATACCGTTTTCTTCTCAATGATCGGCAATACGGATTTCGCCGAATTCAATCTACTGAGGTCCTTTTTGCGTATGCTACCCACCTCTCTAACAAGTCGGTAGTGTCATTGGGAAGGGAAGGGTCGTTTTACGTCTCCTTGACCTTCGGCAGTGTGTGCCACAAAGGCCTTATTATCAACTCACTGGTTTTTGCCAAATGGCCTACAGACTTCCCGAGGGCTCGGCCTATTCGACTGGGCATCAATGGCTGCTCGTCTGAGCAATAGGTATAGGCCTCAGTCATTGGTCAGTACTCTCAGTTTTTGGATGTGCCAACGACAGTATAATTTATTGAAAGGCAGTATCGGAAATGCGAGTTACTGCAAAATGGATCGAGGTTGAATTAGTCCTTAAAGGTAGTTAACGATTGGACGATCAATTTTACGTTGACTCCTTTACGTTGAGTTTCCATTCCGATAACTGACCACCTAGAACTTTGGCTCTTATTTGAGTCATTGACTGGAAAAAATCGATTCACTATAGGTACTTCACGCCCGAAGAATTGCTAATCTCTACCAAGTACCAACCAAGATGCCTTCTTAATGAGATATCGTTTAATACGTCTAGCCTAAATATTTGATTTTCAAAATCATTTGAGATATATTTTTTAATTTTCGTTGAAAAGTGTTGATTTACTTACGTAGGTGTTTTAGTTATGTTGACTATAACTAGACAATTTAGAATCCAGTAATTTCTTGTGCTATCTTACTAACATCTTATTTTTCTTTCGCAGGCGAATATTTTGACTCCAGTTACTGAGCCTGAACCCATGTATGACCTAATAGAAAATATTTACATATTAGAAAATCTGCGTCAAGGGGCGCTGTACATGATGACCTTTGCGCTTAAAGGATACGTCGCACCGTTCATTAACATTATACTAATAATATTATTGATCGTTTACGTGCTGGAGCATCGCAAGTTAATGAAGAGTAATGAAGTAAGTAATTAAACACCTATGTAGACACTTAGGTTTGGATATTCTCGTGATTCTTCTACCAGAAAACACCTCCAACAGATTCTTTATTCAAATAAAACTTTGAAATAGGTACTGCGATAATTCCTCTAAACGACTTACAAGAATTTACGTATTGAGTTGTTATTCTATCCTGTTTCAGCATTCAATACACAAACTGGGAGTCCTGTCTGGATTCGAGTAAGTTTGCGTTCTTAGTTTTACTTCTAACTTACCTCGCAAGACTACTAAGTCCTTTCTGAAACATTATATGTATAATATTTATGTAATATGCCCACCTAATTGATAATGTTATTGATTTATTGTTTGCAGTCAACCAAGGAAACCCGATGACAATAATTGGGCGACACAGAACGAAGCACTGTCACCTTATGCGAGAGGGTACGTCATTCAATTAAGGAGACTGTAGAGTGAATATTATATAACTTTTGTTGAGGGGGAATCTTATCACTTCTCCCTTCTTGTGTGAAATGAGAGGAGTACTAGAGTCAACTAAAAACCATAATTATCGTTTCTACTTCTACATCGAGCTAGAGCCCCGAAAACCCTAGCTAGGCCGTTCGGAGAACTGTATTACAGAACCACAATAATTTCGATCACCGCGTGGTGACAGTAAAGAAAAATATTTTATTTTATTAATAAATTACATTAGCAGGCAGCGATGTGCTGAGCTTTTTGATAAACCTAAACATTTTTAAACTAAGATCTCCCCAGCATGGAGGCCCACTCGCCTGTACTGTCACGAATTGAATTCCAGATACCGAAATTCTTAAATTAGTAAGTAGATAACCTACCTATTTTGGTTTGGTACTGAATCAACTACTCACCTAGATACCTACCTAGATACGCAGTTTTCTAAATGCCATGCATGCTTCAGCACAAAAGATCCTTAATGTCCTTATAGAAGACCATAAAGCAAACAACACTAGTTTTGTGAAATTGAACTTTGTTCCCCCGACAACGCATTAGCAACTCCTCTGGTGCCTACTTAGAATACATTGACAATCCTGTCTTTGTCTGTAAATAGAGTAAGTAACTAAATCGATTTTTTCAATAATTCCTTATAAGGATAAAGACATAAGGATGTCTCCATGTTACAGAGCACGTACGAACAATGGTTTTATTAATGACGATGAATCAGATCGCAGCAGCCGTCAGCCCAATAGACGTCAACTAACGCGCAATGACTTCAATCATTCCAAGTAAGTACCTTTTTATTGCGTGTTATACTCTTAGATATCCTTTGTCCTATTAAGTACCCACCTTCACTTCATAAGTAATAAACAAGTACTTAGTCACTTCTTTTATCCTATACTTAGAGTCCCTGATTTGTAAAGACCAGCGACCAGCATATTACAGATTCGAAACCTCTTCCACGCGTAGGTATAGGTTAGAATTGACATTAGCGAAACAATTAGGAGCAGTCTAATTAACGTGTTGAAGTACGCCAGCGGATCATGAAGCCCAATGTCATCAGTGTTCTCTTTCCAAATGGGGTAAATTATTTAATTGAGTGTTCCAATATCGAAATTTATTAGGTACCTACTCTCGCCATGACTCTCACCCATAACGTATAGATGGATTCTGTAGCTTAATATTTAGTTATAATATTGTATGGTACCTAGTAAGATAGGCCTACCTACTCTGAGCGAAGTATTTCAATAGAAAAAGTTATGTTCAACTTGTTTTAACTGAATCATTCAAAAGTGTAAGCAATTACGCCTCAATTCATCTAGCAATTCCTTGTAAATTTTAAAATCATTTGTCATTAACTTACAGCCGCTCCTACGACCGTTCCGATTCGTGGCATCATGCACAGCCGAATTTGGCTCAAAGCGCCCGCCCGTTCTCGTATCTCGAGGACGTCAGGCGGCCTGTTCCAGTCCAGCAAATGAAGCCGCCTCCGTCACCTGCTGTGGAGGTGCCCTGGAACCGTGACTCTTGGCAACAAGGTCCGCCTGTACCAGCCCCCGACTACAGCCCACAGCCGCGACGACTCAAGTCTGCACTTAAACCTGGGTACATGTAACAAGCTGTTGAATCCGTCATATGCCGGCCGGAATGCGGATCTACGCGATATATTACGATATATTTTCTATTGGGCCTCAGCTACCCGGCAGTTAAGTGGTAAACGGAATAAACTATATGATGTTATTTTATAAAATACCTTGTTGTCATTTTTCATATCAATATAATATCCAAGCATCGTTGATACGCTTATCTTATCATAGGTATCACCAATAATAAATAGGATATTAGCTTGCGACAAAAAATTTGTTTATTACGGTGTAACAAGCAATGAATCACTTGCTCACCATAATATACCTAGTAAGTAAACTCCTTCAAAGAGTGGGTGTGTAACGCATCAAAACAAACAAAATTAAAAGTAACACGAATTTATTTACAGATTTATAGTACTAAAACAAAATAATAAAAACCTTTAAAAGATATTTATAAAACCTTCATTTTAAACAGTGAATACTTAAGTAAAAATAAACGATATAAGTATAGTTTATTCATGTATATTGTTGTGTTTTAACAGAGGAAACATAAGAGACTGAAAGGCACGGAAAATGTTTATAATTGTAGTCCATTTCACATAGCAAGAGCACTTGAGGCGATCCGTTTTAAGTTCTTAATTTTTGATACCTAATAGCCACTGAAACTATAAAAATAACATAATTAACTTATAAGGTTTAATTCATATATCTTTACAATAACAATATTACCAATGCGAGGTTAAGCCGTTATTTATATTTAAGAGGATTTTTATGTTAAAAATAAACAAAGAAAAAACAGTGTCTCATAAATACTAGAAAATAAAGATATTCTATTTTATAAATGGATATAAATGACACTTTTTTATAATCTATCGATATTTAACACTATTCACTCATGTATTAACTTTAAATACCAAACGTCACCTCATCGTGCCCTTCCTTTGTGAAATGGCGAATAATTGTATACCTTACGAACAATATGTACACAAGTTTTATACATTGTAGTACCAGTACATACTAGTTATATATTATATACATGACATTGATGTTAGGATGTAATTTACAATTTCATGTCTCTAGTATTTACATCACATTGTAGTTGTACTAACACTAACGTGTCTTCTATTAATTACACTACATAAATTGTATAAAAAACACATTTTATTCAAATTTCACGTGGCTTGGCCTGAATTCATAATATACATTTCAATATTAAGTATATTATTGCACGACTTAAATGATAGTATAAATAAAAATAAATATCTCTTCATGCAGAAAGTATAACGAAGAGTATAAGTAACAAATAATATAAGGATAAGACACTATTAACGACAGAATATAAAAAAAATATTTGATAAATAAAAAAATGGGTGTTGGCTAACAGGTGGTACAACTTTTTGGATGTATTTCTCCAACAAATATGGAAATTGCCACATACGTAGCTGCGAGCGAGTCTGTATAGAATTGTTCATGTAATATTATCAAGTTGGCCTAGCTATTTTGTTCCTAGTTCTTAGGCTACTCTGGCCAGTAAATACATATCAAGTTAAAATTGACAACACCATGCCTTTGACGTAATAAAAACATTTTAAAAATAAAATTATAAATTCTATTTGTATACAAGTTAGACTATATAATAACCTCCATATTCAAAACACTTGAACCTAGTATTGCGATTGATCACTATAATTTGCACGTCGTGTACGCCTAATTAAATTGTATTATAGGTATATGTATACAGTTATGATACGATTAGGTATATTGAATTTTAAACTAATATTTATTATACATTGACAATCTATTTAGGATAACAAGTAAAAATTCTAAGTTCGGTTGGTACAACTCTAGATTCTTTAACTGTTGTACAAGAGTTGCGAAGTTATTAACTAAATCCCTAAATGGAATTATCGACTTTACCTATACTTTATCAATGCCTACAATATAGAAGTAAGTTCAGACTTTAAAACTTATACAAAAATCTGGGTACCGAGCTTAGAAACCTCAAGTGACAATATCACCGAGTATTTATTGCTAGCCACAAGTACAATGCCTGAGTTTTTGTTACAGCGCTATACTTAGAACCATCACATAATGTAAGGCAAGGTTACCGTAAGTTTTGTATCGATCCTTTGCATAATGCGAACTTCCAATGGTCAAAAACCGTCCTCTGCCTTTTCATCAGACTTGTTCTCTTCATCTTCTGCATTTTCCTTATCAACTGGATTGCTCGCTTGCTTCAAGTTGTTTGTGTCACTCTTCGCCGAACAACTAGGAGGGCCCTCTACGCTACCGTCTTCACTACCGTACTTGTCCTTTGATAAAACAACGTCCTTTGATTCGTCGCTGCAAGTTTTCTGATCATCATTGGATAATGACAACTCGAACTGCGTCGCCAGCTGACTCAGTACTTTTTTAAGGTGTTCGAATGATTCCTTGTCATTTGACACATTCGGAGTTTCCAATACAGTTTCACAATTACCATCCTCGCATAAGTCTTCGTGTTGTGCTTTTAGCGCTTTCAACTCACCCACAATGACTGACATCTCTGGTTTATCCAGGTACGCATCGGTGAGGAAGCGTCCTTCTTGTGAGAATAAAAATACGGCGGGTATTTCAATGTCATCTTTCCCGTCGCCGGACATCGCGAACAAGGCAGTACTCTCATGCGTTGAGTCTGGTACATTATCGATGATTATAGCCAAATTAACTCCAGCATTTTGCATGTGACGTACTTTTTGAGCGAAAGTGCATTGACCACGTTTGGCTATGCCGAACTTGCCTTCGACATCTTTTTTGTTTTCAATGGGTGAGCAAGCATCTAGTGGAATGACGAAAGCAACTGAGTTAACATATTGGTTATTGGCAGAGATTTCTTTACCGAAATGTCCCGGGCCGGCGGGGAAGATTTTGTCATTGACCTTCACTCCTGCTGGTACTACGCCATTCTCTATATCACTCATGGAATTCCACTTTGACATTTCACGCATAAACGTAAGGCCCTCCGCAGCGTCCTTTGCAGACTTGGCCTAAAAAAACAAGTATTGATAAATAAGTTTTTGTACAGTCCTATAAGTAGGAACAATGTTTACTGGTATCTTGATTACCACCCGATGGTAAGTGGGGAGCGTAACCTAAGTGCATCAACAGGTGTAGTGTATCGGAAGTGTATTGCATATACTTAATTTGTATATCAATTATATTTTAACACTAGTAATAGGTAAATTACGAAGTTTTTCTTACCGTCGAAGTGGTGTAGAGCAACTGAACTCTGCCGTCTGGGAGTGTCAGGACTGATATTCCCATGTCGGACAGCGTATGTATCTGTCGCGGGTCGTTGAGGGGGCGCAGGCGAGCGGGGGGCCGCGCCGACGTCGACCCAAGCAACTGACGCATCGGACGCCGCACCTTCTCCGCTACCAACGACGCCGTATTAGGACAAGTCCTGTAAAACCACACAATATAAAATCATAACGTATCAAGCCAATGTACTTAATATAAGAAGGAATAACACTCACTTTCTGTATTTGTCGTCATCCTCATCATCAATTTTTAAGGTGAATTGTGAGGTGTTTTTACCGTCTGTCGCCAGAGATAGTGGTAGGAAGTGAGCTTCGGTAGTTAGTACGTAGTCTTCCAGCTTTACAGGGATATCTTTATCTTCGCCGAAAAGCATGTAGAGGTACTTGAATGTTTCGGCCAACACGAAGGAGTCCATTCTGTCCTCGTGATTACGTGTCCTTACATCGTTAACGGCCGCGTACCCACAAGGCACCCTGGTGTATTGCTGCAACGCTTTAAGTACAGTCTTTCCTACTTGAAGGTAATGGTCGTCCTCAGTAGCGCGGTGGAGGAAATAAGTAGATTCTAAAAACTCTGGCCTGAGCGGATGTTGACCCCAATGCACCTGGGAAACAAACACGACAGAAAAAAATTACACAGATATCATATATCACACCACTTAATCCCCGAAGAGCTGTTTTCCCCCAGTTATGTTATGAATCCCGTGTAATCTTATACTGAGACTTATATAAAGTGGAAGTTTGTTTTTTTGTTTGTTTGTTTGAACGCGCTAATTTCCGTAACTACAAGTCTGATTTGAATAATTATTTGTATTGGATAGCGCATTTATCAAGGATGGCTATAGGCTATAAAACATCACGCTATAACCAATAGGAGCTGAACAGAGTGTGTGAAACCGCGCGGAAGTAGCTAGTAGAGGGATACAGATCGATTTATTAATCAATACCCAAATACAGCTCATTACTAATATTTACCTGGAAGTCAGAAGTGAAAGCTTCAGGAATGAAGGTATGTCGTTGCATGACTTGGTAAAGCATCTCATGTGTTTCGACGGCGGGTCTGACGTCACCGAGCAACACTTGAAGACCGGGCCAGAACGCAAGCAGAGCATCCATGAAGTTCCGGGATTGCAAGTGAGGTCTAAAACAATTTACATAAAATAAATATTATTCTGTATTGTTTCACAGACAATGGTCATTGTTATAATTTATAAGAAAGATGTCAAAAGAAAATTGGTGTGAAAAATGTCAGTTTAATATGAATTGTAAACCGACCTGTGCATGTGAACAGCCAACATAACTGGACCTCTGCTGATATACTTCATGACGGCGTTGTAGTGTCTGTTGAACCTGGCCAGGTATTTCTCGTCTCCGAGTAAGATGTAAGCCTTGAGGCAGTATTCGTAGTAGGAGTCGATGCCAGCGCCGACTCCAGCATCCTTGCGAACCCAGTCACCGGAATGTATGTTTATGACAGTGCCCATCAGATCTGAGGTCCTGAGAAAAATACGACAAAAGTATAATTTTATGTTGCATAACACAACATCACGAATATAATACATATTACGTACAGTACACAAACTTTTCAACAGTTAGGTAAGTTATGAATATTATTTAGGGTGTCCGCCTATTCCTAACATTCCTATGCACGGGCATAATTCCCGACTCCAGGCTATTATAGTCTAGTAAATATCGAAAAACCGTATCAAAAAATGTATAAAAATAATGATAATAGGTAGTAGTGAAACGAAGTGTTTATCGATTTTTCCTACAACGCATTGCATATCTTCAAGGTCGAACTATACACGTGTAATTAGTAACTTGTATTATCTTTAGTACCCAAAATAATAACTACGTCGATTTGTTGACCAAATATTGTATTTTTTTAAACGAACCGTCGGATCACCTAATGTTAAGCAATCGGCACAACCCGTGGACACAAACACCAAAGGCGTCACACTCCTATGAGGAATTATGAGGACGGTTAGGAATTGGGACTCGGATAATCTCACGAAGGGCCGATATCATCAGGTAATTCTTAACTGTAGAATAAAATTGACATTTGACAGTTTTTAGTATGGAAGAATTGACAAGTATTCCTCAGTTAAAATTCATATGGCGTTGGAAAAATTAGATTATACGGTAAAACATAATACAAGCGTTGTTTTACACTGGTTCTATCAGACCGTGGTATCACTCCGGTCGAGCCGTCCAAACATGGCTCTACCACACGAATTGTTGATTTATGTAAATTGAAGCACGTTAGTTTAGCTGGTACACAGGTAAAAAATTAAATATTTAGTCAGTATAGAGATAATACCTATTGTTAAAGTCGGTAACTAAATTCTTTGCTTTTTAACGAAACCATGTTTATACTATCTCTTGATCAATCTTTATTTCCTTAATTACGTAAGTTATTTGTAGTTATTTAGTAATTTGGCTGACTATAGCTAAACATCAAAACATGTTTGGATTAAACCTACTTAGTAATTATAAGCCCTTTTTTTAAGGGGGAAAATCATTGAATGAGGGAGTGTCAGACTCTTATTGACTAAAAACCACCCCGTTCCTTCTCTTGCACTTCGAGCCGGAGCCCCGGTTACCCGTTGGGTTCTCCGCGACAATTATAAGCCCTAGAGTGGCATAAAACTATAATACAATGAGAATTATAATTATAATACAACAATAGTTATTAAGGTATTCTGGTCACTTACCTATGCCTAATCTTCCACAGCCTGTCCATAGCTTTGTGTGCCTTTTGCTCGTAGACAGGGTTGCCAGTTAATCGCGACAATGCTGCCATTTCGAGGATCATTGTGCCAGCACACGCCGTGCACGTCTCTCGGGACTCCGACATCCCTCGCATACCATGGCGAAGATTAATCTGTACAACAATAAGTTATGCTCAGTACACAGACAACAACATCAACAGCTTATAAGAGCCCACACAACATCGCACCTTTTATCCCCGAAGGAGTAGGCAAAGGTGTACATTATGCCACTGTACAATGTAAAACCTACTTTTCACTAATTATGTTATGAGTCCCATGTAATAGGGGGTGAGCCTATTGCCATATACCGGGCACAATTCCAGATTTCGTGGTACTACTGAGAATTTATAAAAACCCAGTAGTAGGTACTTTGCGCGACCCGGGAATCGAACCCGAGACGCCTTGCCCTGCAGTCGCACTTGCGACCACTCGGCCAACGAGGCAGTTTAAGTGCCCACTGCGGAGTAAAGCCTCTTCTCATACGGAGAAGGTTTGGAATCAATCAGCACACTTGCTCATTGCGGGTTAGAGATTTCAAACTTATAATTAGGAATTATAATTCCAGGTTTCTACACGATGTTTGTCAGTGGTATCTACATAATCTTAGAAAGTACATATAACTCGGAAAAAAGTCACGCATTGGTACTTGTCATTGGTAGGTTTCGAAACCGCACCCTCATGCATGAGAAGCGGGGGTCTTAACTTCCAGGCCACCAAGACACACAGTACACAGATATACCGTGTAAATATTATGACAAATCCCTCATAAATATGTAGAAGAGTGTGGTAGGTGTTAAGGTAACATTTAGCAACAACAAATTGTGGATCACACTAATATGTATGTATGTAAGGGAATCTAATCCACAATACGTTGCGCAGTCGTAATTAAACGGATTTTAACGAACATACGAAATGGTGCAACTGTTTTTCAATTTATTTTTATCGCCACATTTAACTATTTATCAAATTGCGTCGTAGCACAGCAGATTTACTTTTTTAATTTTTTTCTTCTTATTCCTTTAACTGTGTAATGCTAACTAAAAAACAGAGCAGCTTTATATCTCACAGACGCAAGACGTACGAATTTTAATATACTTACTCTTCCATGTGGTATCCCAGTAGACGTATTGAAGGCAGGCAAAAGCCTCTTGCCCAAATCCTCCGCCATTGCAAGCAGTTCTCCATTATACCACTGCAAGGCAGGCACTTCATTCTTTAAGTTGGTGGCTAACACATGCGCTGATAACAATCCCCTGGAAAGGAGAAGTCAATTTACTTCTATGGAGATATTTCATGAATTAAACGGAGTACAAATTCTGCATTTATGTAATTGCTTTGCATTCAATAGGTTAGACTTGCTTGAGGTAAATAATTTCGCTCGAGTAAGTCCTCCCGATCCTGTAGAAATGTCTGGATAAAAAATATTCCTCCCCGAAAGTAAACGTTTAACATCGGTCCATTGGTTTCATACTTTCTGAACCTATTCAATCAAGAATACTTACAAGAGAATTTGTCCTCTTCATAATACATATTAGTACCTTTAAATACCTACCTATAAGTACCTTATAAATGCTACAAGTACCAATATTATGTATTCACAGGAAAAGTGGTATAATAAGTCTGTATCCTTATTCACTATTAATCATATTTATTTCAGTTGTAGTCATTGGTTAAAAACGCAATACATAGAATAACAATTAACATCAGACGATATTGCTTCTATTTAAATAATATTCACAATTGGTTTACATAAATAGTAAATTAGGACATAAGTAACGTGGTAAATAAAGTTTTGTCCTTACCCGAGCATTCTAATATTAGTCTCAAATACGGAGACTACAATGTCGTGGTCGAAAGTGACATCTTTGATGACTAGCTTGATGGCGCGACTGAACTCTGAGAAATCTCCCAGCACAGCCAGCGTATCTAAGCTGTCCACCAATGTTAGGGAGAAGCTGAAAACGTAAATACAACATTGTACGAAATTGTACAAGTGAGAGAGCCATGCTTCGGCCTGAATGAGCTGGCTCGACCTGAGTAATACCGCAGCCTGATCGAAAACCGGCGTGAACCCTACGTTCGGAATACTAAATTCGAGTATCCTTGAACGGCGCCGATTGCTTACCATCAGGGGGCTTACTCTTGAATCCAATTCCGATCGATCGACATTGATATTGTGAAATTTCGTACTCTGGAGTTTTAACACTAGCGCCCATTGCATCCGTATTGCGTGGATATTGAATGAACTAAATGGTATTGAGTTGGCTTTATATTTCGTACTCTGAATGCTATTTTACAACATACAACCCCAATCGTATCTGTTATAATTATTACATTACATTACATTACAAAAAATAAAAATTATAATTTTTACATTGAATAATTATTGAGATTATATTGGATTGAAATTGCATTTATATTGAGATTGGGTTCATAAGTAAGCACAGTGGTCTGGTCAGGTAGATAATTCGCATGCTCGTTTGCCTGTGCCATAAAAATAATTAACACTACATACTGTATAATAGCTAAGCACTATATACTTGATTGAATATTAAACGCAGTAATCAGAAACAAGCATAGCAGCTAGCATCGTTTCACCGATTTCACGCCCATACTATAAATGTAGGTCAATCTGTTCACAAAGTTTGTTTATTTACTTTCATTTCTGCACTCAATGCACTTGACCTGTTAATTATATTAACATTATATTATAAAGTTACAAGTAATTAAATATGTACTGAATTATTCTTTACATAAAATATTATAAAAACCGACTTCCAAGACCAAAGTAGAAACAAAATACGAAAAACCAAAAAAAAATATACTAAATACGTTTCCATAAAGCTGAGGAGTTTGTTTGAACGCCCTAATCTCCGACACTACTGATCCGATTTGAATAATTCTTTTTGTTTTGGATAGTTAATGTTTTTATTGAGGAAGCCTATAGGATACTGATGTATCTTATCCTCAAGCCTCATCATCTCTCATCTCACTCTACGACAGAATAAAAGACGAGCAGCGAGTAGCTACCTTGTTAGCTAGCTATGTAAAAGGATAATTATATTTTTTTATAGTCATTCTTTAATGGCCGGAAAATTTATATTACGTATTTTTCTTATCTACAAGTTAAACACTTTCAATAACGACTACGCAAGCTATAAAGTTATATAACTTTAACTAGGTATGTAAATACTTTGGAGTTTTTGTAGTTAATAATAATTAATATTCTATAATATAGATATAGAATCTATATCTATACATATATATAATAAAACTGTAGAAGTGTAAAATCTGTACATTGACAATTAAAAATAATAGTAGGGGGTCTTTACTAGATGGACACTGAACCCAAAAAGGAGATTAAAAAGAATTTTGTCTGTCTGTATGTTCACGCATCACGCAAAAGCTAACGGTCCGATTACGATGAAACTTGGTATGATTATACTTTAATATCCTGGGCACAACATGGGGTAGGTACTTTTTATACCGAAAAAGAATATACACGAAAAAACAAAATTAATTGTGCGGCCCAATCCCTAGACAGTTATTGTACCAAAAGCAAATATAACTTTGTCGAATTTTAGATTGCCCGCAATGCCATTTACGCTGTAACTGTAAGGCCGATGATCAAAATTAGCTTGAACCGACATTACAAATGTGAAAATATGTGAGTTTGTATGTATGTTTATTACTCAGTCACATCAAAACGGCTGAAGGAACCGGGGTGACATTTGGAACAGAGGTAGATTATGGCCTGGACTGGAGTAATACATAGGCTACTTTTTACCCTTGGACATGCAGGCGAAGCCGCTGGGAGGAGCTATTAATAATAATTTAATTTATTTCTCAAAAAGTGGTTACAGTTCAGAATTACGACCTTAGACTTTAAACAATTATCTTATAATTAAGAGAAGGAGTATCCGCGACCGAACTAGGCGTAAGCCTGTATCTCAGCACGCATGACGCAGGGCCAATTCCCCGCAATAAAAATTTACCAGAAAAATGTATACAGTAACTATAACCAGTTTGGGAATGTTAGAAAAACCAGTTAAAAATAATAAAAAGTAGTAAAAAAGAAAAGGAAAACTAAGGTATAATCGTCACCAATGATTAATAAGATACATAAAAAAGTAATAGCATTTGAATCCACCTAATGTTTAATACGGTTATGTGGATTACAAACTTGTAGGTATATAGAATGGTTATGAGAACTAACTGTACTTACTTGCTTCCCCTATTATTAATAGAAGTGAGCAACTCCATAATACAGTGTAAGTACAGTGCCCAGCACATGAACCTCCTCAGTTTTTTTTATTCATTTTTCAACTTTATTTATTTGATATAGTTAGAGCCTAAAATTCAAAGAAAACATTGATATATTTGAGAAGGTTGACTTGCTAGCCACTGTACATGGAAAAAAAAGATATTATTTTCAAATGGAATGACCGTGCGGTTCGTTTGGTAATAGCTACTTACTTCCCGAGAGCGTCATCCATGTCACCTCGACTCGGCGTTATGCCCTTCCACCGTCCCTTGCAGCTTAGAGGCATCAGTTCATCAGCAGGGTATGCGTTCTCCATGTACGCGTTGTATGCATGATAGAACATTTTTCGTGCCTCCTCCCTGAAATCGTGAAAATATTTAGGTAATTGCTACCGGCCTCACAATCGTGGTTGGATATGAAGAGACAAACAATGAACATCGAATTCAATTGTATGCTATTAAAGAGGCTAACATTTCATTTTGACTTTGTTCTCAAGACACATTGACCAAATTCAGTTGATTTAAAAAATCTCAATAATATTGTTATATATTTTAAATTAGCCATGTAATGCGTGTAAAATATAAGATCCAAAACATTCCTAAAATAATATAAAATAATTGAGATAAATTAAATATTACTTGTATTGTATTGAACTGTGTTGTGATATTATTATTTTTTCTGCCTCATTTGCTAAGTCGACACAAGTGCGAAAGCCGGGCATCGGTCTCGGGTTCCATTCTCAGGTCGGGCATAGTATTACTGAGTTTTTTAAAAATCTCAGTAGTAGAGAGCCTGGAAATGTGCCCAGTATATGGCAATAGGCTCACCCTCTATTACATAGCACTCATAACATAAATAGTGAAAACTGAGTGTTACATTGGCATTAAGTGCCGTAATGTGCAGCTCTGTCTACCGTTTCGGGGATAAAAAGCGTGATGTTATTGTTGTGATGTTTATGTTTTTTTTTAATTCTTTCCCAAACGTTTTTTTCGGGAATCGGTTTATACCTCACTGGTGCTGGTGCAATTCAGGGGGAGGGACGCGCAGCTTATCAGACAAGCTCACGGTGCCAAGAACCTGTCCACCCTGTGTCTACCTATGCTGGAGTGATAACCGGCCCGAGCTTTTACCCGCAGACTCGCGCTCATGTTGGCCGGAAATCTGCCTCTGATCTACAGTGCCTCATGTGCCTTCTGCGGCACTGGAGGCTGCTAAACCTTTCTGGTTCTTTCTCCACTGTCTTTTTCGCGGCAAAGCAATAAGTATAACAGTTAACTTTATAACTGTTTTCTGACATTTTATAGATTTAATTTAAGTAATTAAATTAAATATCACAACATAGTTTTAATATACTTTGTAAACATTAGAATGTAATTAAAAATAACAGGAATAAGAAGCACAAATCCGTTTTTTTACGTATCTACTAAGAAAAGATCAACATCTTGTCAACTATGAAATGTCCGTCTGTGGCACTATATAAGGTTAATAATTGAAATAGTAAACCCATCATTACTTCAAGATGTTCATGATTTATTTTTTAGGTAATATACAGGGTGTCTTATAAATCAAGGTCAAGACTTAGAAATTGATATAACAGGTATTCGTCTATACCATACTAAAAGTAAAGTATTATTTCAGATGACCTAGGGGTACCAGACAAACACAATATTTCTGATGTTTTTATGAATTTTATACCTTTCACTACAAATTTGGTTACAGACTCTAAAAAAATGATTATTTTTTATTTTTGTTTTCTATGTATTTATGGCGAATAAGTAACTCCTGGTATGCTGGCGAGACACAATGTGTTTTCTATTGTGGCTAACATGCCCACAGATTCTTTTCTGTAGACTTTTGGCATAGACTTTTTTATTCATTAAACTGTCAAACACCAAGCGGTCACCGGTGACCGCAAGCTATTGTTCTATAATTGTGTCTACAATGATGGTACTCGACGAGTTAACCTCTTGATTAATTAATACCTAAATGTGTTTATTTAATCATATACTTCTAAGAGAAATATAAGATCATTTGTCAATTTATTGTATTATTTTATAATTCAGATGTGGCTTAATTAAAACTATACACAACATGGTGGGTGCTCCTGTATTAACAAAAATATGACTATAAAAATTACAATGGGGGTATATCTACTTAAAATATGCTATCCCAGTTTTATCACAACATAAGATTTTTCATTGACATACATTTTGTGACATTGCAAAATGCATTTTTTATGGGTTAAGCTAGTAAACAAGCCGATGGTAAGCAATTGACGTCGCCCATTCGGACACCCGGAACACCAGAGGCGTTACAAGTGCATTAGCAACCTTTTGGGGATTGTTTAGGATTCAGGGATTGGGAACATTGGGGGGCAGGGTGGATTATAAGCCCTTCGGTAACCTCACTCCAATGACGAAACACAATTTTGTGTTTCATCATTAGAGTGAGGTGAGGAGTGAGTGAGTCAAAATTTTGTGATGCCGTGGTATAACTCTCGTCGAGTCAGACCATTTGGCTAATAGGCTGCACCCTATCACAATTTTGTATAGCAGGATGCATGCCCTGCATGCAGTGATATGACTGACTTATTGTTTGGTTACTGTATTTCTTAAAGAAAGACTTGAAGAATATAGACAAGAAATTATATTTACGAGAATTCAGCAAACCCCAAAAACCTATAACATTCCAAGACTAATCATACATCATCATAAAACAATAAATTGTCCTGTCCTTGTCCAAAAAATATTGAATTTGGGATACAACTACCATGTGTCTTCTACCTTGCCACATATAAATTATTTTAATCAATTCCGGGTTAATGTTCCACAATTAATGGCCATTTGTCATTTTGCTGTAAAAGTCAGCAATCCAATTAATAGGAATCTACAAGGTTTAATAAAATAATGCATATTTGTCTTTTCTGGGACAATGCTCTAAACATCAGTTTTGTTGGTAATCAAAATCCTTCTTTATTAGAGCTAATTCATGAACAATTTTTTACTGTGCTATTTCCACAGTTTTATTGTAATGTAGGCTTATTTTAATGTTGTTTTAAAAACTTTCTATTTATTCCTAAGTGGTAGAACTAATTAGCACAATCAAAGGAAACTGTTGTGATAAATAACAAGCAATTCAAAATACCAAATACCTTAAACTCTGGCGTTCTGATTTCGACATTCGAGAAGCAGCTTCTTCCTCTGTACTTACACATATTATTGCCAAAATGAAGACTAATAAAACACGATATGCCATTATCACCATAATCACAATATTTTCAAATGACTTTAGAGTATTCTTATCTACAAGTAAGATTTTAATAAAATTTCTACAATAGTAAATGAAATTATAATGCTCAGGGAAAAGTTGTATCAGTTATTATTTAGGATGTTGTAACATATTTAAAGGAAAATAAGCCGTTTTTATAGGCCTGCACTAATAAATAACTCCTACCAGAACCTAATAATCGTCCATGACAGTTGTCAAGTCAATGTTGTCAAGTGTGACTGAACACAGAGATAGTTGCGTGTGGGTGCGTGGAAAAAAACACGGTCCATACTACTGTAGCTAGGACTTTTAGCATTTTAGACCTAAAATAAAGTGTCATACCTTATTTTTTATTCAACATCCTTGGCAATAGTTGTTTAAAAATATATCTTAATTCAACGTACTTGAATGTCTCTATCAAGTCTCTATACCTTGGGTTTGTCACTATGTTTAATAAGTTCTAATGGGTAAATTTACAGCATTTAAAATTTTTAAAACAATCCTATACTATTATACAAGTACGTTAAAAAGAAGGCGGACACAGTCTCTGGAAACAATCAATGACTGTAGCACCTGGTTACTGGTTATTATAGCATACACGTAAAACATCAATGATACATACATTGACACAAAGGACATCTGTCACAGGTCAAGTCTGGTAACGTGGTGACCACTGATTTAATATTTATTATTATAACATCTATGGTGGTGACCCATTACACATGCACACATAAATAAATAATCCACTGACATTTTGGTGCTTCAATAATTTGTAAGTGATGCTATGTCCGCCTTTTTTTCAAAGTCCTTGTTATCACACTAATATTATAAACTAGCGACCCGCCCCGGCTTCGCACGGGTGCAATGCAAAATATACCTACTACAGAATGTCCTTATACACAACGTTCACAGCTTTTTGTCATTAGCCAATACAAACATGTTTTGCTTAGACGTTACTCTTGACAGCGCGACATATAATTGGCCATGTGAAAAACACTCAAGTCTAATCCTGCAACGTTAAAAGTTTGACCCTGCGATTTATTAATGGTCATTGCAAAAGATATCTTTACCGGAAATTGTAGGCGTTTAAATTAGAATGGTAAATCTGATGGTATCAGAGGAATTCGAGGCTTCCAAGAAATATGGTTTTAAGCTAATCCTATCTAACCTAATGTACTTTCAATACTATTAATATAATAATAATAATAAAAATTAAAAGATAATCAACAACAAAAGATACTTATTCTATTCAGTTTAATTAATTCTTGATATTCTCCTCGCTAGAGAGCTCCGATAAACGCATGCGATCGCTGCAAATCATAAAGTACTATAAGGCGAAGCGCGGCCATCGAAGCGCTATTTATAGGCACGCGCCGCCCGGCGCAAACAACTACGACCCTGCATTTTAAATTTGTAATATCTTCGGTAATATTCACTTAAATTACATGCTTTAAAAAGCATATTAATCTATAATAAATGCACAATTTATTTAAGGTACTTAATTGGATAAGGATTAATGCTGTATTGTTTAAAATCACTTCGTAAATAACCATTTTTTAGTAAAGAATAAAAATGGTTATGCTGGGTTATCCCTAAGAGATAGACATATACCATCGCGGACTTTTTTGTTGAACTTTTTAAGGTGAACAATACTGTAGTATATTATTTTGGTCTATCTCGTAGGGTTCAGCCAGCGTTTGCAATATAAGCGCAAAAAAACGTGCTTATTTACGACATCACATTAGAAACCTTTAAATTTATCAGTGTTTCTCTACTATATTATGCATTTATTATACATACAAACCTTCCTTAAGAATCACTCTATCTATTAAAAAAAACCGCATCAAAATCCGTTGCGTAGTTTTAAAGATCTAAGCATACATACGGACATACAGCGAAAGCGACTTTGTTTTATACTATGTATTGATGAGAAAGTGTCTACATTTGGATGATTGACGCTGAAACTACCGAACGAACGTATTCCTGTGTGTGTTTTATCCTTTATCCCATGGTTGGTAAAGATTGTTTGGTTGTTTGAACGCTCTAATCTTTCGAACTCCTGGTCCGATTTGGATAATTCTTTTTCCTGTTGGATAGTGTACCTATTTATCTAGGAAGACTACATACTGTGAAACATCACGCTACGATCAATAGGAGACGAACAGAGCGGGTTAAACCGCGCAGGAGTAGCTAGAAATAAAAAATGGTTGCCTGTAAAGTCGTTTTTACGGGCGAAGATTTTACGTGACAACGTCTTTTTCTCGGTAGAATATTTATTGATATGAATATAATTAAATTGCACAATAGGAACAATGAATTGAATGAACTAGTGCTGCGCGCGCGGCAGACCGATCATAGTTGAGTGGGAGAGAGACGCAAGGCATTCGGCGGGCCTCTCTCTCGTTCGGTGACTCATCGTAACGTTACCGAGCGTTACACTTTTTCATAAGTGACTCCCAGCCGCAACCTAATTTAAGACGTTGTCACGTCAATAATCATAACTGCCCAGTTTTGGTTTTTAACCGACTTGAAAAAAAGGAGGAGATTCTCAATTCGACTGTATAACTATATATATATATATATTAATGTTTGTTACTCGATTACTCGAAGACACCAGAAACCGATTTCGAAAATTCTTCTTTTGTTTGAAAGGGTAGGCTTGTCATTTGGTCCCATTGTTATGAAGTCTGGATCTGATGATGGAATCCCAGGGGAACTGAGGGAAACTTTTAAAAATAATAGGGGCGCCTAGAACATTTGATAATTTGGTATACTTACACTCTATACTTGAAAAAATATTGTTTTCTCCTGCCATTAGATTCGTCGATTTCAGCCCTACTATACTAAACCACAGACATAAAAGGAGAAGCAGACCCAACATTAACTATCTAAAGTTAGTGAAGCCAAAAAACACACATGCTCAAAATAGCTTATACGGGGCCGGACTAAGTTCGGCACTAGATATAACGGACATTATTATGTATCTACATGAAGATAAGCGTGTTTTTTGGAATAAATAGTCAATATTTATAAATATTTAAATAAAACATGTTAAAGGGAGAATAATTTTATAAAGTCACTTGTTATTGTTATGAGTATCAGGTAATAGTCATCTCCCTCCCCTCAACACCGCTGACCTCTCCCATGACAAGTTCTTTCATTGTCCTGTCCGAGCGAGCGAAGCCAGCGCTATGTTCAATTTTGTTGTATAATATAATATAATGTATATAATATAATAACATAGGTATATAATGATATTATTTGATGATAATAGGTAATTGCGATAAAATTGATACGTAGGTATAAAATCGTGGTATCTATTACAAGTATAACAACTACTACTGTAAAAACAAGTCTGTTAGATTATTCAACTTTGTAGTAACTTCTAACTATTGCTCAATATGAAAACCATATATTTATTAGTTTAACCATTCAAAACTCTAAATCGGTCCTCTGGTGATTCTAGAAGTACTTGAGTTGCCATGAGCGAAAAATTAAGTTGAATTATGCTGAAAAATTAAGTTGAGCTAAGTAAATTTATGGGCAAATGGCGTGATAGTTGATAATGCTTTGTTATAAACGATACACATCATCAAAACAGAAGATTTAATAACAAAATAGACGATTTGTTTAATTTTACAACAACGTAAATAATACTTAAAAGGTTATTTCAGGTAAATACCTGAGTAATATTCTTAGAGCTATTGCTGTCACATCGTTACGCACTACATTTCACCATTTTATTTTAGATTTTTCATACGTTATGGTAAAAATAATGGTATTATACGTTACGTTTAATAATGGTATTATTATAAAAAAGAAATTCACATAGTTGTAGGTAAAAGCTTATCAATATGGTGGCACGGAAAAACTGGCTTCATATCAAAATGTGTATATGTGTGGAGCAGTGTAGCTACAGAGGCCTTAGTATGAGTTTGATTTACGTTTAAAGTATTCGAAACGAGTACGCGTTCGGCGCTCTGATTGGCTGGCACCAATGAAGCAACCAATCACAGCGCCGAACGCGTACTCGTTACGATTACTTTAAACGAAAGACAAACTCGTACTAAGGCCTCAGGTAAAAGAACGAGACACCATTATTAGGTTGGTGCTTGACAGAACAAGGAAAATGAATGATGGATATCATTTACGTATAACTAGAAATTTATGTTTGGACTGCTTATCTATTAGAATTCTGTGTACTAAACTTATACGCGTTACGCTGTGTTTCTATTTCCACCACTAGTAATTAAAAAATCCGAAAGAGTGCGCTACATAGATGTAATGTATAATCTATGGTGCTACTGGCAAAATGAGTGGTCACGTGACTGACTATTGGCCGCCATATTGCATTAGTACGGTGGCGAGGGATCATTTACTAATGCCTAATTTGTAATTTTATAAATGTCTAAAATAGTTATGTACTCAGAATTGTTGGTGTCTGTTTATTCCTAAGTTTGGTTTATGTTTTGGGCTTAGTTTCAATTCATAATAAGTGTAGAGTGTACATTAAAAGTTTATAAAATTGTTCTCGGTTCCACCATTGAAATAACCAAGTAGTGGCTGAGTACCAGAAAAGGTTCACCGACAGCGCATTGCAGACTGGAGTAGGTATGGTAAAAAATATTTCCTTTAAATTCATAACACTCTGATAACCAAATTTTAGGTTTTGTTGATATTTTAAAGCTGTTTTGAATGCCGGCTTCAGTTGTTTACCCTAAAACGCTACTTATTGTATGGATAACTTTTATAAAATGAATGAGAAGCACTTTTCTAGTTACGAAAACATAAATTTGAGTAAATTACAATTATTCATCCCATTGTAATAGTATTCTAAAAGGTATATGAAGCGAAAGTTTTGAGTTTTTCCTTTGACAAGTCATAGGGTATTGTATATACATTAAAGTGTTAAGTACGTCTAAGAAAATCAATAGTTATCATCAATCCTTTCAGTGATTTGAATTTGTGACCTTTATATTCGTGGTGCATTATGTACACGTAGCTTTAGGCAGCTATACTATAGAACGACGCCATTTTGATAGCTAGCGCCTTGCCAGAGGGGGGAGGGGAAGGGCGGGTAGGAGGGGCGCCTCTCACTACATTATAAAATAAGACGCTCAGATTTGAGAGACATCTCTCTCATGATCATTCATCATCTCCACTATACTGATACCTACTACTTTTGGTGATCCTACTTAAAAATTGATTAGGTTACCCCTTATGTTTTAAAACTGAACCCCCAATATAAACAAACAACTTCACTAAGTATGTTGTTTTGCTTTGACAGGTTTACTCACATGGAATGTAGATTCATATCACTATGAATGGCATAGTAAATGGTACTATGGAAAATCCGATTGACACCTCTGCCCCGACTCCCTCAGACAATTTAGAGATTAATAAGAAACCTGCTTCTGAAGGCTGTGATAATGCGAGCAATGTCTGTGAAAATAGCAATCACACTGAGGACAGTAATCACTTAGACAGTGAGAGCAGTCAAGGAGGTACAGCTAACAGTACTGAAGAAGATATAGAAATTGACAATAGTAATTGCAGTGAAAGCCAAGATGTTGAACTCGAATTGGCAACAGATGTACATGATCTGGCAGATCCAGATACTGAAAATGATAATGATAATATAATATTTATGGACAGTAATTGTGGCAATAGTAATGAATCATATCCAGACTCATTGACAGGCTGCCATGTCAAGTCTGATATTAATGATGATTTGCTGCGTAAATTGATGATACAAAAAAATAAAGAAGCCGAAGCAGCAAGAGCTTTGGGGAAAAACGCCACTTCCATCACACGCATTACTGAAATTACTCCAGAAGACGTAAGTTATTTTCATTATAAGTTAACAATAACATCTTAAGATTCATCTAATCATATATCAATCATTGTAAACATTCTTAAGTCAGGAAGGTAAACCACTTTTTATAGGTATTTAATAAGAACTTTATACAAAGAGTTCAATTTAAAATACAACTATGGTGGTTATCTCAAGCAGGTTCTTTTCCTTGGTTAATTAAAGAAATAATTGAAGTCAGCAATATATGAGGATCATATGATCCTCATAACTACTGCACAACTAGGTATATGTACATTAAGCATAATCAGGAAGATTATGACGAACATCCTTTGCGAAAATTAGGTACATAATGCTAGACTAATAACATAATTGGTGAAAAGTGCAAGATGTCCTAGAGCAACATTATCGTTGTGTTTATATAGTTTTTAGTGTGCCAGATTGAACATGTTTATGCATATATTACCAATTTTATTAATAGTTTGAGGGGTCAAGAGTCACATTTTTATTGTAAACAATAATGAATTTCATAAATTATTGTGAAAAAAGGTTTGTTCTCATATCTCTCAAAATCCTATTAAATCCCGTAAAATTGCTATTAATACATTAGTTTTGTCATTATAGACACAATTAAAGAACAATAGGTTGTGGTCACTGGTGTCCTCGCGGTGTTTGGCAGTTTAACTATTTGTGCAAACTTTTATTTTGCGCGATATGTGAGTAGTATGTGAGTAGTAGTGAGTGATACTGAGTCTATATATGGAATGGACTATCGTTACAAATACTCTAATCTACGCATTCCAGTTGTCATTAAATATTCACAATCACACATGTTTTAGTTTCACTATCTGATTGTTTTTAGCCTATAGATGGACATGATATTATTGAAACAATTTTATTCTGCTAGAATTGATTTATTGACAATCAACTGTTGGCTTATTTACCATTTCTTGTTGCATCGCTTTACAACATTAATAGTCCCAACAGAAGTACTTTTGTACCTTATTGGGACTGCCTCAATTTTATTATGAATACAATGTATGCAATGTTATTAAAGGTATTTGGTTTTTACTATAAATTACGAACAAAATCTTAAAAATGGCCTGTAGTGAAAGGAACACAGGACAGTTTCCACCTTGTAAGCTTTATCAACAACAATTTTATTTTCACTGGATATTTTTACTACAATGTGGTCATGATCAATGATGAATTCAATCCTGTAGGTGACTGTACTTAAATCCCAAAAAGTTCTGTTTCCAAAGAATTGTGATTAATCAGGGGAGACCTAGTTATTTAATATGATGTCTGAATTGCTTTTGTTTGGAGAATGAACCAATCTACCAAGTCGAGAGTTCGCTCTCGGTATAGGCTTCGGCATCGGTAGTGTTTGCTTTGGCAAACATTGCCTATAATGGAGCTATTTCGATGCTTATCCTTTTTACGTTGCATTTGCTGACCCCTATTTGAAAACCTTTAGAAGGCAATAACGCTTGCATTTGGTTGCGCTGCTTGAGTGAGGTTACTGGAAACCCAATCCTCCTCCACTCCTCAATATTTCCATTTGCTAAATCACCAATCTTCAAATCCCTAACTGCCAATAGGCCGGAAACGGACTTTTAACTCCTTTGGTGTTTCGGGTGTGCATGGGCAATGACTACTGTTTACCATCAGGTGATCAGGGTGCTCGTTTGTAAACCTATCCCATAAAGAAAATGATATTTTATCATCTAGTAGGCTATAATTACACAATTAAAATCAAAAATTTCAAGTCTCTAGATTGTTTCGTTCTAAAGTTAAGCAAAAGCAAACTTTGCATTTTTGACACACACTCAGTCACTCACTGGTCATCAAATTAAACTGATATTTCTCATAAACTTAGATAGCTTTGGTATGGATGTTTTGTACAGAGCTACCTCTGGTTTAAAGTCTCGCGATTTAATAAACTTTATAATTATATTGTTATTAGTTAATTTTAGATGACTGGCTGTTGAAAATTCTGTACAAGTTCACTACCAGTTACATAAAATTAACTAACACAGTATTTTTTTTTGAGGGTGGAAAATCATTCAATGACTGGTCCCGCCTTGTGTTAGTTGAGAGGGAGTATTAGACTATTACTGACTTAAAACCACCCCGTTCCTACTCCTGCTCTTCGAGCTGGAGCCCCGGCAACCCGTTAGGCATTCCGCGGCTCCGTATCGGGCATCAGCCCTACTGAGCCCTATCTGCGGTGGCGTGACGGCTCTTGGAGGAAAATTGTATAATAAAGAAATCGTAGAAAGCTTAGACTGGGTTCAACATTGTCTAGAGATTTCATTGCTTTTTAGATTTTTTTGAGATGAGCTTTATGGAGACTAGGTTAGCCTTTACAGAAAACTTTTGGTGGCATCTTTATTAAAATGACTGTACAGTATAGCAACGTTATGGCGACGTTGTTTACAAAACGTGAATACCTGTCAGGGACACGTCGTATTTGGCGACTGCCTGGCGCCACTTTGCTATCTTCGAGGAAAAGCGCTGCGCCACAGTAATTCTTGTAACTAGAGCATTAATATTATACAGGGTGTCCCTGAAGTCGATGATCAAATGGCACCAGGTGATCGACAAGGTTCCAACAGTAATCGGATAATTATAAAATAAATTCTATAGGTGAAATTTTATTAAGAAAACTATATTAATCAAAATCCGACATTATTTTCCAAAATATAGCAGTTGGCTCAAAATTTATAATTCCATAATACAAGAGCGCTATTCAGGATAACGTAAGCAAAAATACAGACGAAAAAGTAAAGCATTGTAGCAGCAAAAGTCAAAAGACTGTCACAGGTCATAAGTTATTGTAATTTGAAAACTATGTGACTTAGATTTTTTTATATTTTTCCTGATAAGTGTTGGAACCTTGCCGTTCATCTAGTGCCATTTGATCGTCGACGTCAGGGACACCCTTTATAAGAATAGCAAGGAGTCCCTTTTAGTCTTCTGCGACACAGGATCGGGCATCATCCCTACTGGGCGGTGGTCTGATTGCTAATTGAGGCGCGCGCAGTACGCCACGTATTCTCGGGTCTGTTTCTGGTCGGGCAACAAGTTACCCTTGCTCGCCGTCTGTAGACCCGTGCTAACAGTGGCCGGAAGAATAACATAATATGGTTAAGGCTTGAAACGGCGTTAAATTAAGCAGACGGTCCTATGCTAAAGACGGATGCTACACGGGGGAAGGCTGCGCACAAGGTGATGCGTGGGACTACAGAATATGTTTTGGGACTAGCTACTCCCGCGCGGTTTCACCTGCTGCTCGCATTCTATTCATCGTAGCTTGATGTTTTATAGCTTTCATCGATAAATGAACGTTCTAGAGATTAGCGCGTTCGAATAAATTCTTCTGTTTTAATATTAAGTTTATAATCACAGTTATACTATAGTACTGATAAATTGTACAATCCACCGACATGAGTTGGTAAATATAAAAAAATGGGGTAACTGACATTCCGGTTCTAGGTTTCGCTACGGAAACTAGTTCAAGAAAAAACACCCCGAAATGGTTGGTGAATAGATTAAATTGGCATGACAGAAGGTAAAGTCAAACAAACGCATTGCCCCGCATGTGGCCTCCCCGTAGCTCAGCACGTTATCACGCGAGTAATCACGCATCGGGTGCCCGTGGTGGACGTTTCTTTAACGTAGTTTCAGCCCTAATAATAACACTACTGCAGAATATTCTGTAAAATTGTGACAGTGTTTTTCATTTCCTTCTTTAGTAAACGGCATTATTTTTAGTTTTTGAATTTAATATATTAACTCGTCGAGTACCGGTTTTGTAGACACAATTATAGAACAATAGGTTGCGGTCACCGGTGACCGCTTGGTGTTTGACAGTTTAATTATAAGCGTAAAATTCCATATTCACATCCACCACCTAAAACTGTAGATACTTATTAAATTATAAAAATATATTTCTTTAATTATTTTCAGAATTCTGATACTATGAATGACTCAGAAGTTGACTCTTCAGATGATGAGATATTTGAATGTGAAGCTAGGGCAGAAGATACAGTAAGTATTAATTCTGACAGTGAACCAGAGAGAATAGATGATTTCTCAGAAGGGGGTGTAATTAAAATAAAAAATAAGAATAATGTTATAGTATTAGCAAATGAAGATTCACCCAGTCAAAATGGAAACTCTCATGGTTCACCAAGTCCAGAAGTTCAAGAAATTGAAAGTGATAATGATGACTGTCTCGTGGAAGAAGAAAAACCTAGTAGTGATAACAAAGTACAACTGCGCCGTAGTAGTAGAGCTATAAAGCGTAAAAAATATAACGACGAAGTGGAAAATGGTGGGCATATATCTGACATAGAAGAAGTTACAACAGAAACTGTACACCGCAAAAATAAGCCGATTGTTATTAATGATACCAAGGCTTTAGTTGAAATGGCAGCCAGGCAGATGAAATTAAATCAAAATAATAACCAGAAGAAGGAACCAACTGTTGTTATTATCGATACCAATGCCTCACATTCTGAAAAGGCTTCAGCATCACCTAAACCTACTGGGTTGCCAATAAGTTCTAGTTTAAGTGCACAAAGTTTATATCAAAGCATTGTTGCCCGTGGGACAACAGTGACACCCGTTAGTAGCAAGTCTAATGTGGCAGCACAGAGTTCTTCTCAACCTGCACAATCTTCTATATTACCTTCTTTAACAGATGATATGTTCGTAGTTGAAGCACCGTCATTTATTGTGCCCTATGTTTATGAAAAACCTTCTGTGAAACCCTTCAGAGAATTTGTAGACTTGTTGGGCAAGGAACTGGATGAACAGAAAGCCAAAGAAGAAAAAGAAAAACAAAGTAAGGATACAAAACAGAAGCACAATAAAAAAGAAAATGGTGATGAGGAGGGATCTGATCCTAAATATTCATCGGCACAATCCGAACAAGGTAATGAAGTCGATGACAAGAAAAAGAGGAAAAAAGGTGTGTTACTTTACAAAATATATTAATAAATAACTAAAACTGGCTTAATAAAATTAGTGTGGATTCCAATTAAGAATATATGTTTGTTATTTTTGTGATCATGCCAGAAACTTTCATGAGATGAGCTAGTTGAGCTGATTAAATCTATTAAATTTTTTAGTATTGTGGATTTTTGTTATCTAGGTATATGTATTATACTAAAATGTATGTGTTCTATTTTAGAGAAAAGGAAGAGAGGCGGCGAAGAAGACGATGCTTCTTGGGATGGTGACACATCCACAGACTCGGAGGATGAGATCCTAATGAGTGATGAAGAAAATAAGACTATTATTATTAAAGATAAAGTTGATTCTATTGAAGAGATAAAAGATGTTGCAGACTTAACTGCAGATAAGGTGTGCTCAAACAAAACTGATAATTATTTCGACTGTTCCCTTGGAAAGTTTTTTATTAATATTGGCTTAGGTCTTGTTCAGGAATATGTACAAAGTGATTTATTAAAACAACAAACTCGAAAATTAAATCGTGAGAAGAAGACCGGACATAGCACTAAAAACACTGAAGCGTCTATTGCTTCTTTGATAAAAAATATTGAATTCAGCAAAGAAAATAATGCGCCTTATTCGTTTACACAAAATAAATGCGAATTTTGTAGTTTTAAGACAGAATCTAAGTTGGCAATGGCCCATCACTTGGAGACTCCCCATATGAAGAATAATGTTTATAAATGTAACTTTTGCGCATTCGAAATACGAAGTCCTCATGACATTTTGTATCATATGGAAGCTGAACATAATGTTAGAGGAAAGTTAGAGAGAGCACCTGCGTACCATCAATGCGCCAACTGTCCTTTTGAGGACAATGGCAAGGGAAAATTGGCACGTCATCTAATACCGTGTGCCAAGAAATTCAAACCTGAAACAAATTTGGCTCCACCACTTGAATGGGAACCTCCTGCTAAGATACCAAAGGTACCATCATTCTGTTGTTTAAATTATTAATCAAATCCAAGTTTAAACTGAAGAAAATAACTTAATATTTATTTGAATTATTTTACAGATAACGAGATCCCGCAATAATATGATGGGTTCTTATCAAAATACATTCAATCGAAGTAACATTCATAACAGTCAGGGGCGGCAGTCTTCCAACATGTCTAACGCCATGCCAGGTCTAAGTTCCTCATACAGGCCTCGGGGCCGGACCCCTATGACCGTGCCTCCACGTGGCATGCCTGTCCATGGCGTACCGATCTTGCGCGGTGGTGTGATGGTTAGGCACAACGCCCCCGTCCTTATGTCCTCGAATTATCCAGCTGCAGTGAGTACTAATGTATCTATACATATATAAATGTTTCAAGACCTAAATGGTTTATGGCTTTATATTTTCGAATATAACGGCAAGGACATTTATTAATGTCCTTGCCGTTATATTCGATGAAAGAGTTATCACAAAAAATTAATAAAAAAGTTTGTAATATTAAATTAATATGGTTGAATTTCGACCACTTTGCGACCTCTAGTAAATATAAAAATATAAGTTTACTCTAACAGCTAATATCAGACGATACTGTTTCAGAATAATACCAAGCAGAAGTCTGTGCATCAGCCATCGATTTCCATTACACCCTTACCAAGACAACCACCACCTGTGCAGCTCCCGCCTCCTGCTATCAACTCGAAGAGTACTTTCGTCATTTGTGAGATTTGTGATGGTTATATAAAAGACCTTGAACAATTACGGAATCACATGCAGTGGATACACAAAGTCAAGATACATCCTAAGATGATCTACAACAGACCACCCCTTAATTGCCAAAAATGTCAATTTAGGTAATAAATAATTTTTCAGAAAACTGTACATTGACATTTATTTCCTTTCAACAATTGATATTAAACCGACAGAGACTCAACACTTTATTGCCGACTATTACAGGTTTTTCACGGATCAAGGTCTCGAGCGACATTTGTTGGGTTCCCACGGCCTCGTCACAAGTTCAATGCAAGAAGCCGCCAATAAAGGAAAAGATGCGGGCAGGTGTCCCGTATGTGGCAGGGTAAGGACATCGCAATTATTTATGGTTTGACTCTTGTATAGAGAAGTTCTAGAACGAAAACATTAATATTGTTAATTCCCTGGTAATGTTTTAGTGTAAAATTTATTTTATAAATGTTCCAGGTGTATCAGTGGAAGTTACTGAATCACGTGGCGCGAGACCACAATCTGACTTTGAAACCAGCTCATCTTTCGTACAAATGTACCGTATGCACAGCTACATTTGGAATGTACAAACAGTTTGAGAATCACGTGTATTCAGCCCATAGTGTTGTGGCCAAACGAGTCATGGACAAAAGCAAGAGTTCGGTGCCTGCAAAGACTAATAATAGTGATACTCTTTTGAAGCCATTAAAAATTAATGATGAGATTACTATAATACCACAGCCAGTGAAGGGAGCGGCTGAAGATGATGATTAAGGTAATATTTTATTTTATTTATCCATTAATTTGAAGAGATTTGCATTCTTTTTTTATTATAGTATCGGTATGTCGTAAACAGGAGAAAAACAAAATAGCAGTATTATGAAAATTAAGCACAAGGCAAACTTGTTTCACGCCGGATTTCTGTAAGGCCGTGGTATCACTCCGTAGCCAAGCCATTCGTGCCGAATCAATGGCTCTCCTTTGCTTAAACATACTTAAACTCTGAAAGTATAATTCTGTATAATGCACTACACATTTTACTGGTGATATTAGAATCAGATTATCGATTGCTGAAGCTACAAATAAAACAACTTGTGCGGTATGCGAGTGAAAGTAACAGCTGGTACTGGCGACAGGCCTTACCCTCTCACATCGAAACGCTACGCGTCAATATTAACGCTAATTGTTTACGCTATGTCGAAATTCTAATTCTAATTATCTACAAATAAATTCTCTATTCATATACTTGCTATGGCTGACTTTAGCATACTGCGACATTATTTATGTTCTATTATTTGCTTTATGCTCATTTTCGTTTAACTTAGCTATGCACTGTTTGGTTATCCTTAATAAATAAAAAATAGATCGATTATTATCTTTGCGAAGAAAACAAAATTTCACTAATAACAAACAAAAACATACTATACTATATCCCAATATTAAAAATGCGATATCAGCAGAATGTCATGTAATTTACAACATACAGTTTATTGCTTTGCGATCACATGCTGAAATATATTAACAAACAAATCGAAGTAGATTGGTATTTTATTGTGGTACTTTCATTAACATCAAATAATATTGTATCACCAGACGCTGGAGATCGGTTCGAATCCCGGTCGTTACAATTCTTTATGTTGTTCCGTGTCTGTGTGATTTGAATATGAAAAAATATTATTATTTGTTAGTAAACCACTTCCAATACAAAGTTCAAGTACCTCAAAATTGAATGAACGCGAGATATGTTAATTCTTTTGCTTAGATTATTGCTATATCCAAAAAATTTAAGAAACATGGAATATAATTATTGAAGAATCATTTAATAAATCTATTAGTTTTGGTCAAAAATATGCTGCTGCAGCACCAAAATTCCCTGATACTTGTTATATGTGCATTTGCAAGAAAGCTTTGCTATGTTTACATATTGCTATTTCTGGCAGTTTCATTTCATAGCAATGTGCGATCAATGTTATCACATATTTCATATTATTATATGCATAAAAATATTTTAATTAAATACTTTATCATTGTTGTTTAAAACTGAATGGGCATTCCTATTTTCTACTTCATATTTAAACGCTGTTTGAGACTCTATTTGTGCAGGTACCTTTTGTCTTGCGAAGTTATTGCCATTTCATGTGAAATTTAGTTATATAATTGAAAAATCAGGTCTTTAAGTGTATTGCTGTGGTATTATTAGGTTTCTTTTGTGTGTGGATTCCGTACTATATGAAGGTGACACTTGTTACAGAAGTGAAGGTGGCAGAGGTCGCCGTATCTTCGGGCTGCGAGCTTGCCGGTGCCTTCGAGCCACGATGTTACGGAGGGCAGAGCCCATCGCCGGCCGTGGTGGGACACTTAGTACCAGTGTACATTCCAACTTAGCCAATAAAGCTTTATAAAACGCTACCTAGGTTTAGACATAAAAATATTACTTACGGTAATTTAACGACTAGTTTCGAACGATTTTAAATATAATAGTTCTTCACCTTGTTGTGGCAATGTAGGTATTTAGACTTCTAAAAGAATATCTTACACTGCCTTGGCTTTAAAAGCCAGTGATATATTATTTATATCATAAATTCGATTACGGGATGTAGACTTTGAATTTGGTTTTATACAAGTAATTATGTACGGTGGTTGTTTGTAATTTTTGATGTTGTAAATTTTGGTAACATTTAACGTAATTTTAATAATATGGATTGTGAGGAATGTACACCGGTTACGCAGAGAGATAACTCACGTAAATGCTAAATATACCTCAGCGAATCTTAGATTATATTGTAATTTTATATAAGGTATTATAATGTCATGTACCGCGAGGGGTAAAATGGAAATTAGAACTTTATTTGATTTATGCAGTAGTTAAAGAGTGTGTGAAGGTTGTGTTATCACAGAAAGGTCTTGGCAGGTCATGGCAAACCAAAGGCCGCACTCGTATATAAAAACACGCACGTAAAATGTTTTATATGAGAACTCTCTTACCATCCACTCATACGAGAGAAAATTCGCGCTTACATTAATTATTTTAAAGAATTTGACTTTAGATTTAGTCTATGAAAAAAATTAATGAAAAACATAACAAGAAAAGTATTGAAATTGATATTATGTTGTCAATCCACGAGAAGAATAACGTGGATTGTTGTCTAACGCTTCGTGCGTTATACACTAAATTTACCGACTGTAACAAAACTTAAAAAATAATCTTATAGTCTACATACTATGTAAGTAGATTTTGTCCAGCCCAGGTTGTGTGGGAGAATGACTGTAGAGTTATAGAATAATAGTATTTGAGAGAAGTGGAATGTTTTAAACTGCAAGTCTGAAAGTTATTGGTTTCATGAACATGAATAATTAGCCTAAACAATTAAAAAGAATGAAAAGCAATAAGCGGTTAGCTTTACATCATTAGATTGCCAGTTTTGAAGTTTTTCAGGGTAGTTAGGCTCGTTAAAGTTAGTGGTAGGGTCCCATTCACTCCATTCGCGTATGATCTGTGAAAGTTGCTAGGAATGAACAGCATTTTAAATGAAATTAATAAAGTTGCAAAAAAAAAAATGAAAAATACGACAAGAATTGTTTTACTCTTTGTGGCTGCGATTTATGTACTTAATTACTTCTATTTTTCTTTTCCGAACAATATTTTACGTTAATCCCTAACCATGGACATAGAAATTTCATTTCATAAGGGACCAACTTCGACGCGTAGGTACATATTTTATCAAATAAAATAAAAATGCATAATCATACGCCGATGTCCTCGTTTGCTATTACCGTGGATAAAAAACAATGTACAGCATGGTCTGCTAAGTAAAATGTGTGGTTCAAAGTAATTTTGTGTCAGATCTCTGAGCCTCTGATAATTGGTTTTAGCAAAAATTGTACAGTTTCATTCCTAGCATAACTTGTTTAATTTGATTCATAAAAACTATAATTTGATGTGTTTTGCTCACTGTCCTTTTTTTCTACAGTTACTCTCGTTGATTCAAAACATGAGGGACTTCAAAATTTTACGAATTACCGAACGTTTCAAATATTAATTGGTTCGTTTGAATTAACCTCGAATTAAAGTCGAATGCATTTTGTAAATGATAGTGATTATTCATATTTCATTCATAATGCTGTTCAAAATGTTTCTGCAATTTATAATTCTATGCCAATGAGTACAAAATTCTAGTTTGAAAAGTCTAGTTTGACTGAACTATTTCATTGAAAAGATAACTGGTAATTAGCTAAATGGTCAATTGTACAAGTTGTACTATGGAGCAGGGCCCTATTTCTTTCAAATTATTTGTAAGGAAAAAGTTTACATCTAAATAAGCCAATATTGGCCAGTAAATCCTGAAAACTAGACGCTAAGTTTTTATTATAGTTATTTATTGAAATTTTGCGACTACACTATTACAATTTCTAGTCCGGATTTAGGCGTAAAGGCACAGGGCTCTGCTTAGCGTTAGGCTACTATGACATTATGGCTCATACGAGGTGATAGTAAGCATGTGTTTTACAATTTCGAGTTTTCAGTCCTTGCAGAGTTACATTGGAAATTGAATCAAACAATTGATTACAGAGCTAAGTCGAAGACTAAGTTAAATGATAATTAATTAAAATATCAAGGGCCTGTCCCACGACGTCCGGTTAGGCAATAGGGGAATTTAATAAATTAAAAACTGAAATAGGTATATTTATTATGCTAGTTATTTTGACCAAAACTTATCACAAGTGAACAGACTTTAAGAGTGCCGATAAAGAATACATAAGTAGTGCCGGTAAATATTACATTAACGTTTCGATCTAAATAACAGAACATGTAATTTTTGGCTCGGTTTTACTAGTTCACATATTTTGTTAGCATTTCGACCAAAATATATGTTTCAGGGTAAATTAAAATTTTATCGGATATATTAGTAGTAATATTAATACACATAGTAAGTTTCATATCACATTCTGCGGAGTTTAGCAATTAGAAATTATGCAAATGATTAATAAATGAGATGGCTTATGCCCTCCACGTATTTATCGGTGTCCGATGCTCTCGGACATGTTGTCCTTGATTAGTACTGTGGCATAATATTTCATATAACTCTTATCACGACTGAAAGGACCTATAGACACGACTATTGAATTGGCGCACAGTAAGGTAATTAGAGAATAAATGTGATTAAAATAGGAGCATTACCTATGTTGCATATAGTTATGATATGTTAAAAATAACTTGTGTTGTTTTTCATAGATCTTATAAATATTGAGATGTTTTATTTACAGATATTAATACTTAAATATATAGCTTACTAAACAATGATATATTTACCAAGAGTTTAGTTTGGTGCAATATTTTGTAGAATGTTACCTGGCCTTGTGTTATAAGCCGGCTCTACACTCGCGGCGCAGACAGCCGCAATAACACGTGATAGCTGCAAATCACGACTTCGCTCCTTCTGTTTCTCACTCGCCGGTGCCGGTTCCCGATCAGTGTCGGGTTTTTGACTCGCGACAAAGAGTTGTAGGTGCAACACCAAACGGTGTCACGGTGAATGTGACTAACAGCTTTTCGAAGTAGCTTACTAGCGTAGGCATCGTAGGTCGTCGTGTTGGTTCAAATTGAATGTTACGTGGAGCTTATATTTTCGTCAGCTCATACATATAGATTAGGTAGACCTACTAGAATTTCAAAGGCGAACTATTTTTATTTTGAACAACACAGATAATAGGCATACAATTCGCGGCGTTCATTCGCGGCGCAACTACATGCTCGAGTGTAGAACCGGCTATAGTTGCGAAGCCCGTCGCTTATTTACATTACGTGGTTAGCTCCTCTTACCATATATGCTACTGTTTGACGAATATTGATGTTATCTACAATCGTATTGCAATACAAAATATGTTTAGTAAATATTTTGAATAATTCATAAATATGATTAGACGTAATATTGCCAGTTGCGATTAGTTTTAACTTTTAATGACAAATAATGGTTAAAAATTTGCTTGTTTTCCATAAATAGCAAATAGCATCAATTAAAGTCTTATACAATTTCCAATATCAATAATTATCGATACAGCTCTATCGTCAGATGACTATTTACTGGAGTCTCCAGATTAATTGACTGATTTGAAATTTGAATATTTTTTTGACCTTTTTTATAATTATTATGTTATCATTTCAATATTTATATTTACCATGTGACATATGTTTTACAATTTATTTTATTATGTGTCTTAATAATACAATTAAAAAACAAATTGAACTGTGAGGTAAATCTACATCGGCGAAGTTTTTATTTATACACGCAATAGCGAGACTAGTGGTTTTCATAAAAGTATTTTGATTGTAACTGACCTGATTTTAATTAAACTTCATAATTAATCATTTCTAATAATCGCCAACGTGGATTAGACAAGTAATGATTCGTAAACGAGGAACTCATACGATATCAAAGGCTAGTTTTATTACCACTATCATGTGTACGTACCTGATATATTTAACTGGCAGATTTAAATTCCGTTTCATTTAAAATTGATTAGATAATCGCTGTCCAAAGCCTTTGATCCCCGTATACAACGTCCGATTGTTATGAATATCTTATAAAAATAATTTGTTTTTAAAGAGCATTGCCATTTTTAAAATGAACTTTGACTACGCATGTTTGTGCCGGCCGAAATTAGTAACAAATTGCAATGTAAAGCGTAAGACATATTTTTGACTTTAGTTGTATGCAGTTCCTGTCAAAATTGTATTGATTTCGGTTACATAGGACATACATTGATTTCAGTTGAAGCAGGTTGTTAATTTCGGCTGTAAATCGCATTATGTGATTGAGTCTGCTTAATTGAGCGGAAAGCTTGCCTGGAAAGTTTTCCGGGAGTATTGAAAATTAGCAAATTAGATTTAATACTTTCTTTCCAATTTCTACATCTTGCCAATCTCGGAAAACTGTCGGTTATTGTCGAGAGACTTGGAAAGAGCCAATCAAAATTAAAAAATTGCCAAATTTCAAGACTCCTGGAAAACATTCACGGCAAAACTATCAAATGATCGAGTTATTTGTCAATCTGAATATCATTGTGATTATATCATTATCATTTGAATAGTAATAGCTGCTGTGGTAATACAAATAAGTTTAAACACATAGCGTAATAATTAATATATAATTATTATCCAATTTCATGAATTTCTTTTTGATTGTGCTATGACGGATGATTGAGTTTAGGATGGGGCATTCCTAATGGATGAAGAATATATTTGATTGTAATAGTACCGGAGGTGCGTGGTAAATATTTATTATTTAAACTTAGGTTGTTAAACTAGCTTTTAGTTAAATTGATAGTAAAGTAATAACTTAAAGATTTATTTTCTGCTATTGTGTTTTCTTTTCGACTTTTGTGTTTCGAACTGAGTGATTACGAGTAGTGGAACCTGATTGATTTCATAATACCTAAACGAATACGATCCAAAAGTTTTGTATAATTTTGTTATCTTGTAAATAACAGGTATCATTAAGTATTTGTAATAAAGATACCTTACCATTATCGATGTTTCATTTTTTAAATATAAAGTAAATGTATGGTGCTGTGTTTGATTGATGACTTTTTCCACTAAAATACGTATATGGAAATATATTCCAAATTACACGAACGAACGACCAAAAAATATGATTATAGATTAATATTCTGTAAGGTACCTACTTACCAGCTAATGTTGCGCTAGATATGTACGCACCAAAATCACATCCACTCTCACAGTTATTTGTAGTGGACACCAGTGACCTCGCTCGGCCATATTTTGCCTACCACAAAATCTGACTTATTACTATCTGACTGAGAACTAATACTAGGTCTGACCTAGGACAGAAAAGGGCGGATGTTGTTAGATTGATCTAATCATCTAGCCACGACGCAGGTAAAGTTCCTGTATCCGCGACGACCTTGGGGGCAAAGAGCAGCAAACTGAAGAACAAATTGTCGAACTAAATCTTAGCAGAGTTTTATCATTCTATTAGTCTATCTGCTGCTGCTGCTAGCTGCTAGCTGAATACACTAAAATTAAAACTTTTGTAAGGCATAGCAAAGGTCAATTGCGCTGACTTATGCTTCATCAGCATTTTAAATGAAATGAATCTTTGACTTTGTAGCTGATAACAGTGGCAAATACTGCTAGATGGTCGATTGCAACTGGCCGATTTGGGAAGCTAAGAGTATGTTCATCTGAGGACGTGCTGGGGCTGATATGATGATGATTACAGGTCAGCTTCGATTACTGTGTATACAAAATAGTCTATATTGCCACATAGACCACTCTCCAGTTAATGGTGGCACAGATGCTAGCAGTAGACGATTTGAATAAACCGGGTCCGCTTAAATATTTCACGGCTTAACAGATGGCGCACCAAGCGAGGGTTCAACTTATAGTGGGCATGAAATGTGAGGTGAGGGGTGAGGGGTATCTACTTATGTACAAAGGACTGTATTTGGTATGTATATTTACATGCCACTCCCTTGGAGCTTCCTAGATAGCGCTGTTGGTAGATTGAATCACAGGATTTAATGATATTCATGTTTTACGTTTATAATAGGTAGGTAAGGTACATAAAGAATATAAAAATACAAATCCACATACTCGCTCTAATTATGGAAGTTATTGGTGAATGTATGTGATTATGAATTATAGAGCGAATATTTTGCTCAGTTAGGGAACCGAACCCTTGAATCCTTTGCTCGCCTTGCAACCAATCGCCCAACAAGACGTAGGTAGGTACGTGTATGTGTCTAAGCGTAATAATTTCAAACATGGATTTTGAACTTAAATTGTATAAATTGACTTGTTGGTCGAGAGCAAAGGGTCTCAATTAGGGTGGGGTCAAGTAGGGTCTTTTAATTATCGGGTCATACAAATTACTGCGATATTAGATTTTCGAATATCCTCGGTAACAAAACAAAGTTTCGAATTTGTACATATTTCTATGAAACCATACCTGCATACAGGTGTATCTCTCATCAAATATTGATCGTGACCTGCGCAGTGCAAACAGAACATTCTAGACTGTGCACTCGATGTACAGAAGGTCGTATGCAGAAGGTCCACGCGTAGTGCAAGAAATTAAATATATTTTATATTTTAATGATTCATTTGATATTTGAATCGATATCGTACGGTAAGCGTAGTGGCAGTGGCAAATGAGGTAACAGTGGGCACCAAGTACCCATTTTTGATACCTTACAGTTTTTTCTTGATTACAAATTCATATAGAAAGAAAGTAAGAGAGAAGAAAAAAAGAACGTTTATGTGTCAAACATCTGGTTACATAAACTGAGTACCTAGTATGTATGAGAATTGTAATTCATATGTTTGAGTATGTGAATTTATTAGGTACTACCTCGTTCTCATTAAGTCGTTTAATCGCGTGGCGTTGCACGCTTAGCAAACTGATTGGATCACTATTTCATGGTTATTAATGATTTAAGAAAATGTAATATCAGTAAATTTATTGAGTGTATAAGTTGTCTAAGTTTCAGTGAAATTTACAATTCAGGGAATACTAATGAAGCATTCAATGAGTTCCATGAACTATTGAACCTCTTCTATAAATTATGCTTCCCAAATATAAAAATTAAAAAGAAACATATTAATTATAATAAATGGATAACAAAAGGAATTAAGAATAGCTGTAGTACTAAAAGATCATTAAGGCATAAATATTATTTGAATAGAAATAACGTAAATAAAATGAAGTATAAAACATATTCAAAACTGTTAAGAAAATGCATGAACAACCTACAGTCAATATGCAACCATAAGCACATCTCGTACTCTCAAAATAAAATTAAAGCCACATGGGATGTAGTAAGACGCAATATGGGGAACGAGTCAGTAAGAGAATACATTGATAAAATTGTTGACAATCGTACAACATTGACTTCAGGCTCCGATATTGCAAATAAATTTAATACATTTTTTATTGATACTGGGAAGAATAACTATTCAATCTCTAACGGTAGTGGAACTTCTATGCATAACATAGACATTCACAATAACAGTATATTCCTTGAACCTACGAATGCATTAGAGATCCATCGTATCATAATGTCACTGAAAAACTCAAAGTCGGCAGGGTACGACGATATAACAACAGAACTACTTAAATCTATATCCAAAAATATTTCTGAACCTTTAGCCCATATTATTAATTTATCTCTGCAGCAAGGATGCTTTCCAGAAAGATTAAAATTATCATTGATAAAACCATTACATAAAAAGGGCTCAAAATTAAACGTAGATAACTATAGACCGATAACACTCACTCCTGTGCTTTCTAAAGTATTTGAAAAAGTTCTGTATAGCCGTGTTCTAAAATTCCTTGATAAACATAATATACTAGACAGCCGACAGTATGGATTCAGGCAAAATAAATCAACTATGCTAGCGATTTATACATTAGTTAAAGCCATTATTAGTAACATTAATGATAAAATACCTACCTGCGCTTTGTTTCTAGACCTGAGTAAGGCTTTTGATCTTGTTAACCATGACAGACTTATAGACAAAATGGAAAAATATGGTATTAGGGGTCCAGCCAAGGGTTGGTTTCAGTCTTACCTATGTAACCGAAAACAAATTACAAGAATAACCAAGTTTAATCAAATAACCCACTGCCTTGAATATTTTGATTCTAATCCGGATACTAATGACTGCGGCGTTCCACAAGGCAGCATTTTAGGACCACTACTGTTTCTTCTTTATATAAACGACCTGCCAAAATCGATAAAGCATCAATGTGTCTTATTTGCTGACGACACTACAATAATTATTAAATGTAATAATCCTGAAAACTATGACATTGAAACTAATCAAACTTTGAACGACGTAATACAATGGCTAGATTTTAATAAACTGAAAATAAATATTTCTAAAACTAACTTGCTTCATTTTAAGACGTGGCAAAGTAAACCTATTCGCTTTGATGTGGTATATAATAATAGCAAGATTGATCAGGTTAATACTTCGAAATTTCTTGGAGTAACATTGGATGAGTGTTTTACTTGGAAAAACCACATTGATATCATTTGTAGGAAAATTAATCAATTCGTGTTTGCATTACGGAAAGTAAAAGATGTTACGTCTCGGCAAACCTCCTTGATGGTGTATCACGCCTACATCTGCTCAGTGATTCGTTATGGTATAGTGGTATGGGGAAACTCCTCTGATATAGAGAGAATATTTATTGCTCAAAAAAAATGCATTCGGACAATTTTTAACATGGAGTGGTCGGAATCTTGTAGACCTATATTTAAGTCACACAACCTTTTAACGGTACCGTGCATATACATTTACGAAGCTGCTAAGTTCTTAAGATCTCATCCTATGCTCTTTCAACCGAAAGATAACACTAACAAAAGAAAGGTTACACATTTGGCATATGAAATGCCAGTTCCCAAACTGCAAATCTTTCGAAAGAGCTGTGCTTACATGACCCCTTTAATATATAACGCACTACCCAAGCATATAACACAACTTCCCTTTATAAAATTTTGTAATGAACTAAAAAAATGGTTGGTACAGGAAAGTTTTTATTCCATTAACGAATTTTTTCACAAATATCCATGTAAGAACTTTAGTCTTGACTTGGCATCTAAATATCGGTCTAAATAAGCCAAATGTATGGGAGTTCAAGTCCAAGTCCAAGTAATTTCAATTATTTTTAATATAATGTTATAATAAAATAATTACTAGTCCATTAGCAAATATTAATTTCCTATTTTATAATAAGTAGTAAATATTACTATTGTTATGTATAAGACAAAAAAAAATCTACCTGATTTGGTTCTATGTATTTTGTAATTTTGTGTGTTGTGTACTAAGTCATCAAATAATATTGTATGCTAAGCCATTGAAGTAACCATATAAAATTTGTTAGTTTCAGTATAAGAAAAATAATTTTAGTAAACAATTTAATTGAACAATTTTAGTAATTTGCATGCCGCAATGACGGCGAAACATGTTGGTCTTTTTTTTAATTTTTATACAACATCTCTGTATTTACCGTGTTTCTGGCAAATAAATATATTATTATTCTTATTCTAAACAGAAACTTGTGGGTTCGATTGCTGACTCGGGTTTTGGGTATATTTCTCAACAGTCTATGATAAAACCCTTGAGTTGTCAGTCCCTCCAAGCACCTGTGGCTCGCAAGACATACCAGCTAAAAATAACAGGTGGACAAGGCGAAAGAAAGGAGGAAGTAATCTTATCTTAGACAATGATGTGTGTGAGTGCGTATTTGTTTGTTACTTTTACACGTTAAAATGGCTGAAGGGATCGTGATGAAATTTGGAAGAGGTGTATATTATGGTCTGCAACACATAGCACACTTTTTATCCCACGGGGACGCGGGCGAACACGTTGGCAGTAGCTAGTTTATAATAAATGTGAGAGTATGTGAGTGGGCTTAATCATCCCAAAAATAGGAAATTAGTTTAGACTCTCATGTTATGCCTGCCATTAACTGGGACTATTACGCTTTAGTCAAAATTAGTGTTGAATTCAAGAAAGACGTCTTAACAGTAAGGAAGCTGGTTTATTAATTGTAAAAATAATACTGTAGTAAATTACAATGTGGTACCTAAGTAGGTACTTACTATCAACGTTATGAACAAAGTCAGTCATTTGTTAGTGTTGTATAGTGAGAGGAAAGTATGAACAAGTGTGTTGGTGGGGCCGTGTATGAACTTGAGTGCAGCAGTAAGTGGTAGGATCATGCAGTGGCTGGTCATGTGGTGCCAGGTCTTGCTCCTCGCCGAGGGCATGCACCTGATGCCCCAGTACTACGAGCCCTCAACCGAGGTAAGTTATACATAGTTTATTTAAATTTGGCTTTCATGTTTTATTCAGCCTCTTCTTGTTCAAAAGTGTGCAATCCAAGGTTTCCGGTGGCAAACTATTTTAATTGTGTACATTTTTGATTGAATGTTTTATTATATCTATTTGTTCGTATTATTTTAGGGATTATTTGTGCTCCTAAGTCAGTTTTCAACAGTGTTACGCTACTATACTATTTTTAGTATTTTTTGGTCTATGTAGTTGCAAGTGAAAACGCATATTAGTATTGATTTTATACTATTAGATAACAATCATAACGGAAAGTGAACGATCAAATAACTAGATATTTATTACCTACTAATGAAGCGAAAAAAATGGAGAGTATTAAGACCTGTTAATGAACATACAATGATCCATATTCAGGAATCAGTGTACCGCGTAATTGACAAGCTGGTATGTTACAATACTAATTATTGTCGACAGGTAAAATTTACGACCACATTTACTTAGCGATGCATTCATCGCCATTGTCGAAATATTATTAAACACTTTTGTACTTGAAATTAACGAAATTAATGTAATAGTACATGAAAAACTGTGGAGAAAATGGTCTCGTCTCATCTCAGTATCTAATCAAATAAATTTTTGATAATATTTTTATCAAATTTAAGTTACGATTGTAGGTAATGACCAATATCTACTTAAGCTAAATCTATTAGGTGTTGGGAGATTTTATAAGCATTTCCTAATGTTTATAAACGATCCAATATACATAATATGTAATTAAGTAGTCTGCTATTATAGTCAAAATTTTTTTACCCTTGTCGCATAAATTATTATTATGCATGCGAAATGTATATTTGATGTATTGTTTTAACGCCTATTGCGAGTTAATGAACTTTGTGCGTTTGAAAAGGCCGCTAATGCAGTGTCGTGATATATTATACTTACATTGTTCCTGTATAGCAATCAGAGCTCCCATGTACAAACTTTGTACTTACTTATGCAGTGATAACTAGTGCAACCCTAAGAAAAACATAGATACTACATTTTACAGTACATCATTACCTACAATAAAGAAATCCTTTATTTTCAGGTGAACTGCATCGAAGCAACTGCAAACCAAAATAGGATTGGTAGAATGTTAAAAGAAGGTAAAGTTGTTATGGTAACGAACGACGATCATAATTAATGTTTCGATATTATTTGTTTATGTTTTTATGTATGTTACGTAGGTTGGCATGCCCAGAAACCAACGCCTAGAAAGATTATCCAAAAACGTTCCGTTACAATACCTGTCCAGTTCTCCCTCACCACGGAACCCATGTCGAGACGAATGGACGATATTTTCACCAATATAATACCAAGAGGCACTCATTTACTTAAAGAACACGCAAAATTGGTCCAAGATATAAACAGCCTCCGTCAAGTAGTGTTCATATCGCCGTTCATCGATGAGCCAAAGGATTACGATGACTCCATCTTTCATGAGATTATTGAAACTGCACCAACTTCTACGAACAGACCGTCATCGTTCAAGCCAATTATAAGTACCACAAGACCACCAATAAGTTCGACAAGACCACCAATGAGTTCGACGAAAGGAGGTTCGATTCCAATCATATTACTGGGTGGCGCGAGCCAGCGGCAGGTGGTAAAGAGTCAACCTATTACTTTTTTGAAACCGACCATTAGCTTAGTCGGGACCACCGTTTCTCCTCTGGCCAAACATCCATACCCTTTCGTGAACCCACAACGGAAGCCGGTTAAGATCTGTATGACGTCGATCCCTGCGATGTTTACCACAACGAGACGTCCACCTACTTTTTGGGATAAACTCATAGACTATTTCATACCTGCCCGTACCATAGGAAGGTAGGTGGCGTAGATAAATATATAATTTTAGTACTTTTATATATCTTGTTCAATAAGTAGTGATATTAATTTAATGCTAATCTTTGTCTATACGTTTCACACTAGTACCTACGAACCGACCACAGTATTTATTGTAACGTTATTTAAATTAAAAATTGTTGTGTCGGAAGAACCATTTCCTACCGTAACTACAAACTACAAACCTACCGTTTACTCAGTTACTTGTTTACAGTTCGTGTATCGATCTATGAACATACGCTTAAAATCGTTAATCGTCTATGTGCACATGCGTGCGCCGATGGCTCAAGTCGCGTGTTCTGCCTCTTATTATAAATGCCGATTATGTATTGTCTTCTTTTTTACACTTTTACGCGTCGGAATGGAAAAGTTGAACGTCTTATGTATTATGACGAAATAATTATTTTTCATTGTGCCTTATGTCATTAGTTCTTGTTGGGTTCTGGTAGATATCCAGTGAGAACTCTTCATTGAATAAGAGCGACGTTATGTCACGGAATTTTTTGCTCTATTGTATTAATCTTAATGACTTGGGTTACATTTCTATTCCAACGGCTGAAAATGTGAATTGTATATAATACTCATATTATTTAATACCTAAGTAAGTTATAATATAATGTATTAAGACAAGTAACGTCAGAAAGAAATGTTCAGTCTGATATTTTTGTTACCAATTAAATTTTATATTTACGATAATTATACCGACAATTGTTTTATTTATATTTTATCCCATTTCTGTAAGCTATCATTTTAATATTTATTTATTGTCATTTTTAGATGAACTAAATAAGCAGAAGTAGGTCATTTATGCTCAATAAATAATGTATACACATACTTAGATCATGTATCAGCTATGATGTCAGGTGTCATGATAAATCAGGAAATTAACAGACAAGATTTTCGACTAATAACAACGTCCCTGAAGTGATAGTTAACTCGTTGAGTACAGTCATTATAGACACAATTATAGAACAATAGGTTGCGGACACCGGTGACCGCTTGGTGTTTGACAGTTTAAATAAGATAACAAATGGAACACCTAGATTTTACGAGTTATGTTATTATACCCATCCATGTAACAGAGGAAAGCCTATACAAAGTATCCGAAAAATTGTAAACATAAATGGTATCCATTGCAGGCTATAAACCTGGTAGTGAACCCTTTGTTTAAGCGTCAGTCAGTAGCCAGTGGTATATCAAATTAAAAACTGTTTAATTTCTTGCACTAAGTGTGGACCTTCTGCATACGACATATCGAATGTCTAGAATGAAAGTCTAGAATGTTCTGATTGCACTGCGCAGGTCACGATCAATATTTTGATGAGACATACACCTGTATGCAGTTATGGTTTTATGTAATAATATGGGAGGTACGGAGGGCTCAATTAATTGAGTGGTACCATTCGTTTTTGCTGAGTATGAATATATTTTTAAACTGGGTATCTACCGACAGATCACTGGCTCCAGTGACATTTATTATCTCTTGATGAACGTCGGCATTAATATACGGTTCTATAGATTACAAGACTCAACAATGCGCTTTTAAACGTAATTTTATTTAACAAAGTACAGTACAGATATCTATATGCGTTCCGCTGTTTAACAGTTATTGATTTAACAAATATGAATTAACTTATTAACATAAACAAGCAAAAAATATCTGTAGGAAAAAATACATCAGTAAATATAGGTAAAATACAATGTACTAACAAATAAACAACCTACCAACGAGTAAGAATCAATCAGTATTTAGTACACAGTAATTAATTTAGTTACAATGCATCAAATGTTACACAAGAAATCATTCATTTTCGGAATACACGTAAACCATTTAATTATCTAAATAAATGTTTCATGCGCAAATGATTAGAAAAATAATAATTCATATTTGATTACAAATCATACAATGATAGGTAAGTTCAAATTCTAAGGAGTGTCATGTGTTATTGTAACCTTCTAACCTACTTATTCGTTTTATTTGCCTTGAACAATGATAATTTTTGCCGATAAAAGTTGTTATTATACCTACCTACGTCTTCATCTCTATAATACACTGGACATAATCAATAATTATAATTAAATAGAAATAATAATTTCTACAACCACACCTTAAAATATAACGTAGGTAAATAATAAATTTTCTATTACTTAAAATTAAACAGTATTTTTTATTATTGTGATATTCAGTTCCTTTAACAAAATTAAGAAATGTCTGCTAATATACAGATAGGTACTTAATGGGGTTATTTAAAATTTTTTAGTAGGTTAATAAATAATAATAATTGAAATCACGTCTTCGTTATGAATTGGGGAGTTGCTGAATTACAAGTAATCGTAACATTGGATCTTATGACATTTAATTATTTTCATATTAAAATTATTATGATTGCACAAAGGTTTTAAGGTTGGTTATTGATTGTAACCACCTGTAGATGGCTACCGATTTTCAACATCTGATTCTTGTTCACAGCTGAGAGAACACAAAAGGGTGATCCTCACGGAACGTGCTTGAAAAACAAGTCACTAAGCTTACACGCTCTAGTAAACCTTAAAGAGGTTCAAGGCCATTGAGCCTGAATTCTATTTTTATGGACATTCGAACTAGTTTTAGTATAAGTACCTACCTACAAATGTTGAAATGACATGTGTTAGGTACTTATGTATCACTATTTACATTATTCAAAATAGACTAGGATAGACTACCTACTTTTTAAGAAATTAAACAACCAATATCTATGATTAATGAATAATATTGGTTTTCTATTGAGACGTAAAAACATTTTCTACAATAATATTATCATTTGAGGTTGTCCTCAATAAGACAAATAGGTACCTACATTATACATTTACGTTAATAATTCATTAGATATTTATGATTTAAATAAATATTTTCATAAAATTCGTTAAAACAATTTTGTTACATCACAATAGATATTCGAGAAGCTTATAAGTACATTATAAAATATGAAATATCTGCCATCGCATGCTTGATACATAATAATAATAAAACTAAACATATGTTTAAGTACGAGAAATAAAGTAAAACCCTCGTATGTGATATAGAAAATGTAGCATAAAGATTTCTTTGCAACTTTTAATAATTCAAAAATACACGTAATCCTTTCTACGATCCTTCGACAATCGAGGAAGAGTGTTTATTCAAAGAATAATCAGATTTGGATGATTCTAATGAGGGCAAATCGGCAAGTTCACAGTGAAGAACACATTTAATTCTATAAGGGCTGCTAAGATCAAATAGCCGATGTAAATGAGTCCACAAGTGATGCCGATCTTCCAGTCCAGCTGGAATTTGTTCAGGAACAGGCATCCATATAGTGTGAAGAGTGTGGACAGAAGAGATATAGCACTGTAGGATAAACCACTGGAGTTTATTGATACCTGTAAAATGGAAGAAAGCCGAATGAAATAACTAAATAGCTTTTATTACAATAAGAGAAAGGGAAGATAGGTGTATGTCGATGAAGATACTAAAATCTTATTTCTTATTATTCATTTTGGTTTACATACAACACCACTTTGCTTTGCAACTTACGACTACATAGAATTTGTGAATAAAAATTTTGAATACCATTTTTCTTGATCTGGTGATAAAACTCAGATTTCAGTTCATTTAGCCACGATTATACTAAGAAGGTATCTTGTAACCTAGTAAAGTATCTAAATTATCGCCAGTTCTCAAAAGGCCGGCAACGTACTTGCAACTCCTCTGGCGTTGCGGGTGTCCGAGTATTGCTTATTGTAATTAGCATTTACCACCAGGAAAGGTGACACTAAGTGTGATATAAGGGCTCGTAAAAAATATTACGTAGAGTTCATTGAACTGTACGTTAGACTTACGTAATGATGACCTGGAACACTGGGGTAAGCGAGCGACTTTATCAACCAGGGTAAACCCAGGCATAGTAATATGTCGAACGTATTTGATCCGATGGAATTACTCAAGCCCATTGTACCGTGACCTGGAAAAAAATGTATTATACATTATGAGCAATGAAAATATTCTCTAGATATAAGAGAGTTTGTGTATAGTAATATCAATGTCTAAATTAAGTAAAATTCATTTAATTAACATTGCGGTATGATGTACGAATACATAATTATGTTAGATAGGTACATACTTCAAATCATCATAATTAAAAAAGTTTGCGAATAGTCTCCATTCTAAATAGACGAATTGATATTTTAAATCCTAAAATACATGTTTTTAATATTGTAGTCACTAGAAAATCATGCAATACTAGATTTATGACTCAGACAGTACTTCTGTAAAATCTATACCTATATACATATAATAAAATCGTAGGAAAGTGAAAACTGTATAAGGTAACTGAGATGTGATCTACAATCGATATCGAAGTCAAAATATGGTTTTTAGAATTATTGACTGTTTGTCTGTTGGTCTGCCTGTATGTCCGGGTTAAACTCAAAAAGTACTGTATGGATTTACTTAAAATTTTGCATGAATATTACTAACAGGTCGGTTCAACATATAGGCTACATATTAACACGCTATCATCTGTGGGGAGGGAGCTGTGAATCGCTATTCCACGCGGACGAAGTCACGGGCGCAAATATTACATTTCATACATGTATGCAATCTTCTTTATTATTTTGTGCGCATTCCACCATGTGCGCAAAATAATCAACACATAGAACAATATATTTCTTCATTATATTTTTGTAGTTTACCTTGCACTGTTACTAGGACGCTGGAGACAGCTTCTGGAAGACTGGTGCCTGCTGCTAATATCGTCAGTCCTGTGATGCTGTCTGGCACATTGAGGGTATCACCTATAAACATGTGGTTTTGTTAAAACAGAACAAACAAACAAACAAACAAAGTATAAAGTATATAATGAAAGAAACTGTAATAGATGTCAACGGCAAATCATACGTTCTTGGGGCATTTGTTAAATTATATAAACATAATTTTAAAAAGAAAATTACAATTGCTCTAACTTGAACATAGATCTTAACTACTTTTATAATGTAGTGTAAAAATTGTCTTAGTTATAATCAGAAAGTAATTTCGCTTATAGCGAAGATACAAATCTAGCAGACACGGAATTCATGTTTGTGTAGTACGAATAATTATGAGTTACTTTAAAAGCACAACGATAAAATAAACTCCAATTTAGTAATAGCATTTACATATCATTAAACAGGATTTAGAATTGAACTCCATTTTACTTGATATGAGTACATCAATTAGTGTTGAGATTTTTGACCGTTCTTTTGTGTAAAGTTGAAACAAGATATTTATAAAAGAAATATATACAAGAACACAGCAGAAGTCGAGGCGAACTGTTTCTATACATTATAACTTTAACCACTTAACAATGGAAAAGTAGATTACCTAGGACGGTGATCATCCAGGCGACCAGGTAGGAGACACATCCTATCCAGGTGACACACATCGCGAAAGTCAATGGATAGAGGTTGGGTCGACGCTGGCAGTCAGGGATGGTCAGCCAAAGTACCAGGTTTATAGGCCAGGAAAATATCCATAGCACCTTCTTCATAAAGGACACTTTTTCTCCAGGCCATGACCACATTGAGTAGGTGCTGAGTTCATCTATAAAATTATTGGTAAAAAAATTATTGGTTTAAATGTATTGAAATTAAACAAAAACGTAGGTATCATCAGACGTGATCGTATGCCTATCTTCACCAACTTCCCCTATATCATCTCTTAATTAAAGTTGCTACGTTTATTGACTATAGGTTGATTTCAAAATAGCACCTTTTATAAAAAAAAAACGATTCTTCTGCTATATACCGTGAGCTATTCTATTCTAGATTATGACCAAACGTTTGGGAATGTTGAATCCCAAAATATCAAAAGTACTTTCTTTAACATGGTTATGTAAAGGTATCGGAAATATTGTGACTAGATACAGGATTCAGGAATTGACATATTTTACTGTTTATTATGGTAATACCAACGTCGGCAGATCATTCCATAGTTAGTAGCGCACAGATGTGGCCTGCCAACCATCTATATGGTGGGGATGCATATGCTGTCGTGAGGGTCGATGGCGAACAGATGCTGGTACTAGGTATATCTATTCGAGAATTACATGGCGAGGTGTTAGATAATGTACTGTGATTTTGTATGCGCTTTCGAAGTTTGTTTTTTTTGCAATGGTTCACCAGTTATGTTTGGTTTTAAACATTTTATTTCTTTATAAAACTATTGTATTACCAAGGCAGAACCATTTTACTTTGTGACGAAAACGACGTAGATTTCACGGTGTATAAAAGACGTTGCTCCTTGATTTGAGTGGCTCACTGGAAGGAATAAATAATCGAATCTATTCAACATTCTCAATCATGACATATATGGGTCTTGCCCTCATTGACGGGTCCCATTCGGTAATAGTTATTAAACTACCATCGTAACCTTTTACCAATTCATCATTTAATTTTGATTATACCAATTAAAGATTGTACCTAATTGAGTAGGTACGTGAACTTGTATACATTAATTCTATTATAAAAATGTTTTAATGTTTACCCTAAAACTTTCGCTTTTATACAAAAATCAGTTGTAATGTTATTTTAATTATTTTCTTGTCAACATTAATGCGGCCGTGAGAACATTCCAAATATCGTAGCGAATGCTTTGTAGTTTGAGAAAACAGTGAAAAATCCCGCGTATTGAACGTCATTGTTTCAAAATAGATCGGTAATTAATTAAGTGACACACTTTAGTTCTTTATTGCGCACTGGGATAATTTAAGTATCTATTAATAATAAAATAAATGACTAATTTTTATTTTTTGTACGTCTGGTAGATTATTTAAAAACATTTATTTTCTTACTAAAACAAATACTTACGCCGATATATTAATGTGTATTTTATGTGCTTGCGTTTTATACTCAAAAATGACGTAGCTAGCTAAAACTCCTAAACTCTGATTCGTTTTATCTAAGAACCTATTGATACATTACACGACAAAATAAAAAGTAATGCTTTTTCATTTCCTACCTGGCGGACTAATTAGATTTTTAATTTTCATACCCTGTCATCATTCCTAATGCGAAGTAATATAATATTATAGAGTAATATAATAGACTCTATATGAGCCTCTTCTAATTAAGAGAGTTTACAATAATCTCTACGTTCGTAGGTAAGTTAAAGATTTTAACGTTCAGAATTCTCGGTGCTATTACAACTTTTTTAACCTTTATTTTTTAAGTAGGGCTTTCGTAAGAGAATAACATCAGCCCCATTGTAGGATACAAAATTCAGTACATATACTACAATGAAGTAGCTAAACTTAAACATAAAATAATTAAACGATACAATTTCTTAGGCTCAGATGACAATGGTGACGCTAAAACACTTTGATAAAAAACGATACTAGAGTTCTTAAAACTAAATACCTGATACCTCTGGGACTCAGTACGTCGACACCCCTATAATACCAAACACAGCACAATTGGGTGATTCGACTTCACTATTACCATTTATCAGGTTAGTTGTTTTGTTCCCCGGTATCTCAATTAATTAATATCAGGTAACACTCCAATCAAAAACAAATTGGTAACCATAAAGGTTGAGTAAATTACAATATTCAATGTGTTCTTTGAGTATGAATCAATTATACATTTTCGTACCGTAATTTTCGTTAAATTCCGTCTGTTTTCGTTTCATAATAACTTTGTCTACTTCAGTCTAGCTAGACAGTAAAACTTCACTTGAAATTCTTGTGATTGATATTTTGATTTATTAACCATTATCAATCAAGTTTCATTGCGACTGTAAACGAGTTCTTATGACAAAGCGTTTATAGGCAGGCGAGCGGTCAATTTAGCAAGTGGTAAGCGATAATTTCCGCTGTTTTTAATGAAAACTCGCTAAGGCCTAGACCGCACTATGGTTAAACCACAGTGGTTTACATCTGTGTAAGTGCAAATACGATTGAAACAAGCAACGGCGGCGCAAGTGTTTTTTCCCACGACTGATTTTAAACCTAAATGTTACAAGATGAGATAGGTTTGTTGTTGATAATGGTTTGATGTTTTTTTTTTGGTTAATAAATATAGTATGTGTATCTAGAATGATTTCGCCATACTGAGAAATTACCTGAGTCGGTGGAGTCGTGTCTCTTGGACTGCACAGCTGATTCCACATCTGTTGTTTGAACACTAAGGCTTATGCGTCGAGCTGATAATAATGTGTTACTCTTTTCTAGAAAAAAAATAATTGATTTAGTTTTTGCTTTTTTAAGCAAATCTAAAACAGTTTTACAGTATACGTTAAAAGGTGCTCCCACACAGCAGTTGTATAACGTTATATCACATTGTGTAACATGATAACATTTTGTAACATACTCTACAACATGTCAAGATACTCTATTTTGTTTGAAAACAAATGTTAACTTAGTCTCTAACGTCATAAAACTGCTGTGTGGGAGCACCTTAAAACACACACAAAAGCATTGCACATGGGAGTCGAACCCACAAATGCACTCTTTAGACAGATCTAAAAACTGTTTTTCACTGATAATTATCATATCGGCCACCAGATGTCCACTATTAAAAATAATCTTGAAGACTTGACTGGACTATAAGATCTGCTCACGAGTAAATTATATTCTATGAGACCTACACTTTATAGAAATTCGCTTAAATACGTTAAGCATATGAAGTCAGGTATCATATCAAGGTATATCATACTCACCACTATTCAGGAGAGGGGTTATTTCTGTGTACGCCTTGGGTTTTTTGAAAGTGCAGCACCCGCTCCTGAAAAATGTTCCGAGACAGCCGTTGAACGCCATTGCTGAAAAACATACCAACAAGTTTTAGCAATCTCATCGCCACCGTCATCAACAGCTCACAGATAGTTGTCAGCTAGACAATGGGCCTCCTCTATGACGAGGATTAATTTTGCCATACGCTTAACAACCAGGTTTAGGTCATTGTTAAAAAGTAGATCATTTTTAATTGTGGGAGAGCCATGCTTCAGCACGAATGGGCCGGCTCGATCGGAGTTATACCACGGCCTCACAGAAAACCGACTTGAAACAACGCTTGCGTTGTGTTTTGTCGTGTGAGTGAGGTTACCGGCCACCGGGGGGTGGGGAAGGCCCCAGTCTCCCCAATCCCCGAATCCTCCACAATCCTCGAATACCTAATGTCCAAAAGGCCGGTAACGCACTTGTAACGCCTTGGTGTTTCAAGTGTCCATGGGCGGCGCCGATTGCTTACCATCAGGTGATCCGTCTGCTCGTTTATCGGCTTATGCACTAAAAAAGGATGTGAAAGAATGCTGCTACCCATCAACAGCATATAAGTGACTACTGCAGCCCAAAGGCCTTTTCCCGTACGGAGACGTTTAAGCATTAATCACCAACCTTCCTTAATATTGGTCGACGATTTCAAACGTATAGTCAGAAATTATAATGTTCCCTCTCGATGTTTTCCTTCATCGTTTGATAATGGTATCTAAGAAGTCTTGGAAAGTAGATATAGCTGGGAAAAAGTCACATTGCTACTTTGCCGTTGGTAGGTATTAAATAAACACTCTCATTCATGAGAAGCGGGCGTCTTAACCGGCCACGTCATCGCTTTGGCAAGCGATTTGGTAAGCGAGCTTTGACCACCAGGCAATAGGGGCCAAACGTCGATCCATCAAATAGTAAAAAAAACGAGTCATCACAACTACGCATAACGCTGCTGCCCGATCTCTGTTAAAAAGTATTGTCCCTTAATCGACTTTTACGATGCCCGCTGGAAGAGCAGGATAGGTGAAATGTAATGTACTCCGTCATCGCCAATAAATTGTTAGCAACCAGTAAATCAACAAAATTACAGCAATTTCCTTAATTATCAGTAAGTGATATTTTATTTGGTAAAACTCAGGCAATGTTGATATGGCCTACAATAAATTAAATGAAAGAAATTTGCCGTCATGAACGTGTCATTCAAGCATAGAACTGTAAATCAAATGTAAGCTGTAATTTTATACCGCAATGTAAACGTTTACTTGTCTACCAGTAACCCAGTGAGTAAGTATGCAAATAAACTTTATTGATATCAAATATCATGTTTTTTTTTCTTATCAACAAATAAAGTAGTAAGAGATTTAAAAATTACATCGCAGAATCACACCTTTTGTTCCCCTAAAGATTAGACAGACGACACATTATTTTTAAAGGTTTCATTAAACTTAAAAAATAAAATCGGTGGCGAATTAAAACAACATTAACTGCCTCGTTGGCGGAGTGGTCGCAAGTGCGACTGGGTCAGGGTCTCGGGATCGATTTTCGGGTCGGGCAAAGTATTACTAGGTTTAAAATAAAATCTCAGTAGTACCACGGACTTTGGAATTGTGCCCGGTATATGGCAAAAGGCTCCCCCTACATGGAACTCAAAAGATAAATAGTGAAAAACGTACATTGTTCAGTGGCATTAAGAGCCGTAGTGTGCAACGCCTACCCCTATCGGGTAAAAGGCGCGATGTTATATAGTATAATTATGTGTAAAACAAATAATTACAAATAAAGATAAATAATTGCAAAGGTTTTACAAAATAGCAGTTAATCATAAATAAATGATAGAAAAGTATGCACAAAACTTCAAGTTGTCTGCCAATTTAATACATGTACGTTGCAGCGGTATAAGTGTAATATATTTTTATCATTTGCCAATTTACACACTTCTTGAAGTGAATAGCAATAAATTGCAGATATACTGTCAACTAAAGACAGCATGAGATTTTACATAAATGATAACAAGGAAAAAATATGTTTAACGCATGTAAAAACACGTCAATTAGGTACATTTCGAATTCATACATTCATTGGTAACGCAGAACTGTCAACTATACTTGATTAGTTAGTTCATAATGAAGTGGTACATATTCAGCCAACACTCGTTAATTCAAACCTTCGATAATTCGAACTTCTCTAAATAATGCTAAGTTAACACGAAGTCCCTAGCAAATCTCTTCATATTTCGAACTAAAGAAATACATTTTAATGCACATGATAATTGGAACGCAAAAGTCATTGTTACGTAACCAAATGATTCGTTAATTCAAACTTATTGCTGTCAAACATTCGATAATTCGAAATTGCATAAAGAAAGGGATAGAAAGATCTATAAACTTTTAAATTTCGAACCATTCTATAATTCAAACATTCAAGTAATACGAAAAATTTTAAGAATCTTTCGAGTTTCGAATAAACAAGAGTTGACTGTATTCATAATTAGTGCATTTCACATAATTTACCTAATATGTAGAAAATGTACATGAGCACAAGCAGCAGTGCTTCGTGCCAGTAAATAACGTCGTCGAGTAGCGTGAGGATGAGTGCCACTACCGCCACAGCGTACATCACGCAATCCCGCGACACTGACCACCAATCCAAGTCCACCACCTGTGAAATAACGAGCATTTATCAATATATCAATCTATTCAATTATGGAAGTCTAGTCTGTCACAATTTAGTTCCTTTCTAAATAACAATGTGGTTTGGTTGTATTCATCAGAATAGGATATTGCAAGGATTTATAGATGCATGGAAGACGGCTAAATATTGAAAATTTTTGATATGAGTTGAAAAAGTATACTTTAACTTATTTAATACTATTCTTTAGAATGCTTTACTCCAATAAACCCAAAGACTAAGCGCCTGTCTCACTTATGTGGCAGATAGTTTATGTAAATTATGTTCTTAATTTAAAATCTGGTAGATATCGGTCATCGGTTAACCCGACAGTACATTGTGAAAGAGGCCCTTAATGTGGCAAATTATAATGAAGACCTAGTGGTACACTTTCTTGTTATGTACAATATTTCTGTCATAACACAGTTTCCACATTTTATATAATCTGTGTACATCTGTGGTGATATTCATTTGTTTCGTATGGCTGTCAGCTCCCACGGTTCAAAGATCTACATACTTTGTGACGTCCCAGTAGGTACCTAATTACGGAGACAGTAAATAGCAATATAGGTATGTAACATATCGCGTTCGTAAGTAGTTAAATATTAAATATCGTGGTTAATAAACATAAATCGAACGAAAGAGAGGCAGAAGACACAATTTACACGTCTTCACAAATAATTTGTGATAATAAAAGACTTGAACATATTTATGATCAATTATCAAAACATTAAGTGTTATATACGTTAGGTAGATGTGTAGATGTAAAATGATAACACTGATTTTCGCTAGTTAGGCCACCGTACAAAACTATCTTTAAAGAATAGGTCTGTAGTCCCTTCCAATAAAAGCCTTCTACTTCAGTACCCTTAGTTCAGTTTACCTTACAAATTCTTGATGCCTTTGATTTCTATTGACGTAGAATTGTTTGGCTCTAATGTTTTGTCGGTGACTGGTTTCGAACATTGTACGCAAGTAAATGTATTCAGTTAGGTACATAATGTGTTCACACAGTTCATATTATGACGCGTACATTTTGCTTAGTTATACTTCCGAGTTTAGAACGTGTGTTGTCGAAAAATATATCTTCAAGCCCTTAAAATAGGAACGAAACTCCATAACAGCTGTATAGATATAAAAAAAAAACATTTGGACCATCGATGAAAATTGAACTTCCTAATATTTTATCATAGATGGTATGTACGTATGTTATCATATTTTTACATAACAACATCACGCCTTTCTTCCCCGAGGTGCACATTACGGCACTTAATGCCACTGCACAGTGTAACACCCACTTTTCACTATTTATATTATGAGTACCATGTAATAGGGGTGAGCCTATTACCATATACCGGGCACTATTCGAAACTCCGTGCTACTACTGGGATTTTTAAGAATACACTATATCTTTGGCGACGATCTTTGGTAATGACTCGGGAATCGAACCCGAGACCCCTTGCCCGGCAGTCGCACTTGCGACCACTCGGCCAATGAGGCAGTCAAAAGGCTGGGTATGCGCCACAGAAATACTTTAATATATCTGTACTCTATTAACTTCCTTGATGGCAGGTTGCTTATCATACACCCATCAAGATTGATTCATATACATATGTACACACAGTAATTCGTCTCTCGTTCACTCCCCAATGAATAGCGTATAAAAGTGAGTTTCGAATACTCACTGTAACAACACAGGAAAACAATTTATACTTACTCAGTAATTACACTCGATTATGCTAGATAGTCTGCGAAACAAACATGTGAACTAAAACAATGGCGTCATCACGTGTGACTGATAAATGAAGAAATAAATAAAATAAAGACATGATGTATGCCAACACCAACAGCTTATAAACGCCCACTGCTGAGCAAAGCCTCTTCTCACATGTAGAAGGTTAGAGCGTTAATCTCCACGCTTGGTCAATGCGGGTTGGCGATTTCAAACTTATAATTAGAAGTTGTATGAAAGCCCAGAGTTTCCTCACGATGTTTTCCTCCACCGTAACTATATGCAACATGTGGAACGTATTAAAACGGTAGAACCCCTTGAATGCAAATATATGAAGCATATTGTTTCCTTGTGGCAAGACTTCGTTGTTTACCTACCATGGTTTGTTATCAAATAGATAATTGTATTAATTGTCGCGCTCGTGTCACTTAAAGATTAAACAGATAAAATGATAAGACATGGTAGTCTGACGATTCTATACGACAATGCATTTCATGTGAAATTACATATTTGCGTGTACAATAGTTTGTTTGTCTAGTTGTAGAAAATGCTGCTAGTGCGCTAGGGAGTAAAGATCATTTTTTTTAAGAATAGGCCCAGTTACCTGGTCCTATTTATCAGGCTCAGTTCTCTGGTCGGGAAACAGTCACTTGTAACTTTTTAATTCTTTGGATGTCCATGGACTGCGCCGAATGCCATTAATAACAATCGAACGTGGTACTAAATACACAAAGTATAACTAAAAATCTGGACCCGGTACTTAATGGATGTAGGTATATAATTATAACTATATTCATGTTTTAAAACTAATCTTTTTTATCGAAACAATATTCATCATGCAAGAATGTCACTCATCATCATGTGATAGGCAATATCAAAATAAACAACAGTCTTTAATGGGGCGACAAGATTATCGGAAAAAACAATGATTGCCATTCTAGAATCTAGAATCAACATTATCTAGAACTTTGTAATACAATACTGAACTTACTTTGCCTGCAATGAGAGCGCAGAATGCTGGTACAGCCAGTACATTGAACACTGCTGATCCCACCACGGTTCCTACTCCAATGTCACCTTCAGTGACAAACGTACCAACACAGTTGATGAAAAGCTCAGGACTTGAGCTCGCTGCAGCCATAAAAGTAGCCCCAGCTACGTCCATGCCTATATTTAAACCTAAAACAAATAAAATGAAATTATAAGAAAAGTTGAGTAAGTTTTCTCAACAACAAAAAATGTCGTAGGCTTTCGTAGCGCTTTCTACGCCGTAGCTGAGGCTGTAGCAACTGGCTACGAAGCCTTTCAAAGTAAGTTTAGAATATATTTTTTTTGTTTTATTGTACTTTGTTTTGTTGAAATGCCAGTACCTATATTAAAATTAGGTCATAAAAATAATGTATATATAAACGCAATTACATTGTCGAAGAATTTAATAGCAACGGACTAACGTAGCGTAATTGCAATTGCGAATGATCAAGCCATAGTCATGCGCACACCTCATCTTTATTGTCCAAAATTCAGCTTCATTTACAAATGTAACCGAAATACATAAAATAGTAATGATATTGTATATTTAACAATCGGTTCAATAAACAGTATCTCATCGCCAAACATTTCTAAAAGCATGTAAACAAACAAATAAATTGAATTTTCGCTCTCAAAACTGAAGTAGACCGCTAGTCGATCCCCAGTCAATATAGCTAAAGTACTTGGTACATAGTTACATAGGTACTTGTACCTGAGTTCCTAATGGAAAATAAATCCGTCTGGATGCCGGAGGTTCAGTGAGTTGTTCCAACAAGGGAGAATTCCGTTCAAACGAAAACTAATTTAACTTGTTACGCCTGTCGCTTCCACTCAAAGGGCTATGTCTGATTATCATTGTACAATATTATTCCAGTGAAATCTTAAGATATTATGAAAATTCATTGAGCATGCAGTAAATAATTAGTTTGAGAGGAAGTGGTCCTTTGATCCAGGTAAAACGGCAGAAGGCATTTTAGGTGTGTGCTATATAATGATCTTTTCACGTTAGGAAATCCATTATTAAGTGTATTATTTCGTACAACTCAAGTAATAATTTTATCAACGAAAAGTTTCTTTTGTAGTAGATATTTATAATCTATGACTTATTCTGGGTATACAACTATACACGTATGTATATCATATCTATTTTAAATTAGTTGATACAGTTATTGAGGATAGTAATCCGTAATATTTCGATCTCTAGACTAAACTTGTATTATATTTTACATTTTCCTCAAATCCTTTTCTATTGTTTAGATTACATTGGTATAAAGAAGAAAGTCTAAATTTTATCGAATTATTTCGTTTCGTATCAGATCTATCCAGGCATCAATCGTGGGATGTTCTTGCCGATACTTTCAAAAACGAATGTATAGATTTATATTTAATTTTGTCCGGGACCAGGGGCGAGAGTAGTCTAGACAGAGTCCCGTCGTATCGATCCGTATTGCTGATTGTATAAACATTTATTATACATTGGTACAGATAACAGCAGGTACGCCTACTCCTTTTTGTCCAAGTTCTTTATTAGATTTTCAACTTAATTGTTTTGATATAAAGTCCAAAATCCAATGAAATAAATGGCAGATCGGAGTAGGTTGAAATACTGGCCACTGTACATTGCACGTCCTGCTCTAACTTTAAATTTTTGCTGGCGTGGACAGGGGAATGAGTCCATACAGGATTTTAATGTCTGTTACGAATATTATTTGCTATCATAATCTGTTTTATTTAAGAGATTGGGAAAACGTTGTGATAGTGTTAAGTAAAAAGGATTACGACATATTTCGTATTCGATGTAACATTTCTTTGTAGTTGATGCATTTAAAATTAGAATTCTGAAGAACATCACAAAGCAGCTATTTGGGTAGTTAAACCGGTTTTTATTCAGCAATTCTAGATGAATCCATCTAAAACTTTGACAGTTGACAAAGTGCATTCGATGAGAGCAGTAAAACCGCGGATGCAATTTAGTCCTATTACGACTATTACCTAATAGCCACAATTTCGTGTCAGAAACAACGATGGCGATGGTAGAACATCCGTCGTACGCACCTTGACCTGAGACGTCAATGAAAAGATTGACACCGACTTGTACCGACGATTTGACATATAATTCGAGTTGGCACGTTAAGGCGGCTCGTTTCACCGGCTGATTAACCTCTTCCCCCCTAATTGATCTGGAAGCTACGTGACAATATGAAGCACGCGAGGAAACATCGAATGGACTGAGCTGTGGCGTGTGATACCTACGGCAACATGAACATTGTTAGCTGCTAGTTAAGAACTGCATGCGGTAGGGTACTTGCCTTCATCAAAAATAAAATATTAAAATAATCACACTTTCATTAATTGATTTTATGACCAACTTAATTTAAGTATTTTCAGAAATAAGTTTACTGTTTGACGCTGAGAAAACGTGACTTCACAATACACAATCTCGTACATAGAAAAAATAAATTCATAATAAACTGTCGTTTTTTACAATTCGAAAAAAGTATTGAATTTGACTAGTTGGCAAGTACTCAATTGTGTAAGTATTAATGGAATAAGGGCAAATGAGGGGCTAGATCACCTGATGGTAATAATACATTCACAAAACGCGACGCGTTGAGCGAGTAATGATATTACAATAAAACAATTTTAGATTCATCTATATACATAGCTTTGTTTTTTTTTACCACACCTATAGTAGGGGAGCCCATGAAGGGATTTCGGTAGTTACTCGAGCGCGTCAGATTAACATATGGTGAAAACCTAGTGTCATGTTGAATATACCCAACATATATCCGATCTGATCAGAAGCGGGGGACTGAAAATTAAAAATAAAGTCAGTTTCGTCAGATAAAGGGAAGGTAGGTCAATACCGTGCTCTTCGATCAACAATAACAACTAGATAAAGGGTTACGTACAAAATCAAGCTCCAGTTCTGTCCGTGTGAATAATAATAGTAAAAAAATAACAAACAGAGAAAAATGTTTTAAAATAGTTTTAAGTTCAACCTAATAACAACCATGGCACCTAATAATAAAGTCATAAATCGTCAAAATATTATCTAATACTTACGACCATTCGT